CCCAAATACATTTGCAAAAAAAAAGCATTCGTGCTTAAACATCGATCAAAGAGAAGTGAAGTCAAATGAATGAAAAAAAAAAGAAAAAAAAGAAGAAAAAGGGGGAAAGAAATCCATCAACAACAACGTGGCCATATTCTGTGAATGGGGCTCCCTTTTCCTGTGTTCAGGCTACGCAACTCCTCTTTTTTTTTCATTTTTCTGGAGTTATGGCGATGACAAGCCATCGTCAGGGCTTCTATTTTGAGAGGAGAGCTTTATTTTTGGAATCACCAATTGGGATTTTCAGCTATAGTGTCTTTTAGCTGCGATTGTCATGCTAAAATTTCGCTTTCTTTATGCGGTATGACAAGTTATTCGACCATAAAGACTGAATACCTTTTCAGACTAAATACTGTAACAGTAATTGTACCCATTTGCTTTAGATAATGTCAAGCTATTCAGCCTTTCCAACTGAATACTGACTTATTGTAATCAGATCTATGTAAAAGAGCAGTGTCCACTGTACGGGCATTTTCTCGTCCGTGTTTGACTCTGCAGATTTTGCACTTTATATTATGACACTTTGACACTTTAAAATGAAATCCACTGGATTTTGAATTAAGAAATTTGAGAGTTCGCAAGATTCATCGATTTTATGAACAATTTTTGTTCAAAAAGAAAAATGTTATCACTTTTTAATGAAATCGAATCTTCAATAATGAATCTTTTCATTTCTTTATCAAGTTTCATTTGTTTATCAACTTCCGGGGGGACACAAAATATGAGTAGGCTTCTAGAAAAGAAAGAAAAAAGTATTTCTTTTTTGGGGGGGAATTCACACGCGGTGACGCCTCCATTCAACCAATTCTTTTCACAAAAAGGATACCCCACTCATAGTCACTCGAATATTTTGCAAGTTTTCTCTCGTTTCTTTTTCCTTTCCTTTCAAATGATATCTTTCTTTTCTTTTCTTTTCACTCACCCCCGCTTTCCGTTGTTTTTTTTCTTCTTTTTTCTTCTATTTCTTTTTCTTTTTCTTCTATTTCTTCTTCTTTTTCTTCTCTTTCTTTTTCTACTTCTTCCTTCTTCTTCTCCTTCTTCTTCTCCTTCTTCTCCCTCTTCTACTTCTTCTTCTACCTCTTCCTTCTCCTCCTTCTCCTTCTTCTCCTTCTTCTCCATCTTCTTCTCCTTCTTCTCCTCTCTTCTTCTCCTCCTCTCTTCTCCTTCTTCTCCATCTTCTTTTCCTTCTCTTTTTCTCCTTTTTCTTCTTTTCTTTGCAAATTTTATTGCAAACGAGATCTCTTTTGGTGAGTTTTCTTCCGGTGTGAACTCGATTTTTGAAGATTTTGCAATACATCGCAACATCGCAACAAAAGCATCTTATTACAGAAATTTTTTCAACGTACTGCAAAGACAAAGCTTTTACTAACACCAAATACCTTTACGCTTCAGTTTCCAATTCTAAAAAACCGTTTACTAACAATAAATATCTTTACGCTTCAATTCCCGATTCGAAAATTCATCCTTCTTGCAAAAGTCCTCATCCCATCCGCCCACATTATCCATTATCTCCATTTTTTTTTTGGATATTTTCTGTTTTCTGACCGAATTTCCTTTTCATATCCTCGTCCAAACAAAGCCTTTTTTTCGCACAACCCACACACATATTGAGCCTCGACTTTTTGGGGTGTGGGACAGAGATAATTGGTCTCTATGGGTGAACGCGGGGGAGAATTTCTCTCCCCTGAATTTCCTCTTTTTTCTTTTTTTCTTTTTTTTTTTTTTTGGAAAATCTTCCCATATCTTTCGAATTCATAATTTCGAATTTCACTGAGAAAAAAACCTTTCTGATATTCGTTTTATTGAAAAATTGAGGAAACTCTGCAAATTGAGCTACTCATTGCTAAATTTCATTACAAATGGTTTCCTCTTGATCAACAAAAATATAATGCAAGGGAAACTTATACAGCAAAATTTTCTTGTCAAATGGATATTCAAAAAAAGATCAATTTTCTCTTATTTTGCGGAGTTTCCAAATGAACCCAGAAAGCTAGATACAGTTGGCTGCATCTCTTTTACCTTTGGAGGTACTTGTCGGTTTATCCATCCACAGAGACTCAACTCGGTCAAGCAAGAAGCTGACAACTTTTGAGCGGTGATTATGTTCAGTGAAAGTAGAGTGCTCGTCTGAAATGATCAGTCGATCAGTCGAACGAAAATCGATAACCGAGAAGAAGACTCGGTTGGGGATGCTTAACCGAGATGAGTCTTTGTGGATGACAATCACCGACAAGTACCAATAATTCTTTCCGATTTCCGCTCCATTATTTTGGGGGCATCCTGTAGAAATGTACTGCTCAAGTAATTGAAGAGTTAAAGAGCCATTAGCCTCTTTAACTACAGTACTGGACAATGAAATATCATATTTGAAAAAAGATCGTCACTTTCGCGCGTCTGTAACTCCATTGTCTTTGAGTTTAGACTATTAGTGTTATACATTTTCTGAAAGCTCTTTTCAAGGGCTACACAATGGTAATATTAATATTTAGAAATACGGTAAAGACAATGGAGTTACAGACGCGCGAAAGTGACGATCTTTTTTCAAATATCATATTTCATTGTCCAGTAGTGTAGCTTTTAGCTATAAAAGTTTGAAAAAAGAGTTTTCTTTTATTCTTATTGCTATTAAATGATATTAAATGTTATTTTCTCACGAAATAAATATTGAGAAAACTTTTTAACAATTTATTTTATTAAGAAAAGTGCCAAAAATGGCAGATCAAATGGCAGAGAGGCCTGAGCTCATTCAAGAGCCTGTAAAATGAGTTGTACAATTCCAATCGGGAAACTTTTAATAGATAAATGTGGCCAAGATTAAGGGCTTTATTTTCCTATATAGCTCTTGGCACTTCGGTGATAAGACAGGCGTTCCCAACTTTTCCAAAAAAAACGTGTCGCCATAATTCGCGGTCATCAGTAGTTCATAGAGCAAAAAGCTGTCTAAACGTGAGTTTTTTGAATTTTTGCAAATATCAGAGGTTTTCCAAAGAAACCGGATCTTTTCTAATGAAACGGTGGGGGGAAAAAAGATTTCAGGGTAAATCCTTTGAATGAAATGGGGGGGATTGGTTACGTGAGCAAATCCCTTGGGGATTCCCGGGCGCGGAGGGGGCAAAATTTCTCTATTCTTTCAATATTTCTTTAGATTTCATATTCAGTTTCTTTGAATTCAGATTCTATTTCTTTGCCTTCTGTTTTGAATCTGATCATACACTAAATAATCGGCTTGTAACGAGGCTAAACTTGTCGGCTCTTTGATGAGAGATTAAGAGCTTATTTTTGGTTATTTTTTGAAAGTTTGTTAAAAGAATTTGAAAGAGATTTAGTGCAATTTAACTAAAATTTGCTAAATTGAACTAAATTGGGCTAAATTGAACTAAATTGGGCTAAATTGAACTAAATTGGGCTAAATTGGGCTAAATTGAGCTAAATTTAACTAAATTTAACTAAATTTAACTAAATTTAACTAAATTCAACTAAATTTAACTAAATAAACTAAATTTAACTCAAATTTCGCTATTCTATTTGCTTGCTGAATAGCTTATCCTTTTTTTTGATCAAATTTTAAACTTTAAATCTTTAATTTCAGCGTCAATTCCCCCAATGTTCTTTGAGCTGAAATTGGGGAAGAAAAATAACTCTAATCTGTCAAATCTCAAGCACAAAATACGCCTTGTGTTTTGATCATTGAAATCTAAAGATTTTCATTGAAGATTTTCCATAGTTCCAAAATTTTAAAATCATTTCTCATCGTTTCAAATTTCTCAAATTTCTCAAATTTTTCAATTAATCATCCGCTCAGTCACTTTTTATAAACTCTCAATTTCGAAAACAAAAGTAAAAAAACTTGTTAAACGATCTCATAAACTTGCTCCCAAACGACATACGAGAAATTCAGTCGCTTTTCATATTCAAGAAACGTATCGATGCTTTAGATCTAGTGGCTCTTTGCCGTAAGTAATTGGCTTATTGATTTCAGTATGTATTGTATGATTAAGTATCACTGTGCATTTCTCTATGATTTCTTTCACTTTATCGTTTGAATAAAGTATTATTATTATTGAGAAATCATTGAAAAGAAAACTTCTTTGGTTTTTTTTTCGAACTAAAAAGCATCGAGTAAAATTGATTCTGGCGCGAAGCTTCATTTTCCCCTTTTCAGTGTATCTTTAGTTTCTCAATGATTCGAGAAAACTTGCTTTTTTTGAACTAAAAACTTTACAGCATCGTCGCTTTGTCATTGATTTAGTCGAAACTTTCAAAATCCTCCGTTGTAAACAGATTAGCCCTTTGTTTATAGACTTTTTCAAATTTAAACCGCGGTCAGGGCCCAGAAGTGGCTCATTCCTTTTGCAAATTCCCTTTGCTTCCAATGCCTCTTTATCAAATTCATTTCCCGTTAGAGCCGCTAGATTATGGAACTTGCTCCCAAACGACATACGAGAAATTCAGTCGCTTTTCATATTCAAGAAACGTATCGATGCTTTAGATCTAGTGGCTCTTTGCCGTAAGTAATTGGCTTATTGATTTCAGTATGTATTGTATGATTAAGTATCACTGTGCATTTCTCTATGATTTCTTTCACTTTATCGTTTGAATAAAGTATTATTATTATTTCTCATCGTTTCAAATTTCTCAAATTTCTCAAATTTTTCAATTAATCATCTGCTCAGTCACTTTTTATAAACTCTCAATTTCGAAAACAAAAGTAAAAAAACTTGTTAAACGATCTCATAAATTTGCGTTAATTTTCCTCAAGAGGCAACGCATTAGCGCAAAATTGAGAAAGAAAAAAAAAAGTGTAAAAGTGTCGAAAGGCCGAAATTTTCGAAGCCATTAAAATCTCTGACAAAATGGAGAATGATCTCTCGTTTCAGTTCACTTACAATTTCTTTAACTTTAACTTTTTCAACTCTTTATTTGAATCACTTACATTATTTACATTATTTTAACTTTAGAAATCCCTCTTTCACCGCGAATTCGAAAGAAGGACAGTGGGCAGCGCTGAAGATGATCATGGCAGAGAGAGCCGCTGACTGCCTTGCCAAGGTATCAATTGGAGTTCAATTCTAATTCAATTCTAATTCAATTCTAATTCAATTCTAATTCAATTCTAATTCAATTTTAGATATAGATTTCCCTATTAGATCGTTTTCTATAGTATTATAGCTTGAATAGCTGAATACCGTTAAAATGAAAAGCTTTGAGCTTCTTTTGAACCGCAACTTGTGCTAGACTCAATCAAAACCAAACGAAAAAGAACTAAACAGTGCACTTTCTTGTTTAGTACTATTAAATGTAAATAAATGAGCTTATTACTGTACTATTTACTTAAATATTCGTTCACAGCTCGGCCTGGACAGTACCCCGTCAGCTCCTTGTGGCTCCACGTCACCCACTCAACCAGCTGCTCAACACCTACAACAGCCAACATTTGGACATCATAGAAGGTGAGTTATTGTTATTTTTTTAATAATATAATATAGTAAATATAGCAAATATAATATAATTGTGCTATTTAAAATAAAAAATTCAAAATGGGAAAGCGGAGAGTAGCTGCGTGGGTCCCGGAACCTCCGGACCTTATCTATAACCCGGAACCTCCGGGTTATAGATAAGCCTGATTGCGCCATGATGACAGTGCGACGAGGCAAGAAAAACCCATCTTAACCTCCGTTCTCGGGTCTTTTGGCTGATAACGTTTTAGATAACGTTAACGAAAAACGTTTTAGATGTCGAAGTTTACGAGAGCGAACCGGTGTCGATCACCGTTTAGAGAGACTCCCGTCTGGACCAGCCATCTTCCGCACTCCCATCTACACAGTCATGTCCGGAACAAACACAAATAAGAGGTAGTTTCTGAAAGAACCTTTTTGACAGCTATTAGATCGAAGCTATTGATCGAGCTATTTTCGGTTTTGCAAAAAAACATTTGCCTTTTTCAGTCGCCCTGTTCGCATTCAGGATTTCGCGGATCACGTACGCTTGATGAGCGCTGACTCAGATTTTCGCTTCTCTGAGGAGTATGAGGTAAAGTCTTGCGTCTTTTTCGATTAGTTTATTAGAAAGTACGCATACTTAAGTTGCTATTTTTATGTTTAAACCTATCAGGCCAACGCTTTACCAATGAGCCACACCGACACGTGTCCTATTGCCGCGAGAATAGAGTCTTATTCCTGGCTATTCAGCCAGTCAGCTAATTCGCCTCAATCTCAAGTGTCTTGTAGAAGTTTTTAAGATTTATATCTTTGATTTTCAAGTAGGCAGTTTTGGAGTGGACTTGAGCTTTTCTAGAGTAAATTCGGAAACTCGTAGCTAGAGAATTGATTCAAAACACGAGACGATAAAACTAACAAGCGAGAATGAAAGAGAGATCGTTTATTTTACGACTTCTCCCATCCAGGCCTGGTTTTTTTGGTCTTTGAAAAATGGGAAAGGGATGTGTTGATGTTTTTTTTTCCTTTTTTTTCTTTTTCCTTTTTTCCTTCGACTCTATCTAGTCCCCCAATTTGCCCAATTGCTCCCTGGAGGCTTGTCGTCTAAAATAAACACTCGACAACCGCCCACGCAATCATTATCCCTTTGAATCGATTTTTCAGCTTTTCAGCTGGAAATTAGAAAAACTTATGCACGTTTTTGTATAGTAAAGTATGGTAAAGGGATTTGTGGAGTGAGGGTTTTGTATTTATCAATCTAGATTTCATTACGATAAACCAGTGTTCAGACACGAAGACTAGCTAGCTTCAGCAGGCATTTGCAAGCATTTGGGGGACTAGATAGAGTCGAAGCATTTCATAGAGGCAATTAATGAATTGAAATTTTATAGCTTCAACAAACGAGGAAAATGTTTTGCTTAGAAATTTATGGATACTTGATCTTTATCTCAATCGTTATCTCAATCTTTATCTCATTACAGCGGCCTGAGTGTTTCGTCTTTCAAAACAGAATACTTTTAACTTCAGTTGGCTATATTTCTGGCTACAACTGAATACTGTAGTAAGACGGAAAACTGAAATTTAAAGTACTTATCGAAAAACTTTTAGCAACTCAAAAACGTCGGCATTGGACAGAGTATTGCTGCGGCGGAGATGACCGTGAATCGCGTTAAGAATCGGTGAGACAAAAGAAATATGATGTAGGGATAATTTTCTTACGTTTTCAGCTTCACAAACATTCTCCCCTACGATCACTCTCGGGTGAAATTGGTGAAAACTGAGGATGAGGAGGGAGCCGATTACATAAACGCAAATTACATGCCGGTGAGACTTTGTACGACAGAGAAAGGATGATAAAGAAGTGAAGGAATTGGCAAGAGGGGATTGAACCCACGAACTTACGCTTTCCAGGCAATTGCTCTAACCACTAAGCTATCCGGTACCTTAAGGAGGTGCCAAGAGAAAGGGAGAAAGACAAGGGGAAGAAGAAAGACAAGGGGGAAGAAGAAAGAAAGAAAGAAAGAAAGAGAGAAAGAAAAGGAGGATAGCTATGAGATATGAGCTTTAAGGATAAGATGTTTGTTTGTTATTTTGAAACTAGAACTATTTACGTGTTTACATTCTTTCAGTAAGGATGTTTGAAAATTCGAAAGCTAGACTCAAATCCTTTCCTTCTAATGCTCAACTCAAATCCTTAATGCAGGGAATCAACTCGAGACGTGAGTTCATCGCGGCTCAAGGTCCCCTACCCTCGACGAGAGATCATTTCTGGCAAATGGTCTGGGAACAACAATGCCCAGCAATCATTGCGCTGACGAAATGCGTTGAAAAGGTAAACTTTTGGTAGAACTTATAGAACTTATAGAATCTAAATGAAAATTTGAATTACTTAAAGAGTTCTGCAGCTAGCAAACTATACTTATTGTAATTTTCAGGGTCGAGACAAATGTCACCAATATTGGCCCGACGCCGAGCATATGAGCGTTCTTTATGGAGATATTGAGGTATTAAAAAGGTTAAAGCTCACTTAAAGCTCTAAATTTTTTAGGTAACTTTAATGTCCGAGCAGCAATATGACGAGTTTGTGGTTCGCGAATTGCGTTTGTGCAATCTCGGCGAGAACTCGCAACCCCGACACGTGCTACACTTGCACTACATGGCTTGGCCTGATTTCGGAGTGCCCGATCATCCACAAGGGATTGTTAGGTAAGGATTTTAGATAATCTATGAAATGTATAACAACTTTAATCGAATACTGATCTTTTTTTTTACAGCTTAGCGAGACTCTTCCGCGTTCGTTTACCCCACTCACCGCATAACAAGCCAACGATCGTTCATTGCAGGTAAACTATAGAGATTTACAAGAATATAACGATAAAATCTACTTTAAATGCTAATTTAGCACAAGCTTAGCCTATCTAGTTTTTCAAAATTTCATTTTTTTATATTGAAGATATAGAAAATATTGAAGATATTCAGTTAGAATTGATAATGAAACCGAGAGTAAGGAATAAGACTCGATTCTGGCGGCAATGGGACATGTGTCGGTGTGGCTCATTGGTAAAACGCTCGTCTGGTAGGCGAGAGTTCTTTAGAGTGGTAGTGGGTTCAAACCCCAGCGTGAACTTTTTTTATTCCCACAAAGGACCGGCATGTCTAGGTTCCATAGTCAAGCAAGCAAGCAGGAAGCAAGCTTTCTTATGACCAAAGCTTACAAATTTTTCTCAATGATCAAAGCTAAAAACTATTGTATTTTTCGATATTTCTTAATTATCTAAATATCTAAATATCTAAATTTAGTGCTGGTGTCGGTCGATCGGGTACCTTCATGGCGTTGGATCGTCTTGTGCGGGGGATGAGTCTCGATCATCCGATCGATGCTTTTGGTACAGTGCATGAGATGCGTCTAGAGCGATGTCATATGGTACAAAATGAGGTAAGAAAAAGAAAGGAAATCTCAAAAATCTCATTTCTTTTCAGCAACAATACATCTTCATCCACCATTGCTTGCTGTTCGTCTTGCAGAGTGGTTTGTTGACCGAGTGGTCGCAGCCGATCGCCGGCGTGCAGCTGATTGGACCCGATTTCCACAACGGTATCCAAACTGGTACGCTCACTTGAACATTTTAAGAGTTGGCAAAGGAAAAAGTCGGCTTATCTAAAGTAGATTTTAAAGAAGTTTCTATTTTTATAGAAAAATAAACCTATTCAAACAGCTAAGCGGAAACGGTAGCTCTTATCTCTACAGTATGTTGAAAAGAAGAGCTTATCTACAGTAAATTCAAATTAGAAAAAGATCCATAGCTATAAAAGAGTCTAAAAGAGAAATCACAGCTACAGCAATCCTATCGTAAACCATTTTTCAACAAGATTCATTGAATTCATTGAGATTCATTGAGATTCATTGAGATTCATTGAGATTCATTGAGATTCATTGAAAATTCAAGAGAAAATAAAAAAATAAAAAAAATAATGATTTGATCTGTCTTCGCACTTAGCGCAGATCACAACCCGCTTCCACATTTACTGAGGCAGAAGTGTAGTTGTCGTAGCCGATGATACTCCGATGGCCGGGCTGGGGCGCTCGGAGGGGAGCCCATGGGAGTCGAACCCACGACTAACCCGCGCCGACGTTGCTCAACTTGGCAGATCGGACGGGGTCGACCACAGACCCTTCCCTTTCTGGGCCCCATTCAAGAGAAAACTGAAAGCTTTTCTCTGAAAAGTTCTCTAGAACTTCTCTATAAGCTATTGGGTTGATGAATTGAAAACTGCGGGACTTTGAACTAAAATTTATTCAACATAAAACCATGAATTCATTCCAAATAATTTCCATTATTATTGACGACTTCTGCCCATTTTACAGGCAATTTGCGGATTCCTCTAGATAGTAGGATTTTGGTTTGTGTGTGAGACTACTATAAATACTGTAATAATCCACAGCTATAGTAATCCTATCGTAACAGTTTTTCAACAAGATTCATTAAATTCATTGAAAATTCAAGAGAAAACTGAAAGCTTTTCTCTGAAAAGTTCTCCAGAAATTCTCTAGAACTTCTCTATAAGCTAATTCGAAATTTTCGCATAAAAATATTCAATTTAAAGTATTATTCTTTAAATCTTTTAAGTATTCTTGATTTCTAAAAGAATTTATGTCAAAATTTCCAGGCACACCTCGCGTCGAAATCCATCAAAACCCAGCGTTTATCGAGGACGATGAAGGGATTGCTGAGAGTGGATTTTAAACTCATTTTTTTACTGAAAGAAATAGGCAATAGACAAATTAATCTTTTGAAAAGATAAATGAAAAGAAATTTCTCGATTTACAAGTTCAAAACGCAAATTCTTTCGAAAATTTCGAAAATTCCTCTGCCTACCCAATTTTGCATTCCGATTTCCCCTCTAGCGCTGAAAAATATAGTCCGTTTTTGTGTTCTTTGTGAGAAAATGAGCTTTTTGTGATTCATTTATGTAATTCTTTTTTTTGAAAATTGGATATTTGGATACTTGGGTACTTGGATATTTGGATACTTGGATATTTGGATATTTGGATACTTGGATACTTGGATATTTGGATACTTGGATATTTGGGTACTTGGATATTTGGATACTTGGATACTTGGATACTTGGAAACTTGGATACTTGGAAACTTAAGACAGCTAAGAACTTGGAAAGATAAGAGAGCTAAGAAAGCTAAGCTTTTCCCCTTCATCCTCTGTGTAAAAGTTGCCCACCTGGTGCACTAATTATTTTTCCAGTTTCCAATTTCATTCAAAAACCCTAGGAAAACGTTTAAAATTTAAAGGTTTTTTTCGAAAAAATTCCCGACCTCAATCTTTATCCAATATTTCGTAAACATGGCGTTACAGTCTTTCATCTTTTTTTTTTGATTTATTTCTTTTTTCTGATTTATTTCTTTTCTTTTATTTATTATTTCTTTTCCTTTTTGGTTGCTATAACGCAAATTTTTCATAAAACGGGTCAATTTTTCAATTTTTCAATGTTTTTAGTGTAAATTTGATACTTTGAGTGATACTTTTAAGAAAAAAAAGGCTTTTTTTTTTCTCCATCGAAATGAACAAAGATTTAGCCCCAAACAAATATCGTGTACTCTTGTGCTTTTTAAAGTTTTGTAGTCTTGTAATAAAGAATTTATTATTCAAACCAGTGCAAACAATTCAAAATGCAAAGTAAAGCAAGTTGTTTGGTGAAAATTTTGGAAAATCTCTCCATTTGGAAATCTCTCCATTTGAAAATCATCCTTAACCCCTCATCAACGACGAGGCCAACCCGCAAAAGTTTCGCAGAGAGCTGCAAATGAAAAGTCTTTTTTATTTTTGTAAACTTTAAATTTGATTCAAAATCAATTCAAAATCGATCCAAAATATTTAATCCAATATTTAATTTCCTTTTCTACAAAATAAATCCCTTAGAACTAATATTGTTGAAGAAAATTTTAATATTTAAATACTTTCATTTTTTCAAAATTTTTTTAAATGGCAAAACTACAATAGATTCTAAAGTTTTCTAAAGGATTTTTAGCTTTATTGGTCAAAACACGGCCGAAAAAATGCCCGTACAGACAGACGGACAGACTACAGTATCCTCAAGACAGACAGACAGACAGACACTGCCCTTTTATAAATACAGTACTGGACAATGAAATATCATTTTTGAAAAACGGTCGTCACTTTCGCGCGTCTGTAACTCCTTGTCTTTGAGTTTAAACATAGTGTATACATTTTCTGAAAGCTCTTTTCAAGGGCTACACAATGGTAATATTAATATTTAGAAATACGATAAAGACAAGGGAGTTACAGTCGCGCGAAAGTGACAATCTTTTTTCAAATATCATATTTCATTGTCCAGTAGTGAATAGATATTTATATTTCATTATTTATTTTGATTTTTATTTTATATATTTATATGAGCTATATTTTACTCAATTACGTTTTTTACATACCTCACACCAGCGTTGAGCATACAATAGCACTTGGAGGCGGCGGCGCGCTCGATTTGCTTGAAGCATTTCTTGGCCAACGGGCGCACCATTTGCTCGTTCACTTGTGGTTGACATCTGGAAAATCTCATGATAGATATGGATTTATTGAGCTAATAGATTTTAAACTGTAGTTGCGATTTAATGTGCTTACCCAAGCGAGTCAAAGCACCGATCCGGATTGTAGCGATTGAAACAGTTCAAGGAGCACGCGCCGAAGTCGAGCCCAGCGCTGGCGACTGGCTGAATTTTTTTGATTTAACTCAAATTTTACATTCATAACTTCATTTCATTTCGTTTCAAAGTTTCAAAATAAATTTAATTTTTTTTATTCACCTGAATCATTCGCAGAGCCGACGTTCCAGTGAGCTCGTTCTTGCGCGATTGAAGCTAGAAAGGTTATTTTCAAATCTATAGCATAAAAAGTAGAGTTCGGCAAACAAAACCAAAACCAAAACAGACCAAAACCAAAACCAAAACACCAAAACAAACCAAAACTCAATTTGCATATAAATTAACATGTAAATTTAAAATTGTAAAATGCAAATTTGCCTTTCACTTTTTCTCACTCCCCAAAATCTCGCGGCCGAAAAAAGGACCAAAACACGACTTCGAAATTTCGAAACAAAAAATAGCCTATGGGATGGATTTTTGGACGCTGATTTCAAATCTGCAAACAGATTTTCGCTAGCTCCTCCCAATCGCGAGATATTGGCGAGTTTTGGTTAGTTTTGGTTTTGGTTTTGGTCTGTTTTGGTCTGTTTTGGTTTTGGTGGTTTTGTTTTTGGTTAAGTTTTGTTTTCCGAAGTCTAATAACAAGAGTAAAGCTTACTTAATAAATAAAGTCTTTTATCTAAATTTTATGTTAATTTCATAACTTTAATGTTTTAAAGTTCACGAAAAGCTACCTGAAGAAGTACGGTGGAGTAGAATCGTTGATAGCTGTACCGACGGGTGTAGCCACGACCGTTACAGCTGAAAACTTTGTTTGTTGGTTTTCTTTGAAAGAATATTGATCATAAAGTCATAAACTTAAATATTTGAACAATATTTGAATATTTTCAATCACCTGAACAATCCCGAAGTGACACAAGAGGTGACCTGATTCGCGGTTCCTTGATCTAGGCAGCCTCTCAAAGCATATGGAGTTCGGGTGACCTGGAAGCGTCTGTTGTTTGAAAGATTAAAGATTAGCTTAGGGTAGTTTGTCGGCAGTTTTTAAGATAAAAATCTGCTTTTAGTGGGAAAAGTTAAAGAAAAAAACTTTGAAGTAACGAGAAAACCCACCGACGAGAACACTCCGTAGCACTGCTGACTACACGTGTTCATCGTATTCATGTCTTGAGCGATACACCGTTGCATCTCTTGACAAGTGCACATACGGACAGTGCCCGCTGTTCGGGCTGAGCCCACCGCTTGCAACATGATGCTCACTCCCTAAAGTAAAAAAATAAATGGCAAAGGAAGGAGGGGGAATTGGACCCGCGAGCCTGACCCTCGACCCAGGCTTATCAAGCAGATTGTCTACCACTGAGCTGTCGACGTCTTATTTTCCCAACGAAAAATAGGGAACACAAGGAAGACAGAGAGGGAAATCAATAAAAGTTTTGATTTTATTATGGAGCTTGTTCAATAGTCGACTCAACTATTGCAACTATTGCTAGGTTTAATTGAAGAGTTTAGTGTCTAGATTTTGTCTTAAATTAAAAGTTACGTTACTTTTGTAGTAAACTAGGTGTTACGGTAGTCTAATTTGATTATAATTTGATCATAATTTAGATCATAATTTGATCATAATTTGCATACCGACTTTAACTGGTCGTTCTCCAATTCAACTTGCTTGATAAAGGCAAGATAGTAGTAATAGACATATTATTACTGTATCCATAAGCTTACATATTCATTTTCTTAAGCTATCCACTTGATTATCTTCCATTCTCTATCATTAGCTTTATAAGATTCACTCGTACATTCACTCGTTCCGCAATAATGCATTTTCGATACCTTTTCCGCAATAACGCTCTTCTTGGCGAATGCTACAGCGCAAAATCCCAGCAACAACGTGAAACGAAGCATTTTTGAACAATCTCTGAAATCAGAAAGACAAACAATTAAGAAAAGACAAACAATTTATCGAAAGATCATTAATTAGCTAAAATTTTGGGAGTAGGACAAATGCGACCTTTTTTTTGCTGGAAAAAGCCTTAGGCAAGGCCGTAGAGCTTCGAAAATATTTCCACATAAGGGAATCGTATGCGTAGATTCCGAATTTCGACAAATCAGACCTCGCTGGCACGTCAAATTTGGGCTAAAAGGCAAAAACTGCGGAAAAGCGTTAAGTTGCGTAGTTTTTGCCTTTTAGCCCAAATTTGACGTGCCAGCGAGGTCTGATTTGTCGAAATTCGGAATCTACGCATACGATTCCCTTCTATGAAAACATTTTTGAAGCTCTACGACTTTTCCTAAGGCCAGGTGCGCAAAAAAAAGGTCGCATTTGGCCCACCCCCAAAATTTTAGATTAAAAATTTGACTTCTCGAGATTTCACCAATCATCGAATGAGAAAATTGGAGAGATACTACGGAAATTTCCAAATTTTCTCCGTTTTTTGTTGTTTAACTACGAAAATTTCCAAGTTTTCGTAGTCAAACAACAAAAAAAAACTCGTCGAACAAACTCAATAACAACTTTATCTCAGTGCAAAATCTATCGAGTAGAACAAGTTCGAAAATTTAAAAACTAATAGGGAAAAAGGTTTTTGTTCGAAAATTCAAATGGATCCAATAATGTTAAAATTTCTTCAAATGGTTAAACGAATGATTTCGAATCCTTATATTCGAAGAGAGATTCGAATTCGAATAAACATTACAGTCTGCGATCTGCTCTCAAAAACATATCGAACTTTTCAAAAACAAGTCTCGTAAACAAAACAAAATACATTTAAGAGTGTAAAAAAAAGTTGAGATTTGAAGATTTTCTTTTGGATAAAATGGAAAAAGAAACGTTTTTGATTGAGCGAAAAACAAGGATGAACAAGGAGGACGAAAAACAAGGAACAAGGAGAGTGGAAAGGTGAATTGAGAACTGAATTTTGGGGAATTGAGAACTGAATTTTGGGGAATTGAGAACTGAATTTTGGTGATTGAGAACTGAGTTTTGGGGGATTGAGAACTGAATTTTGGTGAATTGAGAACTGAATTTTGGTGATTGAGAACTGAATTTTGGTGAATAGGATGAAACTAACCACGATTAGGATAGAATTGAGAAAACGATACAATAGTAGAAGCTACATTTAGTAGAAAGCTAGTAGAAGTTTCCATTTAGTCTACAGATCCAAACCAACAGAGAAATCTATTTTGGGGAATTGAGAATTGAAATTTGATGATTGAGAATTGAATTTTGATGAATTGAGAACTGAATTTTGGTGAATTGAGTACAAATCTGTTAAGATTTACTGTTAATTTTGGTAAGATTAAGGCTTATTGTTTAAGATTTGTCAGTATGATGTCAGTAAAGCTTTCTGGATGCGCTGGTTTTGCCTTGTCTAGTTGATTAAACATTCTTCAAAACAAGAAAAAAAAGGCTGATACTATCCGGCTTTACAGGGATTTTAAACTAACCACGATTAGGATACAATAGAGAAAACGATACAATAGTAGAAGCTACATTTAGTAGACAGTTAGTAGAAGTTCCATTTAGTCTACAGATCTAGGCCAATAGAGAAATCTATAGAGAAACCAGAGATCCAAGTCAGAGAAGAGGTTCAAGATATGGCTTCTGGCGAACTCAGGGGTTTTTTTGGGTCAAGCCTAGCCAGATAAAACGAAATAAAGCTAGAAGCCAGGCTAGGAACTTGTTTTTTGATCTGATCTAGTCAAGAATAACAAACCAAGTTACAAACAATCGTGAACAACCACCAAAGTTGAACTCAAACAAACAGCAACAAGAATTCTATTCCTAGCTTTTATCCAATAAGAAACTCATAGCCGATTTTCTTTAAAATAGCTTTCCAAAATCAAAAAATTGTCTATATTGAAACGTTCTGTTGATCAAGAACTGTCAAAAAGACTCCAGTTCAAAAAGAAATCTCGGTTTTAATCTCCGGTTCTTTATATCGTCTTTTCTTTCGCTGAAGTACCTCGTTCGCCCAACGTATAAGGAGATTTCAAAAAAAATCGCTTGAAAAGGAAAGATTCATCTATGAAAGAGCACAAATCAAAGTCTTTTCAAAAAAAAAAAAAACTTTGATGTCATTTTCTTCACTCTTTTTTTGCTGTGTACTTTACGTGTAACCTTGAAAAATTTCTTTGGTAATGAGTTGTTTCCCAAACAACTAAACTCGCGATTATTCATGGAAATTTGTCAAGTGTTTTGTTGTGATTTATGTTTGGTTTACCAAAATTATATTTCTGAAAAAAAAGATACAATAAAAAGTTATTGGATTATGATTTTTGCTTACTATTGGGTTCAAAGTGGTAACAAGAAGCGAAAAAATTTCTTAACAATAACTCAATCTCAACATTGAGCTCATTCATTCATTCGCCAGCTAGGTGTTGAGCTAGGTGTTGAGCTAGGTGCTGAGCTAGGCATTGAGCTAGGTGCTGAGCTAGGTACTGAGCTAGGCGCTGAGCTAGGTGCTGAGCTAGGCATTGAGCTAGGTGCTGAGCTAGGTGCTGAGCTAGGCATTGAGCTCATTTTCTAAAGTCCAAGCATCTAATGATGTTTTTCGTTCTAAAGTATGTTAAAATTTCCGTTTTATATTCATTGGTTAAGTACAAAGTATCCGAAAAAAAGAGACACTTTGTGTCAAATTTCTAAAACAAAAAAACTTTGTGGTAACTGTTTTTCTAAAGTGCCTTTTTTATTTGATTTCTTTTTCTGATATCCGATTATGCATTCCCAACCGTTTTTGCGTATCTTATCGAAATCTTTTGAGAAAAAACGTCCGAATAGTTTAAATATTAGATATTAGGTTATAATTTTAAAACAACCTTACTTTAGGTAAACATAAAGTCGATAAAACAATAACATTGGTTTAAACTAGTTAGTTGTTAAGGTATGGGGATTTATAACCGGATTGTGGCGAATAGCCACTAAAAGTTATCTAACTCTGACAGCCTAAAAATTGGAAAAATATTGAGGAAATCGGTGCGCCTTCATTTTATTTCGCGCCCCAAATCATTTATTGTTTTGTAGCTTGTTAGCTGAGTATCTTGTGTTAAAGCCTATATAAGGCAACTGTTGTTCATTTGTTTTTGGTTATCTTTCATTTGTTTTTTCTGCTTTCCTCTCATTTTTGTGTGAAAGTTGTGTCCTAATTAGGACGAAATTGCTTCTGCTTTTATCGTCACTTTAATTCAATTGTCGATATTGTGTGAAAGTTGCTCAAATGAGAGCCCAAAGATTCCGAGTCAATCGGCTATTGAATAAAGTGCTTTTTTAGTTCAAGAGAGATCAGATATCTCAAAACAAGAAATAACGTGTCTTGAGTGAAGAGTACCAAGCACGCAAAGAATATTTCTTTACACGGATAGTAACTTTCTTTTCTAATGTTTTCGTAAACAATTTTCTAGGACATCTGAAATAGAACTTTAAAAAGTCACTTTAGAAAAACAGTTGACGGCACGTCGTTGTTAGTATTGCGATGTACAGTCGGTGCTCTCGCTTTGCGGTCATTTTTCTTGTGCTAAACAACAGTTTTTCTAAAAGTTTTTTTTATACTATCTTGTAGCCCAATTGAAGGGCTACATTTTGATACCAGACTCGCACAAAGTGAAAGCCCTGGTAAATGGTAATTCCATTCGGCGAAATTTTCGTTTTTACACAGCGGCGCGACCTTCATGTTGCCTTTTAGTACCGTGTACTGTCAATTAAAGTCTGTAATTGTTTATCGGCCTCCTCCACTAATCAAATCGATGATTACTGAAGTTTTAAAGTGCCAAAGTTTCAAATTCCCATCTCCTTCAATAAACTTACAAAGTTTTTTGCCGCGTAACCTGTTTTTGTTGTTGTGCGAGCATTTCAAGGTCAAAAAATGTGTCTCATTTCATTGAGAGAAAATAAATCCAATAAACACTTTATACTGATATGTCTAGGATGAAAAAAAAAAGAATGAGTACAGACAAATCCCCGTATTCGAGAGATGGATGGGAAAGATGAGAGAATCAAGGAGCAGACATCAACCTGAGGATCGGACAGAAGCGGTTGAGCTCGCTGTAAGTTCAAAGAATGCCGATTTACAATGATGTGTAAATCAATGAACCGATGCGGGTTAGACAGTTGAAAATCTACAAAACTTGACGGCACATTTGTTTATAATCCAAAAGATATGTAAAGTTAGTGTCAAATAGAAATCCCGGAGCTACAGGGTTTTCAATAATTACCCGGACTCGATATTTTAAGTGTAACTCAGCACTCTGGTATGGAATCATCTCACGCTTTCTTTAATAGAAAATTTAAATATTTTTCTACAGTGGATTCGTAGGTTTGATGAAAAAAAGTTTTTCTTTCTTTTTTTTTATAGAATCTCAAAGTTGGAAGTCAGGAGTGTCGCGGCATTTGTTTTTGGTGGCTTTTCATTTCCAGAAAACATCAAAGATTGAGTATGTGTTTGAATGCTTTTATTTTTGCAATACATTATAAAACATTATCAAATGAATCGGAAGGTAATGTGCCCCTCAATTCGGCAAAGTTTTTTGGAATCTTGGTTTGGGTCTAAGCGTTGGCTTGTCAAAAATGACCCTGCGAAGCGAAATTTTGCATTTTTCATTTTCTTTTAAATGTGAATCTTTAACTTTTAGATAAATGTAACCTAATAAAGGTAAATTTAGCGCTAAAACGTGCATGATCACCAAAATTTTGTTAAATTCTTTAAAAACAAGCGGCAAGCAATTCTTGACTGCCAACTTTGAGTTTTTATAAAAAAAGACAGAAAAACGTTTTTTCGTTAAACCTAAGAGTTCACTATAGAAAAATATTTAAATTTTCTATTAAAACAAAGCGTTAGATGATTGCATGTCTGAGTGCTGCGTTACACTTAAAATACTGAGTTCGGGTAATTATTGAAGACTCTAGGGTATTTGCAGTCTGCAAATTGCAGACTTTTGTCATTTTTTTCGACAAATGCCTTATCACTGTAAGATCAGGAGAAATTTCTGAGTTAGTTTCCAATTCTAAATCATGATCTTTGCCATATCATTTGTTTTAAGCAAAAAAAACTCACGCCACTCCGGCGCCAAGGGCACAGTCGCAGAGTTGACCGGCATGCTGCTTCCAGTTCAACCGCTTCATGCAACTCTTCAGCCCGCGTTTTGCTTTTCGTTCGTCAAATCGAGGATTACATCTAAGCATTGCTATCTTTAAACTCGATTTTTCTCATCGTTTACCCATTTCGATCAAAGCATGTGCCGACAACATTTTGTTGTGCTGCACAACTCTCGACACAAACCCCGAAATCGAGTAAAGCGTTTGCGAAACCCTAAAACTTTCATAAATTGTATGAACCGATTCGGGTTAGACAGTTGAACATCTACAAAACTTGATAGCACATTTGTTTATAATCCAAAAGATTTGTAAAGTTAGTGTCAAATAGAAATTCCGGAGCTACAGGGTTTGTTTAAATAATTGTTTAAATTCTAAATTGTTTAATTTCTTAAATTATTTAATTTCTTAAATTGTTTAAATTGAATTCTTCAATTATTTTGAATTTATTGAAAATCCCATCAAAAAGATCCCAGTTGTGCTTTCTCTTTTCCCAATTCTTGGAACTCCGCCAACAGCTGTGCCAAGAGGTCTTTTCTCAAAAGCCGCCACAAGGCCGCGTGGCGCAATGGATAACGCGTCTGCCTACGGAGCAGAAGATTGAAGGTTCGAATCCTTCCGTGGTCGAGATCTTTTTGCTTTTTCACCTGAATATTTTTCAAAGATGACGAGCTCAAGATCTCGCCTCGACTCGACTGAACCCGAGCGACACCGATTTGCAGTGCCCTCCGGAAATCGTAGTGTGTCACTTGCGGTTGTTCTGCGCTGTTTGAGCAACTAGAAGTTTTTTTGATGTAAAATGGAAGCATCAATTCACTAAACCTGCCGGCTTCATGGATGATACATTGTAAGAATTGCTGAAGCACTGGTATTTTCTGATTTAAACAACCCTGTAGAGCGGCAGGATTGGAAGCAACCTGGAACCTTCTCGTTTAACCGTTTGAGTAACAAAAACAACTCGATTGAAAGATCCATAGCATCCAGGAGCACAGCTTGTCGCCTGTTGAATGGCTTGTTGGCCACAGATTTCTTCCTGAAATCTTCAAATCAAAGTCTAAAGCTTTTAGTGTGTTTTTTTCTCATTCTCACCATTCTCACTCATTCTCAAAACCCACCTCATTGCATCGACATTGCCTTATCGTCCCTGGTAAACGCGCTTGATTCAGCACCTCCATCGCAATTTTGGCTACCTGAATTCGTGAAATTGAAATGCTAATTCTAATTCAATAGATTACCTTATCGAACTTGCTTTTGCCAGCCACTGTCGACACAAATAATAGACACATTATTAACCGCAACATTTCAATCCTCAAAATAATAGTGATCTTTCCTACTCAATTGAAAGTTTCTATAACAAGAAAGACTATAACGTTGACCGTTCGGCAAACAGCAATAAAAAAATGAAAAAAAAAAACTGGAAAAAATTTGAAGCATAATTTCCAAGAGAAATTGATAACGTCTGCGGATTGAAAGGGAAAACTTTTTTTCAACCAGTTCAAAAGATTTAGAGCTCGGGAATTGCTATTCAACTCATTGTCAGGACAATAGTCTCAAAGAAACAGACTTTCTCTTTGTTGTTTGTGTGTGGCTGATCGTCTTTGAAAAAACGCGTGAAAACTCTCTCCTAATACGACTGAAAAAGTTGCGCGAGAAAAATTGATGGAACTTTTTTGAAGTATCCCAATGTGACAAGGGTTTTTCCCGAAAAACCCGCACATTTCAATGCGCTTTGTTGTTGAAAGTATTTCACTTTTTTAGATTTTTACAACGATGATTCATTGCTCAAAGTCGGCGGTTTGCTTGTGTTCTCGGACAATCATTTTTAAAATAAAACTTTACTCTGAAAACACCCAAAAGGCTAGTGATTCGAAACAAAATAGATCATTAAAATGAACATAGTGCAAATACATTAAAATATCCATGTGCAAAAGAAAGAAATCATGGAATGAATTCTAACGAACAAATACACAGTTTTCACAATTACCGTTGAAAGAAACCCGGACAATAAATTAACGAGGAGGGAATATACAAATGGATCTCATTCTAGGACCTTGAAAAGCATATCTCACTACAGCTTTGCAGAAAATAGCACCAATATACAACGGGTTTTGTTCAAATCTATTTGAGCCAAGAAAAAGCGAGTAAAGCAATGTAGACACGAAGCAAAGAAGCGCTACTATAGATTAACATTTAGAAGCTTCAACAGCGTTATCCAGGTGATCTCCGGTAGACTCTTTGTCACGATGAACACCTCGGCGTCTTCGGCGATATCGGCAACACGAAAACATAGAAAAGATTTAAGCTTGACAAAATCGCACTAGATCTCCTGGATCCAGGAAATAAATCACAGTCTTTCGATTCAAAAAGGTGCGGCTTTACAAATTTACAGTGAAAATGATCAAAGAAAATTTTGAGGCAAAACATAATATAATTTAGGCATCAAAAATGATAAATTTTAAATTTGGTATCTAGTGAGAAGGAAATATCCGGCTGCGGCCCCCGCAGCGCCCATAACGGCCAATTGAAGAGCATACCTCGGAAGCTTTGAAACGCCCCTTGTCTTGACCGGCGATGAAGAGACATTGCGTTGATACTCTTCCAAGTAACGGCCTATAAAAGAATTACTGGCTTTATTGTTTGCTGAATGTGTGTAACACTTAAATTTACTCCACCCCGTAGGTTCTATTCCATTGCTAAAAGAATTCAGTTAATAATAAGATTTTAAATTTTGGAAATAATACCTTTTAGAAGGACTGGTGGCATTAGTTTCATCAAGTAAGTGGCATCAGCAATGATCTCATCGACGGGAATCTCGTGAGGCATGGTGTTCAAACAGTGATGAATAAACGGCATCTCCTGTTCAACTGAAAGCACGGCAGCTCGTCTAAATCAATGAATTGCAGTTCATCAATGAATAAATCAAATGTAGTACCTGTACATAACAACAGCGGCAGTGACATAGATTGGGAATAAAGGATGGCTGGCGAGAAAAACATCAAAGCAACGAACAATCTAATTGCAAAAGTAAAGTCTGCTAAAACGAATTATCATGTAAAATACCTGATGATAATTGTGCAAAGAATGCGAGAACCAAGTTAATGGCCAACTTAAAGCAAAAAGGCCACCAAGATTGACGCTTCTCATTACCTAAACAAAAAAATAATAAGTTAACACCGTGCGCGCACTCACCTCTTCTAATTCTGGATCTGCTCGAGAGAGAATGACATAAACGAGGTTCAGTTCTTTCAACTAAATTTGTTTTAAAAGAAATATTTTAGCCAAAAGCTTACCACACTGTCTTCCAACGACTTTAGCAAGTAAGCTCGAAAAGAGCCCGATCGTGTGATATCCAATCCAACCTTCAGAGCTTTCTCCTTCCCCAGAACCAGCAAAAACGTCAATAAAACGTCATGAAAACCTAAGGAAATTTTACTAAAAAAAAGAAGACATTTAACCTTGATAATAGTTGAAACCGGGATTCGTGGAAAGAATTTGTACAATCAAAGGAGTGAGATCCTCTTGCAAAGTTGTTCGATGTTGCTCAGAAATGTTTGGAGGAAAACGAGCAAGTGTTCTAAAATAAACTCGAGCTAATTGGAAACTAGTTCCAAACCTCTGAACATCCATGTCAACCTGTCGCCACTCTTTGTGCTCTTGAAGTTTCTCAAGACGTTCATTCTCAGCATCAACGCCACTTTCCTGTAAAGCAACGACATATAGACATGTAGACATTATTTTATGGTACCTAATCAACCTTTGAAATTTTATAATACGGTAATTATATTCGTAAAATTAGCCCAACCTCGGGATCAGCAATTGGCGTCGTTTCTTCATTAGTCATCTCGGACATAGCTGATTCAAAATCTGAAGTTTGCAGATCCGATCCACTCGTTGATCGACTAACAGTGCAGCTTGGTGTGGCATCAGTGCAATCCTCGTCTTCACACGTCACCATTCTTTCAGCCAGAATCGGCCAGATTTCAGCTCTAAAGTCAAAAACATTAACTCAAAGAGTCTGACAGGGGCTCTAGTAGTCGGGGGCAAGTTTTTTTTGTCAAATGAGCTGATTTTTTGCACCCATTTTTTTGATCCGATCCATATTATAGGCGCCTATATTTACCTAGGTTTTGGCTCCGCACCTTCGAGGGACGTGGCTCCTAGGCTATCGCCTGATTTTCATACGGCTGAGGTGAGTTTTGTTCCAGCTAGAAGCCACGTGTTTTCGGTAGGAGAATCAGGCGATAGCCTAGGAACCATGTGCTTCTAAGGTGCGCGGTCAAAGCCTTGGTAAATATAGAAACCTTTATTGTCGCTATAAGTTACGAAATGTTGTGTGAAACCACCACCAAGCGATCCAGCATAGTCAAAAACCCCTGGGTGCAAAAAAAATCAGCTCATTTGGTGCAAAAAATTCCGCCCAACTAGTATAACACCGTCTAACATTACCTAAAATCATCATCTATCAACCCTCCGCGCGTTGTAGCAAAATGTCGAAGCTCATCAAGATAAAAATGTAGTCCTTCTTCACGATGCAGTTCCAGAAACTGATTGATATTATTTCGCTTTTCGCTTAGTGCTCGCCATTGCGCAGCTTTTATTGGATTTTCGCAAACCTGAAATTCAACAAGTGAAAAGGTGAAAGTCTAGTCAACAAAATGCTATTGATTAAAAAGTCAGGGCACACTTACTTCATCTCCTCCATCGACATCTTGATTAACATCGTTGCACGAATTCACCCATTTTCCTGCCACTGGATATGATCGTTTGCGTCGAGGGCTGTTTGGAGCCGAGATCGACGGCATTCCAGTCTAAATTAATAATGTAAAAAGGTTATATCAAATGTGCAAGTCCTTTCAACCCTTTATGTGATGAGCAAAAAAGAAAATAAATTTTATCTTTGAATTCGTTTCAATAAAGAATCGAAAACAAACCTGTACACGAAGCTCCTAACAGTGTTGTTGAATTCGCTAACGCCTTCTTTCTGAATTATTTAATTAAAATTATTAACAAGGTGCAAAACGGAGGCGCATCAATTCATCACCTATGTACACAAAGAATAAGTGAACTAAATTCAAAAATTGAACCAAAAACACCCGTAAAGCACAAAGCTGCTTAAATTTAACCCGATAAAGTACGAGTAATAGACGTAACACCTTAAATCAACAATAAAATTGAAATCATAATTAGGTATACAAAACTCATTGAGGAATTGGCAATACGTACCTGAGTTTACAAATGAAAGAAATTTGAATGATAAAACACTGTACATAGATAATCCCTTTGAAATTAAAATTAACTCTATTAAGAGCTTGAGGCGGTCAACAAAGAACACACTTCCTTAACTTGTCTAAAACGTTGCTGCGGCGTTGCACATTTCCCCTCGACATTTCAATTTCTTGCAAAGCCTTCTCGAAGACGTGTTTCACCGTGTTTTTTGACTTTCCAATGTTATCCTTGGCCGAAACTTCAAGAAAGACAGCCTCCCAGCTGCGTGCAAGCTGAAGTCCCTCTTCCTTCGTTACAGCTCGCGACTCCGACTGCAAATCGATCTTGTTGCCCACCAAAACCACCGGGAACTTTACGTCGCCCATGTGGTCGCGAATTTTGTCGTAGATGATTTGCACGATTTCGAAAGAATGACGATCATCGATCGAATAGACAAGAATATATCCGTCCACATCAAAAGCACATGATCGCGGAAACAACGAATATTGTTGATGTCCAGCTGTATCCATGATTCGAAGAAGGAAATCCTTTCCGTCGTACTTGTAGCTCTTTGTTTGCAAGTCCTCGATGGTCGTCTCATAGTCGTTGGAGAAATTGCCGGACACAAAGCGCTCCGTGATCGAACTTTTTCCGACGCAATAGCAACCCATCAACGCGATCTTTCGACGAATGACACTCATGAACCTTAATTTACAAAAATTATCAACAATCAAAACAAATACAGAAATTAAAAAGAAAACCAAATGATCATGAGTAAATTACAAGTGTGAAATTCGATATAGTGCAAGAGAACTATGGATTGAGCGAATCGCGTCATGCTAAACGGCGAAAAAAACCGGGAAACTTGTAGTTTGTAGGGGCGCCGGGAAATGAAAAACATGGAATAACACGCGAAATCCAGCAATTTCTACATATTTGCGCCGAAAAAGTCATAAATTCTATGGATGAAAGGGAAAACTCGATATATTTTTCTGCTACTTATTGCCGTCGTTATCAGCTTTCTACTAATTTATCGATTCTTGCCGAACACGCAAAATTATAATGGAGAAACGGATTTGCCGGAGAATTTCGTTGATTCAATCAACTACGATGATTTGAACAAATTGAAAAATTATCGGTGAGCGAAATTTTGCGCACGTTTTAGAAAACAATAAATTTAGACGCTTTATTCCTTCGAAGCAAAACGCTTGCACTTTCGCGAAATGTTTCAACTTCGATCGTTGTCAACAAAATCATAAGGTTTATGTCTATCCGACTGATCCAGAGCTGCGGACGTCGATCGTTTACTCGAATATTTTAAAGGTAAAACGATGGAAAGGGTGGAAATGGTCTAACTTTATCGCAACTTATCCCAGCTGGTAAACTTTCAATGTCGTAAACTTAGTGAAGTAAAGTTTTGAAGTTGAAAGCTATTCAGTTATCGGGGGTGTAAGAAAAGTTGACTATTTATAGCCAAAACCATTCAGGCGATTCGCGAAAGTCCGTACTATACAAGCAAACCGGAAGAAGCTTGCCTGTTCGTTCTTTCATTTGACACAATCGACCGCGATCGGACCAGGTTTTGAAAATAATAAAGCTCAAGATTACAAGAATTTCCAGTCGGAATTTTTTCCCAAATCTCCAAACTTATCTCGACAATTTGCCGAAAGATCTTTGGAATAACGGCGAGAATCATATCATTTACAATCTCTATCATGGTACATGGCCGAATTACTCGGAAACGGATATTGGGTTCAATCCGGGCAAAGCGATCATGGCACGGGCATCGGCGAGTGAACAGGTTGGATGAAATTTGAGTACTAACTTTGGTTGGTTAACGTTGGTTAACTTTAGATTTAGATTTAGGTTAACGGAATATCTTTAGAGACTCATTTTAAGCGCTATTTTTATCTATGAAATATTAACTTTTTAAAAAACTGTTTCACCCATCATGTAACCAAGAAAGCAAGGATTTTTTTTGATATAAAACTTGAAACGGCTTGGTTTTTTGGATTGTGAGGAATTTGTCGGCACTGTTTTAACTACATCTCCAAAATGCAATTTTAAAGAATTTTCGTCACGGTTTTGATCTCTCCTTTCCACTTTTTCACCCGGAACATCCCTTCAAAACGCCAATTGAGGTCAGAACAAGTTACAGTACTCAATTTCATATCTTATAGAATCAAAAGTACTCAGTCAATGCACCCAAAGAGTTCTTGGTCTCATTCAAAGGGAAACGCTACGTTTATGGAATTGGATCGGATACAAGAGACTCTTTGTATCATTTACACGATGGAAAGAGGATTGGTAAGGAAAATGAAATTTTTTGAAAATAAACTTTCAGCAATGGTTACAACTTGTAAGCACAATACCGATTGGCAGAACTACAAGGATGAGCGCTGTGAAGAGGATAATAAAAGATATGATGGGTGAGTTAATTTTTAAAAATTTTTAAGCTCTGAAGCTACTAGTTGTTTGGATATGAACATATCTAGTCGATTGTTGAATTTCAGTTGGGACTATCAATACCTCCTTGCGAATTCCACGTTTTGCTTAACGCCTAGAGGGCGGAGACTAGGCTCGTTCAGGTATAAATAGAATGATAAAAGATAAAACATGAAAGATACAGAAAACTCAAAATTGAGTTATTTTTCAGATTCCTTGAATCTCTGGGAGTTGGATGTATCCCGGTGATTCTCTCGGATAACTGGGTGCTCCCATTCACTGAGATTATTGATTGGAACTCGGCCGCGATTCGGATTGCTGAAGAGAATGTGCTATTGGTGGGTAGGGTTTGGAAAAATGGTTTTCAGTGCGCCAGAAAGGATATGTTTACATGTAGACACAAAGTAAACAGAACGAAACAATTTTGCCCTAGAAGTTCACCAGCTAGAAGTTAATGAGCTAGATTTTTCAAAGCCGAGAGCTTCTAAACCGGTTCTAGTCAAAAGCCTAACTCTATTGATTGTAATGATTGTAATACTATAAGCAAAACTTATCGAATACCATTATATAAATTTTAGACCACTGATGCCATTTTCTCTCTCCCAAAACGAAAAATCGATCGTATGCGGGAGATTTCGAAAAAGCTCTACGATCGCTACTTTTCGAGTGTCGAGAAGATCACTCTAGCATCACTAGAAGTAAAAATCAAAAAACTTCTTTTAAAACAATCATAAGAGTAGATCGTTTTCTCGCGAGTGAAAAAGATGCAAAGATCGCTAGCTAAAGCCACTCCTCAAGTTGAATTCAAGTTTGAAGGCTCATTTACCGCAATCATCTTCACTGCTCCAAAAGTCTCATCAAAATTGCAAAAGATTATCACTGAAATGATGAGGATAAAAGGGATGCGAAAGGTTTGAAAATCATAAATGATTTTAAAATCAAATTTCAGATTTTTATTTTATGGCACAAGGAAAGGGGCACGGCGCCAATTGGAGCCGATTTTGGGACAAATGTCGACAAGGAGTTTATTGTATACAACACGGTATACAATTTTTCGGACTAAATACATAATACATTTTGTATTTTGTAATCGATAAATCGATACATCGATACAAGCTATTTTATGAGTAGAATAAGCAATGGACTTAAAAGATAAAAGTAAAATTGACGTCAAGGCAGGATTTGATAAGCAGTTTTCAAGTTAAAGTTTAAAATAGTGAGGGGAAATGACGATAAAACGGAAGTATTTCTTTTTTTAGACTAATTGGTGTCTCTCATGCATTCCCATGCAAAAACTCGCCAACATCCCATCATCGGTGCTCTTTTTCGATGAACGTTTGGGCGAAATGTTGATCAATGAAACGCAAGCAATGCTCGGTCAACACAAAAAGTTTCCGGAAAAACTTTTTACCTTGCATACATTTGAATATATCGTAAGTGATTTGAAAAATGAACTTAAAAAGCTTCTAAAAGCAAGTATCAAGGCTAATAATTGTAGGCTCTTATAGCAAGTATTAACCTAACAAACAAACAAACAAACAACAAGTATTAACCTAAGAAACAAACAAACAAGTATTAACCTAACAAACAAACAAACAAACAAACAGGTATTAACCTAATAACAAACAAACAAACAATTATTAACCTAACAAACAAACAAACAAACAAGTATTAACCTAACAAACAAACAACTACTACTATGCCCTACAAACTACAAAGTCAGACTACAAACCATAGAAACGCATAGAATAGAGAGTTTTGAAAACTTTTTCTACCAAAACTTCGAGTCAACTTTAGGCTTTCGAATGATACTAAAATCAAGCAAAATCATGTTCTCTGCAACTGAGATTTAACTTTTTTTTTCAGGTTTATAGTTTTGTCCCGTGGGACGGCTATAAATAGCTCGTTCTCGGAGTATAAATGGTAGATTTTCTTAGTTCTAGTATCATTCGAAAGCCTAAAGTTGGCTCAATTTTTTGGTAAAAAAAGTTTTTAAAAATATCTATTCTACGCAATTTTATAAGAGCTTGTAGTTTGGCCTTGTAGTTTTTAGGACCAATTTCCACTACCTAACGTTTGAACCAGTCGATCAGAGTGGTTTAAAAAAGCTAAAACCAGGGCAATGCCTAAAGTTCTTGCTCTCAAATTTGTGTTTTCTAAAACATGTTAACTTTTGAATCTTTCTTCAAGTTTTATCTATTATTTTTTAGCAAAAGCCATCTTTCACAACCGGTATTCCACGGGTTTTTAAAATAGCATTCCCTTCAATGGCAATTGCACACAGGTTTGTGTACCATTTATCTTATAAAAGCATTAAATTAAATAATAAAGCATTAAATAAAAGAATTAGCCTTAAATTTAGATGATTTTATCTGTTATCTTTTAGCTCTTACTTGACAACATTCCCCCTTCGTGGCTCAAATCCTGAATGTGATTGGGTGAGGCTTTCGGGTGAGTGAAAAGAACATTTTGCTTGTAGACTCAAGTATTCTTTAGTTATTCTTTGCAATATTTATTTGAATTCTCAATTTCCACTACACTTTCAGTTGCTGCCTCCTATTTGAGCTACTCTCCACCGATTCGAATCGGCTCAACCACACTGCAGTCGTGGATGAAGTTACAGTCTCTGAATCGGTGTTCGCAACAAGTTTGTTTTAACAGATTATTTAACATTTAGTTATTGAGGGTTGTCGTATGTCGTAGCCGATGAAGGATTTCAGCCGAAGAATTCTCAAATTTCTTCGCTAACGAAACCTTCTTCGGCTAGCCGATTAAGTCTCAAAAATGAAATCTTGAGTTATGTATTGACTCAAGTCAATACCACAAACTCAAGCCCTCTAAACGGCGCTTAAAAGCTAAAAACGCATTCTAGTTGCAGTTGCATTTTGCATTTTTCATTGCAAGTTGCATTTTTCGACCAAACTAAACAACAAAAATAAACAATAATACCAAAAAGCGAGTTTATAAACAATAATAAAACAAAAATAAACAATAATACCACCGGTTCACGAGTTCTTTGACCTAAAAGCAAACAAAATAAAGCGTCATAAAGAAATTCGATAGGACACAAAAGTAAAAGTTTACCAATTGGTTGGCGAACTCCTTTCCGTTGTCGGACTGAAGAATTTTTGGGGCTCCAAACGTTCCGAATATTTCCATTAGATGATCGACAACTTTTAGAGAGCTTGAGTTTGTGGTATTGACTTGAGTCAATACATAACTCAAGATTTCATTTTTGAGACATAATAGGCTAGCCGAAGAAGTCTGAGATTTAATCGGCTAGCCGAAGAAGTCTGAGACATAATAGGCTAGCCGAAGAAGTCTGAGATTTAATCGGCTAGCCGAAGAAGTCTGAGACATAATAGGCTAGCCGAAGAAGTCTGAGACTTAATCGGCTAGCCGATGAAGTTTTCGCTAGCGAAAAAATTTGAGACTTCATCGGCTACGACATATACAAATATTAAATCTAACTTAAGTCCAAGAAACTAATTTTTCATCAATTTCAGCTTTCTCCCCATTTCTCAACGGATCTCCAATTACCTCCAGCTGATCAAAGCTATATTCTGTAATTCAAGAATTTAATAGAGCCAAATTTTATGTGATATTCATCTTTTTCGATATTTATTACCTGTCATGCAAAAAAGTGAATGATAGATTTGAAAAAAGTGAAGGAAGGCATCAATAATTTACAGACAACAGACAACTAAAGCTTGAGCGGTTTGTTGATAAAGTCATAAACTTATAAGAATGCGAAACAACTAAGTAAAAGAATAAAGACATTGAATAGTTTGAAAATTTGTTCACCCGAATTCTCTGGATCACTTTTTCGGATATTCGGCTGAGTGGTTTGTGGTCTTTCGAAGATCTCGCCAGGCTTTTCTGTCGTTTTCATTTTCTTCGTCACTATCACAATTTCTTTTGTTGTTGTCACTCGTTCAGTTGTCCGCAGCCTCATCGTTGTAGTAGTCGGTTTTTCCGTTGTCCAATTTCGAGGTTCTTCCCTCAACTTCAAGTCATTTCCCACGAATTCTCTGTCTTCATTGAAGACAGTAAGATTTGTTTTTGGTGTTGGAGTTGAGTCAGCTTCAGCTTTCCGGAGGATTTCAGTGATTTGCGGGAGAAGTGGTTTCTCTTCGTCTTCTTTCTCGGCAGATTGCTGAAATCATCAAGGTACTGTAGTCTTTGTCAGACAGCCAGCCAGCCAGACAGCCAGCCAGCCAGCCAGCCAGACAAAAATCAAGTACCGTAGTCACCTTTGTCTGGCTGTAGTCAGAATGAAAACAAATCTCAACGCCTAATGCACTAAGTGAATAGTTTGAACTAAATTGTTAAGCCTCACCTCAACGGGTCTTCCGGGCACCTGCACGTGGAAGTCAAGTACAGTTGTGCCTCGATTCACATCTGAAATATCATATTAAGTTGATTCATTCAGTTTATTTGAGGCTTATTGTTTATTGTTATTGTTGAGTTTATTGAGCAGTTGTGATCTTGTGGACTCACTTCCATGATACTTCAAGAAATCATCCAAATAGAACATGGTGTTACTGTGACGAGAGCCAGTCAACGCGGATGGAGCCGCGTGACTGTAAGCACCCTAAAGGAATACGATTCGAGTTTTTGATAGGATTCGTGCAAATGGTTCTTCTCGGAAATCGGGATCTTTGAATAAATATGAATGTTAACTTTTGATACAGTTCTAGAGGACACTACAGGTTTTCAAATGATATCAAATGGAGGTTGATTGGACTGAGAATCCTGGGAGAATCAAGGGATAAAACGCTCAAGTCAGCTCGAATTGTTCTCTCAATTTAGCTAACTTTAAGTAATATGTGGTTTAACGAGTGGTGTAGAATTTCTAACAAAAATACGGCCAAATTTAATGCAAAAATTGATTGAAATGATAGCTGTTCGCAGGGAAAAGACCCGGATTTTCGAGAAGAACTATTAGGTAAATGCATAAGAAATGTGGATTCAACATTTTCATAAATTTCCAACGATAGAAACCTGATATCGATGAATGTTATAAACTATTTGAAAGTTGTAAATCTCCTCTACAAAATAGGCTAAAACGTGTTTCAATTGATCGAATCATTGAAGAAATTTCGGGCGATTGAAGAGGGCGAAATGCGAGTGACCAAAAAAGAAATCGAGTCACTTTAGGGACAAGTTTAGTGTGGTCAAAATAGAGTTAGCTTCCCAAAATTGAAGATTTAAAAAAAGGATAACTATATATGAATTCATAAAGAAAGTCTAACGGAAATGCATTTACAGAAATTTAGATAGAGCGTAAGTTCAAAACCCTCAAAATTGCCAAAAAACCGGCTTTTTCACAAAAAAGAAAAATTATTGTAAAAACAAAGTTTTCCCATGAAATGATCCCAACTCTGAATTATTTAGAATGATATTTTAGGATTTGGTACAGATTTGCTTCAGATTTGGTACAGATTCGGTTCAGATTTGGTTCAGATTTGGTTCAGATTTGGTTCAGATTTGGTGGGTCATTTTCCACTATATAGTCAAAACCGAACTCTTGTGAAAGTGGGGTTTTCAAAAAGTGCCCTTTTTTGGTCACTCGCATTTCGCCCTCTTCAATCGCCCGAAATTTCTTCAATGGTTCGATCAATTGAAACACGTTTTAGCCTATTTTGTAGAGGAGATTTACAACTTTCAAATAGTTTATAACATTCATCGATATCATGTTTCTATCGTTGGAAATCTATGTAAATGTTGAAATCCGCATTTCTTATGCATGTACCTAATATGTAAATTTTAATCCTGTTTTTGGTTCTAACCAGATTATAGCCTTTTAAAAATCTCATCAACCTGTGTCTGCCCTTTTGCCCAGATCACATGTAAAGGTCCGGGTCCCAGTGGGTGATCGGTTGGCTCGATTTCTGGAAATGCAAATGAATCAACTTTATTCATTTAGCTTCTCTAGGGCCAACCTTGACTCCATCTTCGGAACATCACAATCGTTCGACCGTCGATTTCAATTCCAGCCGCACCAACCAACGAATCTTCTCCATCGTACCTACAAGATCAATTTTAGACTTATTGTTACCACATCCACATATAACAAACACTTGTTTCAAAATTGCTTTCAAAATTCATTGCTAACCAAAAATCGTCCAAGGGTGTACTCCGATCTCTCGAGTACATATCCCTAATATGCATTCGTCCGTCAATCACAGCCGCCGTCACCACATCTGTGCAATCCATTGCATGAAGTGGAGCTTCGAGGGCGGTACGTACTGAAACATTTCGATTATTAATGACTCTAGTACAGTTCTCAAAGCTTCTTACAAAGTCCATTGTTTTGAGGTAGCTTGGGTGCAGGGCCTTCTTGATCGGCGAACTCGGGTGCATCGAAAAGATCGGACTCGAAAATCTCCTCCGATACATTTCTTGCTTGTCTTTTTCTTCTATCGCTAGCTCCTGAAATCAATTTAGCCGATTATAAGCTTCTAAAAAGCTCAATAACTTTTTTCCGATTCTAAAAAGCTCAATAACTTTTTTCTTAACTTCTTTCACTGTTCAAGTTTGTTAGCCTATTGTCCTTCATTTTAAACTCATAGCCTGAATACAGCTCTACCATTTACACATTAAACTACCTACTTAACTGTAACAATATATAGCGTTTACACTTTAAAATAGCAGAAGTATGGTATAGCGAGATATAGAGATAGAGTATAGCGAGATATAGAGATAGAGTATAGCGAGATATAGAGATAGAGTATAGCGAGATATAGAGATAGAGTATAGCGAGATATAGCAAGATCAGTCATTTATCTGATCAGATCAGTCTTGTAATAGTCTACAATTTGCTTCAAATTTGTTCAATTTGCTTCAGAGTTTAGGCCGATTTTCGGGGTCGTTATAAGCTATTTCTCTCTTCGTTAAAACGTCGGCTAATGGCGCAGTGGATAGTGTGTTCGCCTCCAAACGGTTCTGGATTTTTCTTTGGCCGGGTTCGAGTTCGCTCCCGGTATTTTATGCTTCCGCTTTTTTTGAGAAAATGATTAGAAAATGTTTATGGCATCAGGATTGCTTTATTTTGACTTTGATTAACGGAGAAGTGTTTAGAAATGATTTAGGGACATAAATGCTTTGTTCATGAATGTTGTTTGTTGTTTGTTTGTTTAAGATGTCACGGACTGCTTATGCAAAAATAGTGGAATACAACACACGGAATGGAATTGAATTGATTTCCACAAAATAGTGAAATTCCATTCAAGTTTTCTAATCATTTACTAATCTCAAAAAAGCAAAAACAAAAAGGATATACCGGAAGCGAACTCCACCCTGGGCAAAGGATTCTGGAGGCGAGCAGACTATCCACCGGGCAAAGGATTCTGGAGGCGAGCAGACTATCCACCGGGCAAAGGATTCTGGAGGCGAGCAGACTATCCACCGCGGCACTAGCTCTCTTTTTAAGGAAGAGAGAAAAATGATTTCTACCACATTATTGTGAATAAATGTGTTTTTAAAATCTCTACCCTCAAGATCCGGAAAGAGGCGACAAGTTGAGGAGAGCTCAAGCGGTCGCCAGCCAAGTGACACCCAAGAAGTCGTAGCAAAATCGAGGATGATTTCAACGTCTTTCTGAAGAGCAATTCTTAAAAGAAACTCCACTTTTTCTTACATCGACTTTTCGGAAATAGATTGTGTCATTTTCGGGTAATTCTTTCGCATTGAAGCATTCAGGATTGAACATTCCGTACTGTGAGAAGCGATCGTTATCCAAAGTGTCGTAGGCAAAGCACTCATCCGAGTCAGCCGGGAATCCTAGATTTAGAAAAATGAGAAATTCAGAGCTGAAATGCTGAAATCAAAAAAATCACTTCTCTGGCATCGATGCCCAAAGAAGCCGTACGGACAAGCGCAAATCTTTCGGATGAGTTGCCCGTTCTGCGCAATGCATAAACCAGCCGATCCACAGTCCGAATCTTTCTTGCATTCGGCTAAATCAATTTTTGTGTTGTTATTTTGCAAATCAAAGGTTTTTGCTGATCAATTTGCTACCTTTAAATTGACATTTCTCCCCTTCCCAGCCTCTTGTGCAATCGCATTGTCCATTGACGAGTGTGCCACGCTCTGAGCATCTATAGCAGAGAAATTTTGCATGTAGATGCTACACTTTACAGTAGTGATACATCGAAAATAATAGCATTAAACCAATAGCTTTTGAGTTGATAGTAAGTAAGTAAGTAAGTAAGTAAGTAAGTAAGTAAGTAAAAACGTACGCCATCTCATCTTTTGGTGGGGTGAGTCCAATCGTGACATCGGCACACGAACGGAATGTGTACGAGAGACCCCATTCAAGAGCCTGGACAAAGATTTGAGGAGATTCAAGGGTGGCCCACGTCAGAGGGCCTAGATTGACCAAATTTGGGTCAATCGTTTTTGGTTCTTTAGGAGCTAAATGTTAAGTATGTCTTCTAGAACGATTTAGAATTGATTATCTAATCGATTCAACCTTTCAACTTTTTTATATAGCTTTCCAAAGTTGAGAGCCAGAGTCACTCATTTATGGGATTTAAAAGTATCATTTTTTTTATAAAAAATCTTTATGATTTTAATGATTTTTAAGATTCAAGATTCAAGATAAGATTTTCAATTAATTCAATTATTTATAAAATTAGGAGATCAATTTAAAAGCTATTTGAAAAATAAGATTTTCTTATTCTTTATTTCTTATTCTTATTCTCTGAATGCCCCAAGTGAAAACAGACCATATTAAATAAGTTTTGGTGAGATTTCTCATGAATTTTTGCACTTAAACTGCGTAGAGGATGCGAAATTGTCGTTGATTAATTGATTAACATAATAAATTCAATCTGGACAAGACTGCTCTCAAAATAAATCCTATAAATCAGCGCGTCGAGCGACTCTGGCTCTCAACTTTGAAAGGCTATATAAAAAAGTTGAAGGGTTGAATCGATTAGATAATTGGGACTATATTAGGAGATATACTTAAGAATTATCTCCAGAAAAATCAGAACAATTGACTCAATTTTGGCCAATCTAGGCCCTCTGAAGTGCGGCGCTCTAACTGTGGGCCTGTCGAACTTTGATAGTCTTGTTAAGGAAAGATTGAAAAAAAAACGAACCTGCCTCTCCAACAAAAGCGTACACTGCTCACAGGGTTTTGTGAATTTGATCTCCACACTATCCGTCCTAGAAATATTTATGTAGTTTGAGCTCAAAACAAAAACAATTCCTTTTTTAGCACATTTGCTTTTAGCACAGTTCAAATTCAAAAGCTCCAGAAAGAGTGTTTCCCCATTTTTTAAAGTACAAAGTGCATAAACCTTACGTCTGATCTTCAATTCCGACAAAGAAAGTCCCATTATTGGTGAGATAATCAAAATCTTTTCCATGTTTATCCAAAAGTCGAATGCGGTAGCCTCCCTGAAAGTGTATTGTGCTTTTATTGGGTTGGTGAATTGAAAACTGCCGGACTTTGGACTAAAATTTATTCAACATAAAACCATGAATTCATTCCAAATAATTTCCATTATTATTGACGACTTCTGCCCATTTTAAAGGCAATTTGCGGATTCCTCTTTCGTAGTAGGATTTTGGTTTTGAATCGAAAAACTTTCAATGCCAATTTTTGACTGCTTCTTCCGAATCGAAGTGTTCTCCCGCAAGCTTATTACTCATGATCCGGAATAAATAGTAATCAAAAGGGGCGAGGTCCGGACTGTATGGGGAATGCGCCAAAAGTTCCCAAACAAGGCTATTTATTTTAGAGCTAGTCAGTTTTTGAATTGAAAGCGAGGGTTGGTGAATTGAAAACTGCGGGACTTTGAACTAAAATTTATTCAACATAAAACCATGAATTCATTCGAAATAATTTCCATTATCATTGACGACTTCTGCCCATTTTAAAGGCAATTTGCGGATTCCTCTTTCGTAGTAGGATTTTGGTTTGTGTGTGAGACAAGTGTGAGACTCAAAAATGGAGGACTGGAGATGTCCCAGTTTGAGCACTTTCTTCACTTTCTTCAAAAGAAACCCATTTTGGTGTGAATAGAAAAGTTGTAGAGAATCAAAAATTAGGCTTATAGCCAAATTTCCAAAAAGATACACTTAGTAGTTTCGCTTAAAATGCAAGTTTTGTGAAAATTCGTAAATTTGGCATTTCTTAAAAACCAGTTTTTGAATCGTTCTGAAAATTTGGATATAAGCTTGATTTTTGATTCTCTACAACTTTTCCATTGACACCAAAATGGGTTTCTTTTGAAGAAAGTGCTCAAACTGTCACATATGACAATAGCCGGCAGTTTTCAATTCACCAACCCAATAAATGCTAATTTCTAAGCTAAAGATTTTTTTTCATTTGTAAAGATAAACCATTAAATTATCAACTTATCAAATATATAGAAATACGTCAAAAAAACATAATCTCCATCAAAAAAAACAATCGTTTACTTTTCCCAAACCTGATGTGGGTACTGCATTCTCCACGAGATGTTCACTGGCGCTCCAACCGTGTACTCGGTGTACTCAGCTAAACTTTGGCTAGAGATAATATTTGACTGTGAAGTTTTTTGAACATTCACTTTTAAACTATCTTAATAAATATAGCAGAATATTGAGATTTACAGGATTTGCAGAGTACCTCTTGTTGGTTTTGGTACGCCACAGGGGCCCTTGGTTCGCGCGGAATCAAGGAAATCAAGAGGTGGAAATCTGGAAATGTTAAGATGAAATCGAAATTCGGTTGAATATATTTTAAAGCTGAATATCTTTATCTTTATCTCACCTAGCTGGTGGATTTGTTAGACTAATATGCGCGCTGGCTCGATAGCTGATCACGAGTAACACGCTCAACCATTGCATTCTGAAATCTCATCAAATTTGTCAATAATTAAAACTGAAATTCTTTGGGTTAAAGATATTCAATCTAACAATTGATATGATTATAAGAATCTTTTAAAAGAAATTTTTATAATCGTTCATTAACTGCTTATTTAGAACAATAAGAACAAAGATGAACAAAGATGAATAAGACAAATTAAGCAGAGTTAAGCCAAAAACACCACATAGAGGTTGATATCAAAACGTTATAGTATCTAATTTTTAAAAGAAAAACAGCTATGAACTTGCTAAAATGATTGAGTGAGGCTCGAGAAAAGCTTTTTGAGGTTTGAGGAGGTGATTTTTCTCTTTTCACCACCATCGTTCCACTCAAATGACCGCCGGACAAAGCGAATGATCGAGAAAATCAAGTGTTTAGTGATTCGATTAAAAATAGACACACAAATAACTTAAGAAAGAAAGAAATTCTACTTAATAATCAGATACTGAACAACTCTGCTTTGAACAAAGAAATTCTACTTGACATCAGATACTGAACAACAACAGCAACAAACATAAAACTTTGCTAATCAAGAATTGATATTGAAAAAGTTTTGTGGTAAACGATAGAATGAATAAATAAATAAATGAATGAATAAAAAAATGAATGAATGAATAAATAAATGAATGAATAAATAAATGAATGTCAAGAAAGCCAATTGAGTCAAGAGTCTTTTATTGAATAAAGCAACAAATGACAAGAGCTCTTCACGAATCTTGAGATTGGATAGGAAGCAAATGGTGGCATAAAGGAAAGTGGAAAGTATTTGGTGATGAATCAGGACGCCGTTATGCAATCATCATTCAAATTCCTTTGAGTCTACAATTTGAGAAAGAACTTATAAGAGCTGGAATGAATAGAAATATAGAACTGTGAATCAACTGGTATCTTGAAATTTTTCTATAAGTGAAAAATGGTCGGTCAAAGTTGCCTGTAGAAGCCGGGTTCTCTAGCTTAAGGCGATTGACTGATTGTGAATATCGCCTTTCATAGAAGCAAGGGTAGAGGTCAAAGCCAAGACGGTTTTATCTTAGAAACCCATGAAAACAAAGACAGAACCAGATTTCCACTTGCAATTTTGGTTTTTAATTTCAAGAACCTCTTTCAGAACCTCAGAAGGAAATGAGTGAAAGTTTGGCAAAACTATACGGAAAAATCCATTTCGTTAACGACGGCAAATGTCGCGGATGGAGAAGAGCTAAATGGGGAGGAGATTGAAGGAGGAGGAGAAGAAGGAGGCGAAGAAGGAGGAGAAGGAGGAGGAGAAGAAGAAAGAAAGGAAGTGGATGGGTGGTTTTGTGGAAAAGAAAAGAATAAGAAGAAGATGGAGATGGGGTGGAGGTTGCCGGGAATTAGCCACCGAATGGTCAACGGTTTCCACCACACTACTCATCTAAATGCTTTCCCCTTTCCATAAATGGCTTTCCCAGGTTTTTTTAGATTATTGTAATTAGCAATAGATTTGCTTTTAGAGAAGTTAAAGCTTGTACTTCACCAGCAAAGGCAACATTTCATTCAACTTTGAATGGTAGAGAGTGTTCAATATTTCTGGGGATCATAGGTTTAAAGGTTTAAAGCTCGGTTTAAAGGTTTAAAGCTCGGTTTAAAGGTTTAAAGCTCGGTTTAAAGGTTTAAAGCTCGGTTTAAAGGTTTAAAGCTCGGTTTAAAGGTTTAAAGTTCGGTTTAAAGGTTTAAAGCTCGGTTTAAAGGCTTAAAGCTCGGTTTCAAAGTTTAAAGCTCGGTTTAAAGGCTTAAAGTCACTAGGTTTAAAGGCTTAAAGCTCGGTTTAAAGGTTTAAAGCTCATTTTATACAAATCTAATGTTAAAAAAGAAATAAACATATAAAACACATGTACTTTAACAAGTTCGCATCAAAAAAATTGAGTAAACAGTAAAAGATAGTGAGCATATTTGTCCAGTTTGTCTCAGCTCTGTAATTCAGTGCTTTCTTAATGTTTCTTTTTTTTCATAGACCGATTTTAAAATCGTTAAACAACTTTGAAACTTCAAAAAAAAAACAAAATTCTTCATAAAGATTGAGCTCTGATGACGAGGGTTTGCTTGGAAATTGTTCTACAAATTGCAAAGTCCTACAAATCGAATAAGTTGCACAAGTATCCAAAAGTAATATAAATTAGAAAGCATTGAGTGAATTGAATCAACTGAAAAATGCATCACAAATGGAATGTGGATAAGATGCGGTTTTCCGATGGAAGTGAATGGTTCAAAGAAAAACTTAGCAGCAAGTATTTGACAGTATTAGATTCTGCAAATGAAATACGTCTAGTTACTACAAGAAAATGCCGGTCAATCGGAAATCTTGGCTCTTCACCGATCTCTAAATGGTTTCCTTTCTTCTTCGCCATCCATTCTCCATCTTTTCTCAAATTTTCTCCTCTTCTTTCTTCTTTCTCACTTTTTCTTCCGTTTCCCCAGGCAAAAAGTCAAAAGAAGATCGCATTTTGTTTCATCTTTTCTTTTCTAAATACCCTTTTCGTGAACTGTTTCATCGTTTTTTTTTACTTGGCTTAGCTGTGTGACGAATGAGTTTGAAATTTGACCTATTACTTAAAAAGAGAAGAAGGAGAAGAAGGAGAAGAAGAATAAGAAGAATAAGAAGAATAAGAAGAAATTGAGAGCTACTAAATCATGTGAGTTTAGGGAAATAGTAGATGATCAAGAATTGTCAGATCGACAAAAGTTTTCTGAGCTCAGTGAAAATTGCCACAAATTCTAGTTCGTGTTTTGATCCACACAATAAAATAAACAAAATCTAGAAGTCAAAACGTTAATTTCAAACACAGGATAAAAATGGAGGCAAAACTGGGGAAGCTGCACAATGAATCGAAGGGGATGGTAAAGCAATTCATGTGCATAGAAAGGTTTCAAAGAAAAAAAAATGTTCTCAATGCAAAAGCTTAACGCTCTTTTTGGGGAGTTCAATAGAAAAGAAGAGTTGAAGAACTGGTCACCGCCGATCGTATTGGCATCGACTAAACTCTTTTTTTTGGATGGAGCAAAATCATAAATGTCTACTGTAGATCAGAAATTTGGTAAACTTTAAAAAGAATCTAATCTAAAAAGAAAGAAAAGCTAATCTATCGTATCTACCTGAAAAAGAATTAATATTAATAAGAAGATTAATAAGAAGATTAATAAGAAGATTAATAAGAAGATTAATAAGAAGATTAATAAAATTCTACTGTATATCTGAAATTTCCATTTGAAAACCAGCTACCAAATCTACCTAGAGATAACAAAATCTAGCCTGAAAGCTTGAAAGTATGCCTGAAATTTTGTTACTAATTCAGTTGGAAATTGAAAAATTATATAATGTATTATATTTGGGTGCATAAACGGAAGGAAAATTGCTGGAGAGACTCTGTGAAAGAAAGGATGAATGAGAAAGGAGAGGAGATTCAAGAGGATGAACACAACGTATTTCTATGGCATCATCTCGTGAACTGGTTTCTTTCTTCGTCTCACATTTCTCTTTAAGCCAATTTCTATCAATAAAAGTTAAACAACTGATATATGAAATTTTTAGAGACAAAAAAAAAAGTTCTTGCTTAGAGTATTTAAATCAAAACTCTCGATTTTTCGCTTTTACTAAACGATTTTCTGTATCTGTAAAGAAATATTGTTTCTTTACAATATTGTTGTTAAAATATTGTTTCTTGCTTGGCACTCTTCACTCAAGACACGTTATTTCTTGTTTCGAGATATCTGATCTCACAGATATCTGAACTAAAAACACTTTATTCGATAGCCGACTGACTCGGAATCTTTGAGCTCTCACTTGAGCAATTTTCACACAAGATCGACAATTGAATTAAAAGCGACGATGAAAAACAGAAACAATTTCGTCCTAATTAGGACACAACTTTCACACAATGAGAGGAAAGCAGAAAGAAAATGAAAGATAACGGGAGTGCGACAAATGCGACCTTTTTTTGCGCACCCGAACATTTGCGCACCTTTTTTTCCGCACCTTGCCCATTAGCACACCTTTTTTTGCGTTTCAAAAAAGCTCTAAAAAGCTAATATTAACCAATTTCTATTCCAAAAGTTGTTTTTCTAGGTAATTTGAGAGTGTCGAATTCAAATTTTGGCATATCAGAGCTTGTGGAAACCAATTTGAAAGACAAAACGGCTAGGTCAAATTACAGAAAATTGTCGATTTTTCTCTTTGTATAACTCCGTCCGTTTGTTTCCACACGCTCTGATCTGTCAAAATTTCGATTCTACGCCCTAAAATTACCTAGAAAAACAACTTTTGGAATAGAAATTGGTTAATATTAGCTTTTTAGAGCTTTTTCAAAAACGCGAAAAAAGGTGCGCTAATGGGCTAAGTGCGGAAAAAAAGGAAATTAAGAAAGACAAAAAATACCCGTATCGTTAAAACGTTTTTACTAGAAGCTAATGATCGTTGATAAATGGATTCTTGTGATGTACATTTGCATACGGATCGCTAATTTCTTGATAAGCAAATGTCCTAAGTTTATTTGTTTTGTCGTAAACGATAATAATACCTGTTGGCTTGACAAACGGGGCCGCAACGTCTCGACCCACATCTTGGACAAGGCCAATGACAACCCGAACAGGCAGCTCGCAAACAGTCACATAATGTGAAACGTTCTCCGTTGACAACCAATTTTCCTAAACTTGAGTGTTACAAAAGAATAAGTGTATCTAAACCTTTCTCATCGTGGTATGGATCTTTGCGTTCCGTTCTTTGCTCGTTTTTCTCTATATAAATAGTCAGTGATTAGGTAAAAGCAAACGATCAACTTTCAATTTTAATGTGAAAACTATTTTCCAGCCAAAACTTACGTCTTACTGCTCGTTTTCTTCTTGAGGTGCCAATAGAGCCATACTCAGCAAGAATTTGATTTGTACCCGGATTTTCAAATTGCAGATTCTTCAATTCTTTTGTCATAAGCATCTCGTTTGCTAAAAGTACATACGTGAATAACAGTTTTCACCAAAGTTTAACGCTATTCTTTTAAATTAAAGCTACAAGTTGAAAACGGAGTAGTTTTCACACAAAGTAGGAAAACCTTTTTCCCGGTCGCTCATTTCGAGAATTACTTCATCGTCGTCAAGATGGGCGTTTGCTGCATTTTCATTGTCTTAAATAAAATGATTAACAAGGAAGAGGCAAGAAAAACGTCAAGCTTTTGCTAAATCATAAAAAGAAGTTAAACGAACTTTCTGAAGGAGCAGCCGATTCAGCCAACATTGGTAACGTATCGTTTGTAGAGAAAACTGGTCCTTGATCCGTCGATATCTAAAGCAAACGTTTAAAACTTGGGTTAATAGTAATAACAAAAAATGATACTTTTTAACCACTTTTTTAGGCAGTGGGGGGGGGGGGGTGGGACAAATGCGACCTTTTTTTTGCTGGAAAAGGCCTTAGGAAAGGTCGTAGAGCTTCAAAAATGTTTTCATAGAAGGGAATCGTATGCGTAGATTCCGAATTTCGACAAATCAGACCTCGCTGACACGACAAATTTGGGCTAAAAGGCAAAAACTACGCAACTTAACGCTTTTCGCAGTTTTTGCCTTTTAGCCCAAATTTGACGTGTCAGCGAGCTCTGATTTGTCGAAATTCGGAATCTACGCATACGATTCCCTTACATGAAAATATTTTTGAAGCTCTACGGCCTTGCCTAAGGCCTTTTCCAGCAAAAAAAGGTGCGCAAATGTCCAGGTGCGCAAAAAAAAGGTCGCATTTGTCCCACCCCCGGAGTGGGACAAATGCGACCTTTTTTTCCACACAGCCCATTAGCGCACCGTTTTTCGCGTTTTAAAAAAGCTCTAAAAAGCTAATATTAACCAATTTCTATTCCAAAAGTTGTTTTTCTAGGTAATTTTAGGGCGTAGAATCGAAATTTTGACATATCAGAGCTTGTGGAAGCGAACGAACGGAGTTATACGAAGAGAAAAATAAACAATTTTCTGTAATTTGACCTAGCCGTTTTGTCTTTCAAATTGGTTTCCACAAGCTCTGATATGCCAAAATTTGAATTCGACACCCTCAAATTACCTAGAAAAACAACTTTTGGAATAGAAATTGGTTAATATTAGCTTTTTAGAGCTTTTTTGAAACGCAAAAAAAGGTGTGCTAATGGGCAAGGTGCGGAAAAAAAGGTGCGCAAATGTTCGGGTGCGCAAAAAAAGGTCGCATTTGTCGCACTCCCGAAAGATAACAAAAAACAAATGAACAACAGTTGCGTTATATAGGCTTTAACACAAGATACTCAGCTAACAAGCTACAAAACAATAAATGATTTTGGGGCGCGAAATAAAATGAAGGCGCACCGATTTCCTCAATATTTTTCCAATTTTTAGGCTGCCAGAGTTAAGTAACTTTTTAGTGGCTATTCGCCACAGTATCGCGATATTTCTATATAAAGATATTTGTTCTTGGTCCCTTGAATATCGTTAGAGAGAAGTTCGACTGTATATCTTCTTTCAGAAAACCGGTAATACCCAACTTTACTGATCTGGACCACTTCGATCACCTTAGTAAACCGGAAATCTTCGATTTTGGCGACGATGATTCAGAAAATGAATGCGATAACTGATTATTGCTGATTTGAAGAGTTTGTCATTGATTTGTTTACAATTTGTTACATTTTATTTGTTAATTTTCAATAAAGTTTTAAAAGTTCGTATTTTTCAACTGATTTCAGTCAAAAATGAAAAAATTTTTGGTGAAAAATGGGCGCTTTTTGTGAATTTTATTTTCTCAAGAGTAAAGTAACGTTTCAGTGACGAAAAGTTACAAAAACAATAAAAATAGGATCAAAAACTGAAAAAGGATAAAAATAGTGAAAGAATAAAACGGGGTACTATTATTGTATGTTCAGCACAGACGGAGATCTTTCTAAATCTTTCTTTCTTTCTTTCTTTCTTTCTTCTTCTTTCTTCTTTCTTTCAAAAAGATCTTTCAAAGCTCCGGTGACTTGTGAGTTTTTTTTGTGTGTAGTTTTTGTTTCATGGTAAACCAAAGGCAGCACTTTTTCAAAACTTGAATCAAAGTGACCACCATATTGCCTTATTAGCTTTTACGGATTTTTGAAAAACAAATTGCGTAATTGAATCAATTTGAGAATTTTATACATAACGTAAATATTGTAATTGGACCCCATGGGGTACTATTTTTTCCCTCCCCCTCCAGGGTGGGGTACTATTAGAGGGTGGGGCACTATTAGAGGGTGGGTTACTATTTTACACCACTATTTGAGTTACAAAATCAGGATACATTCAAATAATTTGTTCAAAAGCAAACTTTTTCTTTAGTTTTTATTGACAAGCTGTTGTTGGTGCCCTCAAAGAAAGTTGGTGGCGCCTCAAGAACGACTCCATCCAGCCATGGCTTCTTTTGAAAGAAATTTCAACTTTTTCGAATCGATTAGCCGCTTCATTCCAGATAATCCGGCGTGTCACTCGTTTCTTCTCGGCTCGACGATCCCGTATCCATTCAGCCAAACCGATATCAATCCCCTCCGAGTTCAAGTGGCTTCTAAGTGGGCCAATCTTTATGATTTTGGTGTTACTTTGTTGCACTTGTTGAGATCTACAATCATAAAGATTGACCCACTTAGAAGGAAGTTATGGCGAGCTGCGCAAAAAAATTTGGCGCAAAGTAGCCACCCCAAATTTAAAAACAACAAATTTATGGAATAAAATTAAAAATACAAACGATTTCTGAAAATACCTGAAAATTTTCCGCTTTAAAAGCGTTGTTTGTAATTACGCGTTAGGTGGGAGTGGGGTACTATTAGAGGGGTATTATTTTTTCCCTTCCCCTCTAGGGTGGGGTACTATTAGAGGGGGGGGGGTCCAATTACAGTATTTACGGTATATTGGCCATTTTTCATGTAAAAGTACAAAATTTGAAGCTCTTTTGCTCATTGACGCATCTTTTATGTGCACTTTTTTTGTTGTATTGAACGCTTAATAATTCTAAATTTTTATTAGCACAAATCATTTCTCAATTTCAGCACAAAAGGTGACTTTTTCTCTTTGAGGAGTACGGTAAATTCGTTCAAAAAATGAATTGCAATTAACTTTTCTACCGTATTCCCTCTATTAGCACAAGATTTTTTCAAAAGATTGAAAAAAGAAAAGGGCGAAATCTCTCGTATATGGCATGGAAAAGGGATAGGCTCCAAGGAAACGCTTATTGTTATAAATATCTCAAATTGGGAACACTGTACAAGTCGTTTGTGATGGTTAAGTGGTTGTTGGTGATCGAATAACCCAGGTTCGAGACCTGGGCTTGTCTATTTCGTCAACCACTTCAACCTTTTTCTAAATTAAGTGAATTTCTTTAGGGATACCGGTAACGTGTATGAACAAACATTGGAAAAAAAACACTAGTTATTGGAAAAAGAAACCCGTTTTGAAAAATGGAAAAAGAAGGAACTAAAGAAGGAAAAAGCAAAACCTGAGTTCATCTAGGTGTCAAAAAAGAAAAATCCAGTAAATGGATGAGAACATGGATAAATGAGGGAAAGAATGGATAGAGAAAAGAATGGAATGTCTGGGAAAAACGAGGTAAATGATATTTGGGATATCTAATCTAATCGAAAAACATTTGGAGTCTATTCTTTCCATGCCTGGAGATCGATTTCAGCAAGTGATGAACAGGGAGTGAGCTGAGAGCCGGGAACGAGGAAAGCGTCCTGGAAAGGGAGAACTTTTGAAGTGAAATGGGCAATTTGATCGCTTTTTTTCAACGAGAATTGGTACTTTCTGGAGTTAACTTAACAAGACAGATATCTGAATTAGACAGAGATCTGAATTAGACAGAGATCTGAATTAGACAGAGATCTGAATTAGACAGATATCTAAACAACTTTGACAGTAGTTTAAAAGCCTAAACTAAAACCTTTTCGGATCTAGCTTATCTGATAGCTTTCATACTGATTTTGAATTCGATTTTAGCTTTTCTTTTCTAATTTCTTCCTTCACTCTTTAGTCGAGTTTAAGAGGACCCGCTTTAGCCACAGTCATGGTGTAATGGTTAGTGTGTTGGCCTGTATGACTAGTCGAGTTTGCTGTGGTGGGTTCGAATCCCCGGTAGACAAATTTTTTGTTTTTCGCAATAATTTTGTTCAAAAAACAATAACACAAATAAAAATCATAATCACAGCAGATTTTGATTGCAAATTGATTCCTCGTTGATTTCTCGTTTAATTTTCTATCTCTTTTGAAATCCCCACTGTGACCTAGTACTTTTCCCTAGTCAGAGTTGTAAATGATTTCATTGTGAGATCTTAGGCTAGATGTTTTGCATTAACAAAGTTATATTTGAACATTGAACAGTTCAACTATATCATACCTGTGAAATAACATCAAAATTATCGCCATTTAAACAAATGATCTTTGAGAAAGTGGCCTTTTTGATCTCGGCCACTTGTCTCGTCGTGAAGATGCCCGCATTTTCATAGTAGAAACTAAAAGAATTGCGTTTGTTCCTTTCGAGTGATACGTATTCAAATATAATTCTCATATTTCCATTCATAAGATCTTTGATTGTATTGTCGATTAAAGAAATTCGATGCAAAATCTGACCGATCTCCGTTCCTCGTCCTCTTGAATTGCTCTCCAATGACACAACTCAACGTCGTGCCCACTAGTCCACCAACAACCGGATCTTCCAACATTGCGCCAACATAGAAATCAACGTCATCTAAAAGATTAGAAATCTAAAACTTGTACTAAATCAAAATCTAAATCATTTCTTTACTCTAGCTCAAGAAGAACTCCACAGTCTTTTGTATTTTGCATATATTGGGTTGTCCAGTTATGAATGCGCATTTTTTACTATTTTGTAAATTTCTCAAGATACCGAAATCAAGAAAAAGATATATATGAGTATTATTCGAAAGCTGAAGATCTCCTCTACATTTTGATATAAAACGTTTTTGAATTTGTCGAGCTTTTGGGCAAATTGATTGCACAGAAGAAGAGGTGGCCAAAAAATAGAAGGGTGCCTTTGGATCAAGTTTTGGCTCCGCTCAAATTGGGTTAACCGTTGATGTTTGGCCAATAGATATATCAATACAACTTTTTTTAAATATAACAATTTCAGAGCATCTTTACTTTTCTTTTCTTTTCTGGGCGGCTATTTTACAGCATAAAACTTGAGGAATAGCTAAACTGAAATAGGTTTTTTCGGAAACGACTTCTCTCTTTGTGCAGTCAATTTGCCCAAAAGCTGAACCAATTCCAAAGGTTTTTATGGCAAAATGTAGAGGTGATCTTCAGCTTTCGAATGATATATAACACTCATATGCATCTGTTCGATATTTTGAGAAATTTACAAAATAGTAAAAACGCGCATTCATAACTGGACAACCCAATACAATGTTGTGCTTTGTAACTGAGCTTTGGTTGCACTTCCTTGTTATTTCCCTAGTTTTGTTATCTGTGTTACCGATCCACTTTTTAAAGCCAAAAGGACCAATTACCATTAACTAGACTTGCTTTGCGAAAAGGGTCGGTGTCTTCTTTTATAAAATTTCTCAATTTTGCATTGCCCGTTTCAAGAAGTTGGTCTTTCATAACTTACATAACTCTGAACAAACCAGTCTGCTTTTTAAACCAACTAGTCTTCTTTTTACTGTGTTTGCGTGAATAAAGCGTTTGCTTGTCAAAAAAAAGTCCTATTTAAAATAAAGTAAAGAAATGAAGAATTTGAAACAGGGGAATTGAACCCTTGATTTTCTACCTTCTGTTAACTAAGCAGATGCTCTACCACTAAGCTATCGGCCTCTTCTTTTCCCAAGAAGAAATAGGAAAGATAAGGAAGAAGAAAGAAAAGGAAGAAACAGAAGGAAGAAAGAAAGAAGAGAAAGAAAGAAATAGAAAGAATTATGCAACTTGTGCAAGAAGAAACAAGTTTTCAGCCGTTTTGCTATATTTTATGAAATAGATAGCTTACTTTCGATTTTATTATTGTACTTTTATTGTACTCTTTTAATATATTATTTTCTTATTTTCTTCAAAAACCTGGCGAATTGTAGTTCTTCGAGAGTCCGAATCGGAGATTTTTGTCGAGAATCATATCACCGAATTCCTCGAAAGTTTTTGCTCTTGGCAAACCGCAGAATTCACGAATTCTGGAAATATTGTGCTTTATACAATACTTACTATGTACAGTAAGTTAGTAAATACCAGTACTATGTACAACTTGTCTCTTTTAAGCTCTTACGTATTATAGCCGGGAATTGCGTGATCACGTCCTCGTTGGATATTCAACGAGCCAAGATCGGTGCTGAAAGGGTAGAAGATTTAATGAGAATTTTATTTCAATGAGAATTTAGTCTAAAATGATTACCATACAATTGTTGAATACTATTTTTGAATACTATAATATTATATTAGGTTGGCAACTAAATAATGGCCCTCGCCCTTTTTTGATAAAATCTTTTAATCTTTGCGTTTAATCTACCCTCGCTTGTTGTTAATTGAATATTACTGAATTTCTGGTGCATTATTATACGTTTTTTACTTTCCTTGATTTGATACTTTTCAAAATAATTTTGTTTAATGGAAGATCGGAAAGATCTCAAGAAAGCGTGTCTGTCTCCTGGTACGACTACAAACAAGACAAAACAGCTGCCGAATCCCACAGAGATTTATTGCGAGTTTTTGGTGATGAAGCTCTTTCCGAAACACAATGTAAGAGATGGTATCGACGGTTCAAGGAAGGGGATGAAAGTCTTGAAGATGAGCCTCGCCAAGGACGACCCGAACTTCTGCAGAACGATATTTTGGAAGCAGCTTAAAGGAGGATCCAAGTCAAACATCACGCGACAAGGGGATCGATTGGGCTTTCCGCAAGCCGCAATCGAAAAGCGACTTCATGCATTGGGGAAAAGTAACCGCAGTGGAAAGTGGATTCCGCATGAATTGAGCAAAGAAAATAAGGCTACTCGTGTTATCACAGCTGAAATACTACTAAAAACTTGCGAAAAAGGGAAGCTTCTTTTGGATCACTCCATCGTCACTAATCTATGAAAAAAATGGATCTTTTATCAAAACGCGAACGCGAAAACGACAGGGACTTAGCACAAACGAAGCCCAAAAACCAACCCCAGCCGGATATTCACCCAAAAAAACTCTCCCGTGTGGGGGGGCTTCGTGGGTTGGTGCATTTCGAGGTTCTCAAAAGCCGGCAAACGGTTAATTCAGAACTCTATTTGTCTCAACTACATCGTGTAGATCAAGCAATTCGCTCTCAAGGACTCGAACCCCCCAATCATTTTCTCCATGATAACGCAAAACCACACACTGCAAAACTTACAATGGAGAAGATCGAGGGGTTGGGCTGGAATGTTCTTCCTCATCAAGCGCCATACAGCCCGGATATGGGGGCTAGTGATTACCATCTTTTTCGATCGATGCAACACTTTTAGCCAAAAAAGGTTCAATGACCTTGACGAGTGTCGAATTTCAGTGCAGAAGTTCTTTGACGATCAACCAGAAGAATTTTTCAAGAGAGGAATCCAGTTGCTCCGTCAAAAGTGGAAAGAAGTAATAAAGAATGACGGAGAATACCTTTTGGATTGATGTTGATATTTGTTCATCTTGTTAATAAATTTTTTGTTTTTACTGAAAGGGGCCATTATTTAGTTGCCAACCTGATAATATTCAACAAACCTTCCAAACATTTTCTCGGTTGTAGCTGGGGTTAATCGATGCGGACGTTTCACTCGAGTTAGCATAAAACCGCGAATGATTGGGTCAATACCACCTAAGAATTTTTCATTCTACAGCTTGCTAACAGTTTTGTAGGGAAATTTTTCAAAAGAAATCACCTTCCCATAGGATTTTCCCACTCTTGAACACCCCGTCGCCGAAGAAGAAACCGCCTTGCGTGATATTTGAGCCGTCTTTATTCAATCGCTGATAGAATTCCTAGAAAAATTGATTTTACTACTGTTGAACTAGAAAAACTTGTTTCATTGAATAGATATAAAATATTTATTTTCCATTTTCACCTCAATCATTCCGTGCCCAAATCGGAAAGCACCAGTTGTGAATTCATTGGCCACTGTCGCGTCCGCGTTCTCGTCGTAACCCTAAACAAATTCGATAAAACTGTTTGGCTTTCGGTAAAGAAAAAAGTTAGCGCAGAATTGAAAAGAATCAACTCAGCTCTTAACAAACAAAAGCTGTTAACGTTAACAAGATTGGAATGAAGATTGGAATGAAGATTGGAATGGAGATCGGAATGGAGATGGAAATATACAGTAACCAAATAGGAACTATAAAGGAACTATAAAGGAGCTTTAAAGGAGCTTTAAAGGAGCTTTAAAGGAACTAAATAGGTACTATAAAGTAACCAAATAGGAACTATAAAATAACCAAATAGGAACTATAAAGTAACCAAATAGGAACTATGAAGGAACTAAATAGGAACTGATTGGAAAGATTGCCATCAACTCTACCTGATATCTTCCAATCACTCGATCGAACGAATTCCCGAGCACTTTGGGGAGATACGACTAAATTGTTCAATTGTTTTGAGTCAAGACCAGTTGACCGGAAAGTCCAGTCCTCTTTTTTTAAAGGTTACTTTTTGAAATGAATAATAAACCAATCGATCTATGATTTGTTTTATCAGAAAGTTCTATTCTTTATTTACAATTAGCCCCTTTCTTCTATTTCTTCTACATTCTATTCCATGTTCCACGGATATTTTATTCCATGTTCCATGGATTTTAGAAAAAACAAGAAATCCCGATCGAATTTACTTCAAAGTAGACTCAAATTTGCGTAAAAAATGAGCTAAATGAAATAAGTAATCTTTTTTTCGTTAATACAATCTGCTAATTATTCATTTATAAACGAAAATTTGTCAAAAAAGGTGGACAAGACTTTTGCGGCTAAATCAATGACTTTTGACTTACCGTAATACCTCTAATATTAGCCCCCCGCCCTCTAATATTAGCAATAAGTCAATTGTGACATTACAAAACTTCATCATAAACTCTACCGAATAGAAGATGTGCTGAATTTGAGCGCCGACGATTTTCCTCGTCTCTTGGAAGACCCGATCTCCACTCCAAGCTGGGTTCATCGATTGGAGTTGCGTGGCTATTCTGAAGGTTTGCCTTAGTTAAGAAGTGAAAAGGAACTAAATTTTGATCACTCTTCTAGACAACTAATAGGTTGATGCATAAGTCTTTTCGTTTTTTCGTACTTCTGTTAAAAAGTAACAAATTCACCAATTAATCTATAGTTTGCTCTATAAAAAAAAGTGTTTTTTTGTTCAATTTGCATCTTTTTAAATGAATTTCGGTTCACTTTCAAGCAAATTCGAGAGTGAAAAACGCCTTTTTCGTAAAAATCTATAAAAAACTCTACGGGAAAAATTGGCTGAATGAATTTCTCTGAAATTTTGGCGAAATATCAAACGTTTTTTTTCTCTATCTTTTATCTATTGACACGAAGATAGGTTTTCTTTAGCTAAGGTGTCTAAACCGCATCATCGAGTTAGCCCTTTTTGACTACCCGACTTCATAATCTCAAGAAAATCCAGGCATTAAATATTTTTTAAACCCGTTTTAATGTTATTTTGCAGAAAAATAATTGCTTTTTCTAATGAAATCAACCGTAGTTTAATTGGTGCATTTGTTGGCTTGAAACGGCAGACGAAAAGGAACAAAAACACTTATGCATCAACCTAATATATTCTTAAAATATTTACTAAAATAGGAAAATAAAAATCGAATGAAATTTACTACAATTTGTTCTACCAAGTCTTACATTTATTACAGGCTTTTTATTTTACTTTTATCAGCAGAAAAACCCCTCGAAAAACAGCTAACAGCTGGCTATTCTGGCTGTACAAACAAACAGACAATGCTCTTTTATATATACTCAAAAGTCAAATGTTTAGCTGAACAACTATGACATTTATCCTCCAAACCTATTATGCTCTCTGGCCCAAAGAATATGAAACGAGCTGAGTCCGATGAAGAGATTCGCTCGGATATCACCGGCTGTAAACGAGGCGAGACAGCCATCCTCTTGTTGACACTTTGATTGATCAAATGGTAACACTTTCTAAAGATAAATGTCTAAAGGTAAGTGTTTTTTGCTTACTTGATTATTGAATGGAACCACTCTGAGCATTCCCGTTCGACCCTCGCGGAATTTGAAGAGATCTTTTGGCGATGATCCGTAAATAGCACTTCCATCGATGTAAGCGGTGTTCTCGTTTAGTTGCTCTCTTGGAGTGATCTGGATATAGATATGATCACGATAGATATTAGATATTAGTTTATTGAAATTTTTGCAACTTACACCACAGATTGGAGCTGATCGAGACACTTTGAGGCATTGTTTTGACTTGAATCTGAAAGCGCAATTTACTTGTAGTTGTATTTAACACTAATAAACGGTGGATATAATTTCTGAGAACTCACTGCATATTCGGATCCTTGTCACTGATCGGAATGGGCATACATTTTGACGGCACCGCGACACACGTTTGACAATTGGCTGACGGTTGAAGAGTTGTCTAAATGGCAGAGATAACAAGTTTTTTTACCGTAAGATCTCTAGTATTGTCGCGTAGTCTACGCGTAGTCTATTTTGAGTTATTTCAGCTCTTTATTTGTGATTTCACTCACCTTTGCAATGTCGTGACTGATGAATTGGCCGAATTGCATCATCAAGTTGTTGTACTTGTCATGAGTGACCGACTGAAAAGAAGAAGAATTATTAATATACCGTATTTCTTCGAATAGAAGACCGGGTAAAGAGTATCATCGCGTACTCCTGCGTAGCGGCCCTTTTTAAAATCTATTTTCTGCATAAAAGCTTTCAATCAAGTGCTATAGAGCTGGAAAATGGCTCAAAAATCTGTTAGCTCATGTCGTATTTTTGAGTCATTTTCCAGCCCTATAGCACTTCATTGAAAGCTTTTATGCAGAAAAGAAAGGGTAGAAAGAGTATCATCGCGTACTCCTGCGTAGTAGCCCTTTAAAAAGGGCTGCTACGCAGGAGTACGCGATGATACTCTTTACCCGGTCTTCTATTCAAAGAAATACGGTAGATTAATTTAGTGTTTAGGCTTTTGTTATTCAAAATGATGAGAAATGGTATAGGATTTTAAAAATTACTTGTGCTGAAGAGAGCATCACTCGATTCGCCTCTCTAGCTGTCGGTCGAGTCTCACGAATCGAAGCTCAAACAATTTCATAAACTCATTATAAAATAAATCACTCACAAACAGGTTCCCCTTGACCGTCATCGTATTGTGGGGGGAAATGTCTAAAATTTGATTTTTTTGAAGCAATCAGAATCGTCATGGCTGACTGGCGAAGATCTGTATCTTACAAAGGAATTGTCAAAAGTGACTGTGAAATTTTGGCACCAAAATGAGATGCAAACACCTATCGAATACGGCGAGTACGATGATGCTTTCGGATTTTGTTAAGGGTCGCTACTTTTCTAGAAAAACGTCTTTGAAATTTCGGTCTCTACTTGAAGACAAGGTCCGCTTCTTTAAAAGGACTTCTTTCAGCCGAAGGGAATTTGTCCTCGTGATCAGCTGGTAGAGTTCTCACTTCCCATTCTCGCGGCCCTGGTTCGGTCCCGGTCAGCGCCACTTCTCTTGTCATTTTTTTTCCAAACTTGTATTTTAAAGATTACAATGGTTATAGAGCTTTTAAACTTTAGCCTTTTTCAGAAATATGCTTTCACTAGAGGTTTTCCTACCTAAATCTTTTTCTTTTCCTTTTCCTACCCTAAATATATAAATATTTCTGCCCAAAAGAAGTCCTTTTATCCGGCTAGATTATTGGTTTTTTTCATAAATATATATATGGGTTTTTCCTTACATTTAGAGCTTAGAGCTTACCGTAAATACTGTAATAGTACCGCACCCCCATAATGACGGTGCGGAGTGTTGCGTAGTCTAGCTTTGGACGCGTTTTTCTCGACACTGGTTTATGCTACAATGTGCGCTTAGGTATCAAAAAATAGCTGAAATTCAGGGCTATTTTTTGATACCTAAGCGCGCATTGTAGCTTAAACCAGTGTCGAGAAAAACGCGTTCAAAGCTAGACTACGCAACACTCATTACGCTAGACTAGACTACGCAACACCGTCATTATCTTTGGTATCAAAAAATAGCCCTAAATTTCAGCTATTTTTTGATACCAAAGACGCATTTTTTGAAAGTACGGGTGCTTTGAAAAAAATGAAATACTAAAAAACTTTTGCGACTACGCGACTGTACGAGGGCGGTGGGGTACTATTACAGTATTTACGGTATGTATTGTTTGTACCACATTATTCGTGTGAATAAATCAAATCATTTCCGACCTTAAATATTGTCTAAACGAGGCTCCTTGCATTGGTTTCTTCAAATTGTTGCACGTTCCATCAAAACTCCGATACATTAAATGATAGCAGAGATTCGAATTGCAATCAAGGCCCTCTTCTTTAAGCTGAAAATATTGAATATTTGTAAATTGTAAATAAATAATATGTAAATATTTGTAAATGTAAATTTATAAACTAGATAATCTGTAGGAATTATTAGAGCAATTACTGTTTTTGTTTTGATTTGATAATGCTATTTTGATTTTTATCGGCACCTGTGGAATGCATTGTTGACCAGCTTGAACGGCTCTCGAAATGTCATCAACAGAAAGAGTTGCTCGACCAAATGTGTCATCGACTGCATCGACGAGTCCGGATGCGACGAGCACCTGGAGAAAATGATAGTTGATATTCTTGAGTAAACAATCGCTTAAAACAATAGGATTCGGTTTAGAAACTCAGGTGAGAGCTGAAATAAAATACCTCCATAGCTCGAGCTTTCTCCGCATCTTTGCAACTGGTCACTGGTTGCACTGGACCGCTGGATGGTGGCGGAGCAAACAATGGTGGCAATGTCGAAGCACCGACAGCAGTTGCTAAAATATTCATTAGACTTTTCAACTTATATAGACTAAGGCTACTTTGTCAAGAGTCAAAATAGACTAAAATACTTGTTAAGATGTGCAACCAACTAACCTACTTTGTACTCAAGGAAACACTCTTGCTAGGATTCTTTGTGTTCAAGGATTGTGTGCTAGGATTCTAGGATTCTTTGTGTTCAAGGCTTTGTAAACACAGCTTATCTGGTACAAAAATCTCAAATTAACTCAAAATTCGTTGTTTTAGTGGATTGCAATTGATTTTTGTACCAGATAAGCTGTGCTTACAAAGTCTTGAACACAAAGAATCCTGGAATCCTAGGATCCTAGAATCCTTGAAGTTCATGAGAAAGAAATCTACCCAAAGCAGTTTGCGCTTGGAGTGTCGTGGGGAAACCGGTTGTTGGCAACTCTTGATCAGTGGCCACGGTTGGTGCCGGCGTTTGAGTCTAAACAATTTTCTATTTATCAAAATTCCATCAAACGAATTGCAATTCCATTTCCCAATCCCGTTACGTTCAAACACGCTGCATATCTAGTAGAAATCTTTTCTCGTCGTTTACCCAACACCTGAGAGAAACTTTTCACCGGAGAGTGTTAGTTTGGGAGAGGAGAAGAGCGAAATGGAGTTGAGTAAATGGGAAGCAACGAATCGAAGCAATTCAGCAAAAAAAAAGGAGGAACAAAAGCAAGGCCCAGGCAATTTGCCGCTTGATTTTGCTGTGAACAAATCTTGCGAACATATTTTTCGGCAATTTTTCTTGTATAGCTTTAAAACTTGTGCGAGATCTGAGCCTTAATCACTTAACTCTATTTGAATTGAAATTGGATTGAATTTGGATTGGAAATCTATTGGAAAAGTGTTGTTCGCAAGCTCTGGGCAAATATCGGCAAATTGCTAATCCCAAACACGGCTCTTGGGCGAACCCTTGGTCGTTGTTGTTGCGGAGTTGGAGGCTGTTGAATCTGTTGAGTCTGTTGAATGGGACGACCAAAGCGATCCACTTGTGGTTGAAGAAGGAACTGTGGTTGTTGAGAGAAATGAGGCCGCTGCGACGAGAAGCCGAAAGCTTGTTGCGGTTGTTGCAGAAGCGGTTGCTGGATGAGTTGTTGGGTTTGCTGGGCGAGGAGCTGTTGCTGTTGTTGCTGTTGCTGCTGTTGCTGTGTTGTGTTGCTGTTGCTGTTGTTGCTGCTGTTGCTGTTGTTGCTGTTGCTGTTGTTGCTGTTGCAAAAGTCTCTGCTGTGCGCGTTGTCGTTGTCGTTCGCGTGCGCGCTGCTTCGCTTTCTGCCGAGGTCGCTAAAATTTCGTTGGGGAAACAGCTCCCATAAAAGGACATGAAGATTTGAAGGAATTATTCACAAAAAATGTCACACTAAATCGGCAATAGCCAAATGGCATGCAAAATGATGGGGGAAATGCTGGAATGGAGATCGGTGACTGTTTTCTGGTAAAATCACGCAAACTCTTAGCAGAGAAAGGCACCAGATCGAGGTGGACTTTTAATATTATATTATATTATAGCTTTCATATTGTTTTAACTTCTAAGCCTAGAAAACTGCTCCAACTTAGCATCGATTTGGACACTCTTTGGAAAAAACGGCGCCGCCACGGTATAGGGGCGGTTTATTTCCCCCGATGGGGTGACCGGATGGTGTAGTGGGTAGTGGGTCGGCCCTTGAGCCGAATGGTGGATGGTGGCTCCCTGGTTCAAGTCCCTCTCACTGTCAAAGGCTTTTTGCTTTCTCGTTAAAGTATGAAAGTCAATTTTTAGATGGATCTATAATCAGAGGGGTTGGAGCAGTTCCCTAGTAAATCAGTTTACAGACTGCGTACCAATAAGTAAAGGACAAGTACCGACAAGTACGGTAGTCTGAATAGGTTGGCCTTTTGAGAAGTTCACTGTTCAACCTGGTTGTACATTTACTGTGGCCTGTGTACACTTGTCGGCTTACGGTAGTTTTACGGTATATTTTATATTGACTAGTTTTAAGCCTATTTTTACTCCAGTATACGGCATTGAAACCCTAAAAGATAGGTTTTTTATAAACGGTACTGAATAAGTAGCTGAATATGGGTATTTTTGGTTCTGATTTTGATTGAAAACCTTTAAAAGAATAGAAAGAATAGAAAGAATAGAAATACCATACCGTACTATCGACGGGACTCGTCTGGCTACCAAATTGAGTGTTTGATGTGAAACCTGAAGAAAAAATCTTTCTTGAAATTGAGATACCATTTAAGCGACACAGCTTCACTTCAGGGTTTAGTCTCTAAAAAGTTAGAAAGACATCCAAGATGATTAGTGAAAGAATAAGCAGTATTGCTAGTAGATTTGATGGGACAGCTTTTGGCAATATCACTTTTACTTTAAAGTCACAAAGTGCAAAGGAAATTGGTTTGTGTTAGGAGCGTGTGGGATTCCTCGGATAAAACTTTCGTTTTCATCAATAATTTTTATCAATACGGAATTCGACTCAATAAAAATGAATAGCTCCAATCGATTCCCCGACTCTGAAAACTCTTTTTGTGCCATCTACAATGCAAAAGAAAAATTTCGATGTAAATCAATATGTTCTTTGTGAGCGGGCACAATCGCTCGTCGTCTGGCACATGCCCCCGATAGATACCTGTCGCTTGATCGACTGACCGTTTCCCCGGCTTTGAAAACTTGTATTCTTTTTAAAACTGTCTCAAAAGTTAACATTGGACTGGCTTAATCAGTATTGGAGCACCCTGTTTAAGCGCTAGAGATAAAATTACAGTGATGTTCACTAATTGGCATGTTTTAGAAAGTTTGCGGTAACTGATATTGCCAAAATCTTAACCCTGATTAAGTTAGTAATTTGATTAGAGCGTTATGATTAGAGTTGGCAGAACAGGAGCACAGAAATCAACGAACCGGTCACCAAAAGGGGAGTGGTTGTCGCGATGAAAGGCGTTGTTGTAGTTTGGGTGGTTGTGGTTGTTGTCGATGATGTACTGGGCACCGTTGAGGTTCTTGGCATTGTTGTTGTTGTTGTTGTTGTTGTTGTAGAAGTTGTAGTGGTGGTGCTTCTCGTTGTTGTCGTTGTTGTTGTACTCCTCGTAGTCGTCGTCGTTGTTGTGGTTGGATTCGTGGCCCTCGCTACAGAAAAAAAATAACGAAAAATTCTCAACTCTATCACCGACCAAAAGCAATTCTAAACAAGGCTATCGGTAAAGATTTGAAAATGAAACTAAAAAACTTGTCTTTTCATTGTTAAAAACGTTTTTAACGTTTAAAAACATTTTTACCGATAGCCTAGTCCAATTTCCGACACCTACTCCCATTCCCAAGACTTAAATCCGACAAGAAATTGTTGTTAATGATTTTATTGGCAATCGTTTATCCACCAACCTGACGTCGTTGTCATTGCCGGAGCTCTACAAGTACCGCACGCCAATTGACAATTGCTTGCCATCCAATCCCCGTTTACCTAAAATCAGATAAAAGTGACACAAATTCCTTCTAGAAATTCCTCTCTAGAAATTCCTCTAGAAAATAGCCGAATTTTGAAGATAATCTTTGTTCAGCCGATCTTTTTAGTCGATCTTTTTAGAACTTTTTTTATCGAATTTAACGAGAAACGAGTTTTTGCACTCGAATTTATTTGAAAATAAACTCGTTGAAAGCTTGAAATGATAGAAAACTCAATGCTAAACATTTTCTTTTTAGAGAAAACCGTAGGTGAATTGGTGAATTTCTCATTTATAAACGATAATAGAAAAAAAGTGTTTAAAGACTTATCGGCCAACCCAATAAACGGATATTTGAGAAAATTTATAACTAAAACCCACCGAACACTCGCCAATACTTGCCCAAAATCGGCACCACTCGTGCTGATCACAGCAACCATTTGTGAGACATTTGAAGCGCGCGGTGATCGGTGGCGATAGCGTTTGAGATATCACTCCTGCAATTTGAATCAATATTTTACATTTTGCTGATTCCTTGGGTTCCTATTGGATAAAGCTTTTTCTAAAAATGTCATTTCTGAAAACTGCCTTAATCTTGTCTCCTATTTCGTTTGTTTTGACTCTGTGAGTGTTCACGAAGGATACCGAAAGATAGGGAAGATAATTGGATCGGCTAAGACTATAGCTAAAGTCAAGATTAGGGCTAGAGCCAAGATTACAGCTAGAGCCAAGATTACGGCTAAAGCCAAGATTACAGCTAGAGCCAAGATTACGGCTAAAGCCAAGATTACAGCTAGAGCCAAGATTACAGCTAGAGCCAAGATTACGATAGCTTTCGAAAGTTGACGCATTACAGCAAGTTTACAATTTTCTTTACTTCTTTGCAATGTCAAATGATTTAAACCATTCCCCTTTTACTGTCTGATCCTTGGAATTTCAAAGAAACCCCTTCCAAAAAAAGATTGTCGGGCACAAATTTGCATACACGCCATCCTTGAATGGCATTGGTCCGAGTGAAAAAAGAAAGTCAGAAAACCGGTCCCATATTGTTCTCTCGCCATTCTTCACGGTTCAAATCACATCAATTCAAACGAGGGAGAAAGTGTTGCGCTTTTTGTCAAGAAAACAATAACAACACATTCTGGATGGATTTCGTTTCGGAATTTGATTAGAAAAGGATTTTTTTGGAGAGTTTACTATCGAAATTTCTGAAGCTTTGGTCGAATAAAAAGGCAATACTGAAGATCTAGAGTCAAGAAAGTTAACAAAAACGACAAAGATTTCTATAGATTTCTATAGATTTCTATAGACTATAGAGAATATTCAATTAAACGCTTCAAATGAATATTTAAAGTAAAATTTCGAGAGCTTTATCAATAAACCATGATCAGAATTCCTTTCAACATTCTTGGGGCATTAAAAGTTACATAGTTACAGTTAAGAAAAATAAACCTACTTTCTAAAGAGTGACCTTTCTACAGTATATCTTTGTTCTGATGATCAATTTCCTTTCTTCTAATTATCTGCCTTCTATCTTTCTTTTATCTTTCTAAATCGCTTCTCTAAACTCACTTTTCTTCAAATTTAAGACGCTAATCAATCTTCTTAAAACTGTAGTCTCGAGTTTTCACTTGGAATGAGAATGAGAACTGATATGAAGAGAAAAGAAGTGAAAACATTCACGTGCTTGATAACATTTAGATAGTGATGAAAGAAAAACTTATCAAAGGGATCATCATTCAGAAAACTCTCGACAATTAGCGAGTTTAAGTTTTTCTTTTCTTTTCTGATAAGAGTTATAATCACAAATATTTGGCTGAAATGTTTCCCTGAATCAATCTATAAGTTAAATCGATTGCATAGCAATTTTGAGCCTTAAAATTCTAAGATTCTAATAAAATTGTGTAAAGAGAACTGTGTAAAACAATGGGGTATCATGTTGATTTATCAAATTACCATTAAAAACAAATTGTCGGCAGGTAGTAAGATGAGTTTTGATGGGATTTTCTGTGAATCTGTGGAAGTAAATCGATTTATCAATAATATATTGGGTCAATATAGGCTAGTTTCAGTTTAACGGGAGTGAAATTTGTAGCAAAAATATAGCCAAATTTAAGGAAAAAGTTGATCGTAAAAAAAATTGGGCATGACGACCGGGGAAATCGGCTTAATCGCTCACCCCTCCTTCCTCATTACCGAGCCCAAAAAGGAAGCTATCTATTGGCGATGTGTGTGCCAGATCGCGAGCGATTGTGCGCGCGGACAAAGCACACCTTACCAGTCTTCTTTTCTTCTGTAAACCATACCCAAATAATCTATTACCGGCGTGTGCCAGATCGCGAGCGACTGTGCGCGCGCACAAAGAACACCACACCAGTCTTCTTTTGTTCTGTAAACGATTCCCAAATAAGATTTATTGTTAAAAATTTGTGCCCGGGGTTTTCAGGGTCGTAGAATCTATTGACAGAGTTTATTTTGACCCTTTGTCCCAAGAAAAGTCTCAAGAGAATCGAATTGGCTTTGGGTTTTGTACATGATACACTTCTCCCAATGAAAAAACCCGCTTTTTTCAAAAGCTCCGGATTTCCGAAAAGGTTTCTGCGTATATAACTACAAAATACATAAAACTGCATGGAAACTAAGCTATTAACAAAAGAAAACAAATTTTCACTGAATCTTTTTCAATTTTATTCAATTTTATTCAATTTCATTCAATTCCCCAATAAATTACTCCACTAAAACACTTTTGTCGGAGCTTTTTTCGGCAAACGAGTATCTCAGAGATCTCTCAAGTATTCCTCAATAGGTATTTTTGAGAGAATCACTTAACGAAAGTTACTTGAAAAGGAGATGAAAGAGAGGGAAATAAGAGGAGATCCACTCTTCGTTTGAGAGAGAAATTTAGATGATCCTTCCATATTTATCGTTATTTGATCGAAAATCACACGAACAATGGAGAGATTTCCAAGGAAAAACAGCGCTTTTTTCGAAACTACAGCTTACAATTTAAAATAAAGAATGCTTTTTTTGAGAAAATTATCCTCCTGGAAAGGGGAACATCTATCAAGAGCGTATGCCAGATGGCGAGCGATTGTGCTCGCGCACAAAGAACATCTCAACAGTCACAAAATGATTTTCCTTTTGTTCTTTAAATGATACCCGAATGAGATTTAATGTTTAAAATTTATAACTCGAGGTTTTCAAAGTCGTAGAATCGATTGAAGACGTTTATTTTAACCCTTTGTCCCTTCTTTAAGGTCAACCGTCAACCGTAAACGTCAACCGATAAAGTCTTCACTCATCCCGTTTGTTTCCTTTCCTCATTTCCTTCCCCATCCGATTCACCCTTTCAATTTACAAGATCATAAACCTTGGGAAAAACAGTTCAAACTGTGAAACAATTCCACAAGTTTATGAGCGTTCCTAAAAAAGTTTATTTGTCGATCTTTTCAGGCGCGACTTTTCCCCATATTCAGCTAGAGTTTTTATGATCCCTCGAGCTGGTTCACGTTTATTTTTCCCGCTTTTTTTGCTCTATTGCATTTTGAATCGTTTATTTCCTTTTCTTGTGTGAAAACAGGAAAAAATAGAGGGAAAAGGTTAAATGAAGAGGTGTCGCTAAATGAAAAAAAACGATGTTTAGCTGAATATCTTTTGAATCTTCAAATAGCCCTAATCTTTAAACAAATCAATTCTATAGTTAGGTTAAGCCATTTGAGCCATTTTGAGGTTAAGCCATTTTCTTTTGCTTAAAAAAACATTGAAATTTTGGGCTAATTCCGGAATGAAGTTTGCTAATCTCAAAGCTAAGATTTAAGATTTGTTTTGGAGTTTTGTTTGGCTCAAATGGCTTAACCTAAGTGTAGAAGTGATTTATTTAAAAATTAGGGCCATTTGAAGATTCAAAAGATATTCAGCTAAACATCAATGAGAAACTTCAAGATATTTCCTACTCTAAATTAGACAAATAGCAATTTTCTGCGTTTTAGCAAACAGTTTTTCTTTCATAAATCGTTGATCTTAACGGAAAAGCTGCTTGGCAAAAAGCAAAAAGCGCTAGTTTACAGTTTACTATAGTTATTGTATGAACTTTCTCCCATTTTCCCCAAATTTTCATCAACTTTTTGGTTAATTGTTTGAAAATTTTCGATTTGAAAGTGCTTGGGTGGCAGCTGGAAGGAAAAAAAGAAGAAGAAGAAGAAGAAGAAGGAGAAGAAGAGGAAGAAGGAGGAGAAGAAGAAGAAGAAGAAGGAGGAGAAGAGGAAGGAAGAGGTAGAAGAAGAAGGAGAAGAAGAAGAGGAAGAAAATGCGAACGAAGAAACTATATCGAAAATCATGAGAGCTGCTCAATTCAATGCCAAAAAAAGATTGGAGAAAAGTCTATGATTTGAAGGAAAATGATTGAAAAAAGAACTGATTGTGAGTGAATGAATGGAAGAAAGCATTGGATTTAATCCAGAAAGGGAAATCGTTGATGATCGGAATTAATAGATGAAGAAATGTAGAACAATACTTCAATTGATTTTCTAAAAGACTATGCTTCTAAAAGACTTTTCTAAAAGACTAAAAGACTTCTAAAAGACTTCTAAAAGACTTCTTCTCAAAAAATGTAGATTTTAAAGTTCTGTCTACGTTCTGTCTATCAAGAAAAGCTTACGATTATTTAACTTTACCTTTAAGTATTTAATTATTTGATAAATTCTAAGCTGGAACTGGCTTTCTGCAGAAATTTTGGATTGATCTGCATTTCCAGTGAATAACTGCAATACAGCTTTAAGACAAGAAGCTAAACTATCAATTGTACAATGAAATTAGACACTAATTTTCTTTTACACATCAATAGTATCTAGAGATTTTGCTTATTTCTAAAAAGTTTATGGTAACTTTGAAGTCTATGAGTATGAGTCTACCAACTAAAACTAAGCACAGATATCTTTAAATTTTCTGGAAACTCTAGAAAGTCAATCTAGAAAGCCAATCTAGAAAGCCAATCTAGAAAGCCAATCTAGTAAGCAATCTAGAAAGCTAAAATCTTTACCTAATTGAGATACAGTCGAACTTCGATAGAACGAACTTTAATAGAACGAAATTTCGATAAAACGCATTTTAATACAACGAAACCTTAGATATAAAGAACACTATTTTAAGTCCAAATGAAGAGTTTTACCTTACTAGACCTTTACCAATCCCTTGAGATTCGTTAGATCAGTTTGACTGTATTTTTCTTTCTTTTTCACATCCATAATGGGAAAAGATGAGGAAATGGTTTAAGAGATGGATATTCAGTGAAAGATGAATAGAAAATCTTTGAGATAAGAAAGAAAGAAGATGACTCTTCAGATATCCAAATGAAAGTCAAGAAAGAAAATCTAGAAAGTGACAAGGATTGGAAAGCTTTCAAGTGAGGGAAAGATTCCCGGGGAAATCGACATGACATGAAAAATCTGGATGCTAACAGTGTGCGAAAGATGTTATTGATTTTAATCTAGGAGTACTCGTGGATAGTATCATAACGGAAAAAAAGCCAGATTTGTTAGCTTAGAGCCATTTTTGCCTACCCCATTTGTCTTCCCATTACTTTCACTTCCAGAGAGATCGATTCTTAGCCTCTTCTTTGGATGATTTCTTCAACAGCGTCATGGCCGACTGGCTAAGAGCCTTGTCTTTTAGTCGTAAGCTCAAGGGTTCAATCCCGGCTGGAGCATCTTTTTTCCAAATCTAGGTGTTTTTCTTTCCGAAATGGATTCTTTTTTCCTTCGGGATTAAGGGTTGTGCTTGTGCCACATTATTCGTGTAAATAAATGTAGATTAAAAAATAACCATCAATTCACTTTCTCTAGACTGAGTGCGAAAAAATCGCCACCAACCAGTCAGCAGTCAACTCAAGTAATTGGCGTGTAGTGGCCGTTCTCTCTCCCTTAAAATTCTCTCATCGATGGTTTGAGACTTTTCTTCTTCTTCTTCTTCGATTTGTTTGTCTATTACAAGGTCGTGCTCATTCAAGAAAAAAAAAAGAGAGAGAAAGCTTCTCCTTTTCAAGACAGAGGAAAAGAAAAACATTGGTCGTCGCGCAACACAAATTCTCAGCTCTCTCTCCATTTCCCTTGAAACCAAATTGACCGGAACCCCGGCACGAGTTTTGAAAGTGTTTTTAAAAAGGCAATCTATGGGTTTAAATGGAATATGCTAATAAGTATATATTTCTTTAAGATGTGATAAAAACAAATACAGAACTAAACACACTAATACCTACAGCCTAATACCTACCGCAAATACTTTAATAATACCCCACCCCCTCGTACAGTCGCGTAGTCGCAAAAGTTTTTTAGTATTTCATTTTTTCAAAGCACCCGTACTTTCAAAAAATGCGTCTTTGGTATCAAAAATAGCTGAAATTCAGGGCTATTTTTTGATACCAAAGATAATGACGGTGCGAAGTGTTGCGTAGTCTAGCTTTGAACGCGTTTTTCTCGACACTGGTTTATGCTACAATGCGCGCTTAGGTATCAAAAAATAGCCCTGAATTTCAGCTATTTTTTTGATACCTAAGCGCACATTGTAGCATAAACCAGTGTCGAGAAAAACGCGTTCAAAGCTAGACTACGCAACACTCCGCACCGTCATTATGGGGGTGTGTTACAGGATTTACGGTAATAACACACACACCTACCGTTCTAATTAGAGTGTGTTCCTCGCGAGTGAGTAAATTACTCGAGTAAAATTTGCATGAGTAATTTTTACTCGATTAATCGACGCTTTTAGCTGAGTAACTACGAGTAATCCTCTTTACACGTCGAGTAAATTGAATATCTTTACTTGTGAAGGGAATTTCCCCACCAAATCAGTTAAACAGCTGAATATCTTTAAAAAGATTCGTATATAAATCGCTCGTGATTTTTTGCGCCAATTTTTTTGCAATAATTTCCGCTAAAAGTACGGTAATTTTTCCTAAGTGTGCGTTTTAAAAAAAACGGATTGCTCGTGAGGAAACACACTCGAGTTCTAATACCCTAAAGATGTTGAAGATAAAAAAGATATTGGTTAGGAATCTTGCATCCTAGCTGAGATGGAACCAGTGAGCTCTGGACCAGGATACAAGATTCCTAACCAATGGTGGACTACGGCAATAGACTGATAATCTAAAGTGTGTTCCTCGCGAATAATGCCTTCTTTAAAACGCACGCTTAGGAAGAAATTACCGTACTTTTAGCGAAAATTATTGCAAAAAAAATTGGCGCAAAAATCACGAGCGCCGCATTACACTACTGGACAATGAAATATGATATTTGAAAAACGATCGTCACTTTCGCGCGTCTGTAACTCCCTTGTCTTTACCGTATTTCTAAATATTCATATTACCATTGTGTAGCCGTTGAAAAGAGCTTTCAGAAATTGTATAACACTAATAGTTTAAACTCAAAGACAGGGGAGTTACAGACGCGGGAAAGTGACGATCGTTTTTCAAATATCATATTTCATTGTCCAGTACTGTATATACGACTCCTTTTAAAGATATTCAACCGTTCAAATGATTTAGTAGCAAATTCCCTTCACAAGTAAAGATATTCAATTTACTCGACGTGTAAAGAGGATTACTCGTACGTTAATCGACCAAAAACGCCGATTAATCGAGTAATTACTTATTCGCGAGGAACACACTCTAGTTAGGAATCTTGTATCCTAGTTCAGAGCTCACCGTTCAGAGCAGTCTAAATCTATTTTAGTTTTTCTAGATTCTAGATAGATCTAGTCTAGAATTTGACGTTTGAACTCTAGATTTTCAAAGTCTTTCCAATATTCATGATTTTTAAAGCTAATTGTAAAATCTTTCTAGACTTCTAGCTCTAAATTACTTTTAGATTTCATCATTTTCCTCACTCCTCAAGAAAAATTCCCATGGGAACAACAACAAGTGAAACCAGTAAAGAGGAGAAAGTGGATAGGTATTTTTTTTTTGATGCTTTTCTCATTGTGTTCTTTCCTATTTTTCGTACTTTAAAGCACGATCTTTTTCTCTTTTTCTCAAGAAGAAAACTGTGACAAAAGTTGCAGAAGTAAAAATTTTGGTTGAAGAAAAAGCTTTGGCATTGCCAAAAAGGAGAGAAAAGTCGCGTCTTTTCACGCCCGATTTGAGTCTCTTTTTGAAAGGCAAAGCTAAAGGATTTATCGAAAGACAAGAGACAAATCGAAAGAAATGAAACGAATTGAAACGATCCATCGTTTGGCTTTTCATTTTCCTTTTTCACCTTTTTTTCCATTCAATCCTTCCTTTATCCTTTTCTCATTCTGGATTTGCAGTGGCAACAAATCTGGCTTCCTCTCTCTTTTTTCTTTCTGTCATCACCCCTAGAACCAACCGCTAACTAGGGGAAAGATTGATCGAATTAGATTCGGTTTGATGATAACGTTTCTTTGTGGATAAGCTTGCGGGAAAGCTTGCTTTAGCTGGATCTCATTTGGAGAAGAAGAACAAAATAGTCAAAATAGAACAAAATAGAACAAAATAGTCACATTTTAGCGAGCAAACTACATGGATTTGATTGAATTTTCGCCTCAAAACGGTTCTACTAGTTTACCCTAAAACCTGGCTCAGATTGAACACTTCTTAATCGATGAATTTCGAGCAGCAATGCGAAATCTAGAGCTTCGAAATGTAAAATCAATGGAAAATTGAGTTTCCTGAAATGAAAATTCTTTAGAATATGGTTTTCTCGTAAATACACTACTGGACAACGAAATATCATATTTGAAAAAAGATCGTCACTTTCGCGCGTCTGTAATTCCCTTGTCTTTACCGTATTTCTAAATATTAATATTACCATTGTGTAGCCCTTGAAAAGAGCTTTCAGAAAATGTATAACACTAATAGTTTAAACTCAAAGACAAGGGAGTTACAGACGCGCGAAAGTGACGATCGTTTTTCAAATATCATATTTCATTGTCCAGTACTGTAGGTGTCTATCGGATCGTGTCTACGTAAATTTCGAAATTCTTTTGTTCATTTCGGATTTACGAGACAAAGCTCAAAGAGGCTAGAGGCTAGAGGAGAAAGACTACGAGGAGTACAACAACAACGACAACAACGAGAAGCACCACCACTACAACTTCTACAACTTCTACTCAAAGAGGCTAGAGGAGAAAGATTTTCGACTTAACTTCCAAAAGTAATTTAATTTTGAATAACCTGATTGTTTTGTTGGATTGGGATTCTTTTGAATTATCTAGATTATAGCCCAAAAATGAAGGTTATCTAAAAATTTGGATAGAATCTCATGAAGACATTCTCTAAGGAGTAGCTAGAAGGAATCTTGTATTTTGGCTTTCTAGAAGTATCCAAAATGCTAATTTCGCGAGGATTTTAACTATTATAATGAGCCGTTCACAGTCTACCCGTAAAAGGGCTGTCTTTAACCCGAGCTAGCAGTCTGGTAGGCTCAACCAGATGTCCGAACTAAGATATGCATGGGTTAGTCTTTAACATGAGCATATCGTCACTGGCAGGATCAACCAGATATGAAAACAAGTTGCGATTCTCTCAGAGAGAAAACGTCGAAAATGCTTTCCACTTTTGGCACCACGATACAGATAGTCACCAAACACGTTGCAAGCAACCAACACCCTAGAGCCTGAATGAACAGGCTGAGAGTCGCTACGTCGCTGAAGCCTTTTAATTTGCCTTTTCGTTCCTTGTCATACTTTCGTTTAAAATCAACCAATGCATCAATTAAACTACGATTTCATTAGACATTGTCACTCCATTAGAAAGATCAATTCTACAAAATAACATTAAAACGGGTTTAAAATGACTTATGTTTGGATGTTTTTTTTTGAGAGCAGTCAGGTAGTCAAAAAGGGTGACGACTCGATGAGGTGATGACATTTTTGGCTAAGGAAACCTATCTTCGTGTCAATAGATAAAAGATAGAGCATAAAAAGTTTAGTGTATAGTCAAATTTTCAGAGAGATTCGTTCAACCAATTTTTTCGTAGAGGTTTTTCTAGATTTTCACGAAAAACACGTGTTTTCCTTTTCGAATTTGCGCTGAAAGTGAACCGAAATTGGCTTGAAAAGATGGGAAATTGAACAATAAACACTTTTTATTTAGAGAAAATCATAGTTAATTCGTGTATTTGTTCTTTTTCAACGAAAGAAACGATTCTCTGGATGACATTTTGGTCAAATCGGTCAAAATGTAAATGAAAAGAAATAAGACAAAGATTGAGCAATAATATATAGATAAAAATATAGTAAATATAACAAATATAATAATATATAATAATATATAATAGCTTTCTTCATAGACCCACCTGTGATTAGGAGCAAGAGATGAAAGGGGGCCCACATGGCCGCTCGTTTCTCAAAATGGGGAATCGTGGAGAATGACGATCGGATCGGGGAAAGCCCGGAGAAAAGGGGTCTGTCCAAAGAAAATTTAAGGATATGAAAAAAAGAGGAAAAGAAAAACGGATCTGCCAGAAAAGGAGATCAGGGAAATGCGAAATGATGAGAAAGAGAAAAGAAGAAAAATGCCAAAGTTTTCCCCGCTCAAATGCAGGGTGGAGCTTGGAGGAGAGAGAGGAAAAGAGAGGAAAAGAAAGGCAAAGAGAGGCAAAGATAGTCAAAGCTTTCACAGAAAAACTCCTTCAACTACTCTTAAGCAAATTGAGGAAATTCTTGTAGCAACAAACTTTTCTTTAAGGGTCACTTAAAGGAAAAAGTTCAATGGAAAAATGATTTTCTGTTAGTGAAATGCTTTTGGCGATCTCTGATCGTAAACTATGTTGCAGAAAAGGTTTTTGTTTTCAAAGTTTCACTGTACTTTGGAAGAAAAGAAGAAGAAAAGATGATACATTTCGAAAGTTCGACAAAGCTCTTGAAGAAAAGATGAAAGTTTGGAAAGATTAAATTTGAAAAGCTACATTGAAAAGTTTCTTTAAAGTTCTTTCCTTTAAAGTTTCTTTAAAATCCTTTAAAGTCAAGGATGATTTGAATGACTGAGCTTAAGCCAAACAATTTGATTTCGATCGTTAAAAGCGGAAAATTCTTTTTCCGCTCATTTCAAGTCAAGGATTATTTGAATGACTTAGCTTAAGCCAAACAATTGCCAATTGAGTCAAGGATTATTTGAATGACTTAGCCGAAGCCAAACAATTTGATTTCGATCATTAAAAGCGGAAAATTCTTTTTTCGCTCATTTTTGACCAAAACTTTGATGATTTTATTTAAAAATTTACAGATTTAATATCAAAAATGTAAGAATTGAAAGAAATTTGTTTATCTCTTCGTCTTTTTCACTTAAGATTACTCTTAGTTTGATACTCTCTGCAAAAAAAGGAACTGGTGAAGGGAAAATGTGGTAACACACATACAAAATGACAGATGATTTTTCAAAATTCTATCGGAGTAGATAATTTAGGGCTAAATTGTAGAAAATCCTTAATTGTTTTAATTCAATGCGCACACCCTCACATGTGTGACTTTTTAGATGACAGCTTGCAACTATAGCTTTCAGTTGATGGCTTACTTCAGTTAATGTCTTATTTGATGAATTGTCGTGCCTCCGTTTTAACCTCTCGTTTTCTCATACTTGCATAAATTTAGAAAACAGTAGATAACTATAATACAGTAAATGATACAGTAGATAATTCATTTACAATTGCATTGCACTTGAGTGGAAGCTGTTTGTCGAGCGAAAGGCTTAGGCTAACTGTTTTCAATGAATTTAAGCTGCTCTTCCTGCAGTCCTTTCGACTATAGGAAGTGCAGCTTAAATTCATTGAAAACAGTAATCCTAAGCCTTTAGTCCGTTGCCTAATCTATTATTTATCTTTTGAGCCCTGTAATTGAAATTGCTGATGTTGAAAATCTTTAATTGTTTTAATGTAATCAACACACCCAATCCCTTCACTTTATTCAATTTTTATCAAACGCACCCAATGCCTTTTGTGACTTTTTAGATGACAGCTTGCAATTATAGCTTTCAGTTATAGCTTTCAGTTGATGGCTTACTTCAGTTAAAGTCTTATTTTCTTCTCTTTCTTCGTTTCTTTCTCTTCCTTGTCTTTCCTATTTCTTGTTGGGGAAGCCTATAATCCTAAGCCTTTAGTCCGTTGCATAAGCAGACTCTGCCATTAGCTAATAGCTTAATGGTATAGTCTGCCCGATAAGCAAAAGGTCGAGGGTTCAATTCCTTGCTTCCAAATTCTTTATCATTCATTTTTCTTTGCTTTACTTGTAATCTAAGCTTACAATTATTTCTTTTAGCATTATCAAAGCATCAAAGCATTAGCATATGTTTTAAACCTAAATTATTCTTTATTTTAAACCTAAAATATTGATTATTTTAAACTTAAATTATTCACTATTTTAAACCTAAATTATTCATTATTTTAAACTTAAATTATTCATTATTTTAAACCTAAATTATACAAAATAAACAAATCCGTTTTTCCTTTGTGTTTATCTTAAAAGAGATCTTTCAAAAATGATCAATTAGATTAACTAGATCATTTTTTTTCCTTAAAACCAAATCACTTTCATAAATCTCTTTTTTAAAAGGCAGTGAAAAGAATTTGGGTGTGGATTTATTCCCGAAAGATCTCGATTTGAAACTCACGAGACAAAGCCGGCGAGACGAGATCGTTTTGTGTGTGTGTGGATTTGTTGAAGGAGATCTCTTTGTCTTCCACTTACAAGTAATGGGGATAGAAAAAATCCCATTGTCTTTCTCTAAAAGAAAGAGAGATGATACAAGGGGGGAGAAGGGGGGAAATATCCAAGTAATTCGTATCAATTGTTTCACCTCATCCATTCACTCTCATATGACTTTTCTCTAAAATTTGTACGTGATGAAGAAAGAAGAAAAATTCTCGTGCTTTTACTGCTCTCTCACTTTAAAAAAAAGGCGTTTCTCTCTCAAAATCAATTTTTTTTTCAAAACTTTTCTATTGTCTTTGTCAAGTGATGGTTTGAGGAGAAAATTTGGAATATGAGATATTGGGAAATGTTTACTTTCTTTAAAAAGTTAATTTTTCAAAATTAGTAAGATTTTGAGTCTTTTGGTAATAAGAATTGTGATGATTAGAAAAAGCAAAAAGCTCCTAGAAAAAGCAGTACTCTTGCGATGTTTTCCTTTCAGAGTACAGTTTTCCATAAAGTTTCTTTGCCGTAATGTTTGTTATCGAAACTATATTATATTATAAAACAATACTTTCAGTTAATCTAACAAAAGCGGGGATGGTTATTTTCCGCCAAATTTTTTTGCGCAACCTTTCAACCCATTTTAACAAAAGTTTTTTTCACAACGTTTTTAAGCACTATTTTTAAAACTTCCGCCAACATCTTCAAATGTTTGTTATCGACGCTAAAGTTATACTAATTTTCTCGATCGTGTAAAACAATACTTTCAATTAATCTGATGAAAACAAATGATTTGAAAACGAAAAAGAAACGACGACGCCGCGCACCCATCGACTACCTCCAAATGGCGGCGACGTCAATTGGGGTGCGACGTCGCGCGAAAATTAATTTTTAAGAAGCGTTTCAAAGAAACGGGTTCTAATGAAGATTGTAAAAGACGAGGCCCACCAAAGATTGTCAACAATTCAAAAAATCGTCGAAAGATTTTTGATCGACTTAAAAGGAACCCCAACTCCTCAAAGAATTCTGTTCGAAAAATGGCCAATTGGGATTGGAAAAAGTTCGGTTCATCGAATCCTCAAAACTCAAAACAGCCGGAATGAAAGCCAGGACATTTTTTGACAGATTCAATGAAAAGAAAACGTTTGGAACGTTGCAAATAAGGTCGATAGACTGATCTGACAATGAGAATGACAATCTGGGACTATTTTCCGTCTACCTTTCAACACCTTTTAGCAAAGGTTTTTCACAACGTTTTTAAGCACTATTTTCAAAACTTTTACCAACATCTTAAAATGTTTTTTATCAAGGCTAAACTTATATTCATTTTCTCGGTCGCTGTACTTTTTTAAAAAGTTAATGTTTCAAAATTAGTAGAATTTTGAGTCTTTGGGTAATACGAATTGTGATGATTAGAAATTAGCTGCAAAAGCTGCTAGAAAAAGCAGTACTCTTGCAATGTTTTCCTTTCAGAGTACAGTTTTCGATAAAGCTTCGAAATTGTAACTCTTCTCTCAAAAAAAATTAGCAAAATCTCGTCATAATCGTCATAATCTCGTCACATTTGACTAAATAACATTTTTCCAAATCAAATTTTAATATCAGTTTTTAAATGTAAATGCAAGCTATTCAAGCTATTACATTATAGTCTCCAATCGAAATAAAACCCTCGAAATTCCTTCCCACCCTTACAAAAACAATATTGCGATCGAAAAGCGGAAAAACAAAAGATGCAAGCCCGCATCTCTCATTCATTTCTCTAATTGTTTTTCTCTTCTTTTCAATTTTCTTTTCGTGTAAACGGACTTCTCGGGCGTTCCTTATCTTCACATCAGCCTCATTATACTGTTTTGAGGAAAGAAAAGGAAATACTGTTTTGAGGAAAGAAATTTGAGAGAAATTTTTAAAGAAAATTCCCCTCAAATTATTGGATGAGGAAAAAATAGACCGAAACTCTTGAAAGACTAGATCTCTAAACTGATAAACATCGAGCAAAAAAAAAAGAATTGAGAGGGAAAGTCTTTGGAAGAGGAGACTGGGGGAAAGTTGCTAAGGTCATTTAATGTATAGTTTGCAACAATTTTTGCAATGCGTTCAGTTTAGACAGGCTGATAATTGGACGTGCTGGTCGACAGTTCAATTCAAATGTTTAGACAGGCTCAAATAACTGGACGTGCTGATCGACTCATCTTCGTCGAATGATCTCATCTCGAAGTTGAGAGTTCAGTGCAACTTTTAGAATCGGACATGGAGATTCTGTATCTTCGGACTTGCACGAAAACGCGAGGAATATCTGGCACAGAAAAATCGCTCAATGTTTAAACAGGCTGATAAATTGCTTTGATCTGGCTCGGTGACTGCAAGTTTTCACTAGATGGAAGTTTTCTAAAGCGCTAAACTAAACCTAAACTAAACCTAGCTACTGTAGTTGAAAATAGTGCATAAGCTCAGCCATCTGCTAGCTAGCTTACTAATAAAGTAAAGAAATTAATGGCGAAGGATTTGGGATCGAACCCTTGACCTTCTGCTTACCGCTCAGCTATTAGCTCAGCTATTTCTTTCCCCAAAAAGGAATAGGAAAGAAAGGAAGAAGAAAGAGAGATTTAGCCTTTAGCCGTAGTCCGTGTCTTCTAAAGTGCCTACAAAAGTTACAGTATCGAACAGTATTCATTTACTCAACCCATTCTTTCCCAACATGCTTTCATTTCCATCTAAAACCACATTTCAGTGCTTAAGCAATGTTTTTTTTTTGAACTCTGACCCTTAAAAAAACGAATCGTCGAGCCGAAAAAGCCGAAAATCCCGAAAATCCCGATTTTCTTAACAAAATTCTCAAATCTTCAAAATCAAAAACCTTCAAATTCTTCAAAAATAATGTTAACTTTCAAAAATCTCTCAAATTTCACAAAAACCTTTAGGAAAGAAAAGGAAGAAGAAAGAAAGGAAGATGAAGAGATTTAGCCTTTAGCCGTAGTCCGTGTCTTCTAAAGTGCCTACAAAAGTTGCAGTATTACGAACAGTATTCATTTACTCAACCCACTCTTTCCCAAAATGCTTCCATTTCCATCTGAAATCACATTTCAGTGCTTAATCGAAATTTTTGTGAAAAAAAATTACTTTGGAATGACGATAATGTGTTTCCAAGGCAAACCGAAAACTTGAAAAAACTTTTTACTTTCAAATTTCAAGGTCGAGATTTGGCTTAAAAATTTGGAGAAAAAAACATTGTTAATTGAAGATTTCCCTATCACTTTTGAGAAGAACAACGAAAAAAAACAGCGAAATCTTTTTCGGAGAGTTTTCGATGAAAACGGTTCCACTTGTCACTTGAAAATCATTTGCTTGGGATTTTTGGGGCTAAGCATTGGAAACGAGAAGTATTTGAAAAGTAAAGAAAAGTTAAAGTTGTAAAGTTAAAGAATGCTGCTTTATTAAAACTCTTGACGAATGTTTTCGGAATGTTGGATTCCAATCCGTCTCCACGCCATCTGCATCTATCCCGCGTTGATCTATCCAGCGACACAGAGATTCACAGTTTCACTTAAACTTTCTTTGACTTATTTGGTTGAATAAATACACTTATTTTTCTTTTAATTCTACAGAAATCTACAAAGAAATAGAGTTGTTGTGCGAAAGAATGTTAACTGAATGATGTTAACTGAATTATGTTAACTGAATTATGTTAACTAAATTATGTTAACAGAATTATGTTAACTGAATTATGTTAACTGAATTATGTTAACTGAATTATGTTAACTGAATTATGTTAACTGAATTATCGCAAGTTCAACTTTTCCCAGAGTGAAAAAAGTTGTTGTTTACTAAAACAGCATAAAAGGTGTTTATTTCCATCAAAAGATTTAGACGGTTTTGGCGTTGATGAGTGCCGGAGGTGGTGGCGCTTTGCAGATGTTGATTCTCAGCCTCGCTGTGGATGGAGGTCAATTGGGCCAATGGGCCGCCCTTCGACACACAATATTGTTGGTCTTGGTCGATTGTTGAACCGCTTTGACCATACTAAATGTACAGGGTCATCAAATTGTCGAATATGTTGGTGCTCTTGATCATGTGAGCGACATTCAAGACACAGATCTGCTCATTGGTGGCGAGTGTTTGAGCTGGAATCGAGAACAATTTTTTTTCCCTTTTCTACACGGTATCTCAGAATTATGGAGCGCATCCTGTTCCAATCAGGATGAATAACATGTTGTAAACAGAAATTTTGCCTTGGAAACAGCAGCACTTCGGAAATAAACCCTATTTCAGCAGGACGAAGCTCCATCGCTCGAGCTCGAGAAACGCAAGATTGGATCGCAAAGAATTTTCCTGATTAGATCACAGTTGACATAAGCGCGTAAAATCTAGGAGAATGGCCATCCAATTCGCCGGATTTGAATGTTTTGGATTACAGCATTTGGTCGATCTTGCATGCCAAGGCTTGTTGATTGATCTTGCATGCCAAGGCTTGTTGATTGATCTTGCAGTCCAAGGCTTTGGTCGATCTTGCAGTCCAAGGCTTGTTGATTGATCTTGCAGTCCAAGGCCTCCAAGTTCCAAGCCTCACACATCAATTCAGTCTTTGAAGAAAGATTTGGAGAAAGCTTGTGACATTGGTATGAAGGTCATCAAAAAGAATGCCTTTCCGAAACGATTACGAAAATGTATTCAAGCTAAAGGAGGTCACTTTAAAGAATAATGTTATGTTTTTCTTATGTTCAATGATTTTTAAATGATTTTTAAGGTATCTATAAAAATTTCTTGAATATTAACCAAAATCAATGATCGAATTTCCGTTTCATAATTTTGGGACGCTTTGTAGAGTCTTTTGAATATTTTCTTGTGCTATTAAACCCTTCCTAGACCTTTTTATTTGAATTAATTATGGTTTTCGAAAATCGTGTCTTTTCGGGTTGGCTTTGACTCTGTAGAACACTCAGAATACTTGCTTCGTTTTCTTCTTTTAATTCATCAATAAGCATCCGTTTCATAGTTTTGTCGCATCCTGTAACTCTTTTCTGTAATTTTGATTAAAATAATCAATGATAAATGAGCAAACGATCAAAGGACTTTTTGCTTATCGTTTTTTATCAAAATTCCGGTTGATTTGGGTTCAATCCCGGCGGCTAGAAAGCTTGGTTCTTTTTCCCATTATTATGGGTTTTGTTCTTAACAACATTTGGGTAATAGGGGTAATTAGGGGTAAAAATTTTCTTCGTTGTGTTCCTCCGTTGTGTTCCTCCGTTGTGTTCCTCCGTTGTGTTCCTCCGTTGTGTTCCTCCGTTGTGTTCCTCCGTTGTGTTCCTCCGTTGTGTTCCTCCGTTGTGTTCCTCCGTTGTGTTCCTCCGTTTGTTCCTCCGTTGTGTTCCTCCGTTGTGTTCCTCCGTTGTGTTCCTCCGTTGTGTTCCTCCGTTGTGTTCCTCCGTTGTGTTCCTCCGTTGTGTTCCTCCGTTGTGTTCCTCCGTTGTGTTCCTCCGTTGTGTTCCTCCGTTGTGTTCCTCCGTTGTGTTCCTCCGTAATTCATTATTCGTGTCGAATAAATATACTTTATTCCTTGCAAATCCTATCAAAATAGTTTGTCTCATTTTGAAATTTTTTTCAAAAATGAACTTATTGTTGGCTTTTCAAATGTCTCAAAGGTACAGAACAAATTTCACAGCTTGATTTCTGGATTCTCGCTACAAGCAAAGAAAGTTTATGCCGTCGAAAGAAGCTTTCCAATTTCCAATTTTCTATTCTATTTTTGTGGAACCGTAATTACTGTGAACAGTTTTTAGAAAAATTAATTTGCGTTTTTGGGATTTTGAGAATCGTTTATAACTCGCTTATAACAATGTTTTCTTAAAATAAAAACAGCAATAAAACCCAGGAAATGGGCCAAGAAGTTAAACATTCAAAAACAATGTTTCCATAAAATAAAAACAGCAATCAAAATGAAGATTTTAAATTCGATTCATTGAATGGCCGTTTCCCAATTTCCGTTTTCCTAATTGACAGCTCTGTTTCTGGAATTGTTGCTTCTGCTACTTCTCGACAAATAGCTTTCAGTGGTCATAGCCTCTTGAATTTTCTCCTTTCGCTTCAGGAAACAGAAAATTGTGACAACACTGAAAAGTTGTTCTGTGATTACATTGGCTCTTACTTTGAGAATGGGTTGAACATGAAAGCTTCGAGGAAAGGGAGTCCATAATCGAAAATGACACCTCGAATTTCAGGGCCGATAAACGATTGAACGACGTATTGACTCGAGTTGATCACAATGGCATCGAAAAGGACAAGGGCCGAGTTGATCAACATCTGAAGTACAAGATTTGATGTTTAATTTTTTGATTTTCCATAAGGAAATCTTGAGCTGAGATAGCTCTTGAACTAGAAATAGATCTAGGACTAGATCTAGAAGAATGAAATTGCCTTAAAAAAGAAAGAAAATTCTTTCAAAATTTCAAAAATGCCGCAGAGAATTGAAGCCTCAATTCTGTACATTTCTGTACTAAAATAATCCTATCTACAAGTTTTTTTTTGGTTAGAAAACAGCTAAAACTGGTAGCTTTGGCCTTCTCCTTCTCCATTTTCCTTTGGCCTTCTCCAAACGGAGATTGACCGGATTGAGGTCTGGGAAATCGGCTACAAAACTTCAATCAAAGATCTTTTGGTACAGAAATGTAGGCAAGAATCTTTCAGGAATTGAAGAAAGACAGATTTTGTCGAAACTATTGTCGTTTTTGTCGGTTTTCGGGTTGAATTTTTCCATTTCCAATTTCCAACCTGTATCATCAGCAAAATCTCAGCTCTTTTCACTTTCCCACCTTGCCTCTTTACCTAAATCAGAAGGACGATTAAAATGCCATCGATTGCCATCGATTGCCATCGATTAAAAAAGGTTTTCAAAGAGATTTGTACTTCCAAAAGAACCTTTCTCAATCGTAGAGCCGTCAAAAGATCTAGTGAACTCATGATAAACCATGGAACATAAAGAAGATAATATTGAGTGATCATCGGAAACGAGCTGATAGTGAGGGTGTATGGATCGTGGAAACTGATGATCACTTCAAAGGCGATTCGGAGAAGATATGGGAAAGCCATTTGAAGTAACGGCAATCGCAGGGTGTAACGGAAATAAATCCCATCAAAAGAGACGGCGAAAAAGCGGCTGAATATAGGGAAAATATGATTTTCGTTTCTTCAATTTCCACTCAACCTCAATGAGATCATCATTTGCGTGTATTGGGCAAAGTCCATGAAAATTTTCATCTGAATATTCCAAACGGAGATATAGCGAAGCTCATAGGCCAATCTGGCTCCACATCTTAAAAAAACATTTTCTCTAATCTCTAAGCAACATGGGTTTCACATTTTGAGGTTAAAAAGAAATTTTTGATATTCACCTGATGATCTTGGTCGGTAGAAAACAAAAATTACTGATCAAATACCAAATGCAGTAGACGAATTTACTGAGATTCTCACTAGCCGCTAGTAACCTAAACTACCTCAAGTAAAGCTCCTCACCATACCATAGAGCTAGCGTTGAAAATCTACCGAATCGGTAGAACCAAGCGCTCGTTCGTCAAAGCGAAATAGATCGCAAATGGACTGAGGATGAGGGAGAGGAGCATCGACTGGAACAATTGCAAATCAACACCAAAGCTTTATCAAAATCAGTGCAGATACACTGTTTGAAAAAGCTTTTAAGTCTTTCCTGTAGCTGGCTTGTACAGTTAAATACCGCTACTGAACTAAAAGAAATAAGTGAAAATGAGAATCAAGTGAAGGAAAGAGGAAAACACAACACTTAATGCAAAGACGAAGCTTGAAATCCTTGCGTATAACAAACGGATTTCGAACAATGCGACTGCAAACAAATTTGGTGGATCACGTTCGATCATTGATTAGAAAAAACAAGAAGGAAAGCTCGGTGATCTCAACAATAAGAGAAAACGACTTGATGGAGATGGCCGACATCTTGATCAGAAGTTGATCAATTGATCATCGATTAAATTCGATCTTAACGCGACGATAAGAAGCAAATCACTCAAAAGATTATTCTGGACAAGGCAACAATGGAATTTACAAGGGCAGGAGTCAATTTCAATAAAAGCCACGGATGGTTGGAAAGTTTCTTTCGACGGCATAAACTTTCTTTGCTTGTACCGAGAATCCAGAAATTAAGCTGTGAAATTTGTCATGTACCTTTGCGACATTTGAAAAACCAACAATTATAAGTTCATTTTTGCGGTTGACGAGACAGGACTTTGGATTGATGCATTCGGAAGGAAGGGAGAACAAGGGAGTCGACGAGAGGGGGGCCAATGATAAGGGGGTCAATGATAAGGGGGCCAATGATAAGGGGGCCAATGATAAGGGGGCCAATGATAAGGGGGGCAATGATAAGGGGGCCAATGATAAGGGAGCCAATGATAGGGGGGCCAATGATAAGGGGGCTAATGATAAGGGGGCCAATGATAAGGGGGCCAATGATAAGGGGGTTAATGAAGTCGGAGAAGTGGTACTTCTACAGAAATAATTAAAATCCCGCATAAGCTAAAGCGAATCAAATACGGATCATGTGGACCGATAGGCATCGATATCAGCAACAATAGACCGATAGGCAAGTCGAAATGTGTCAGTATCGATAAGTGCCGAAAGTTTTTACCATGCACAGATCAACAGCATTGGCAAAAGAAAATCCTTTCCAATCTCCTCAACCCACCAAAAACCATGTCCATTTGATGACGTTATTGATTCGTGCGGCGAGTTTCGGTGTGATCTCCTTGATCTGCTCAACGGGAATAAAAAATCCTTGTAAACTGCCGATAATTATGCACACGTAAATTCCTGAAAGGAAAGATTTTCGAAGTTAGACTAAGCCGATATCCTGAGATTTTTCTCAAAACCAACCCATCAAGAAACATGTCAAGAATGCGGCAATGAACAGTTCACGGAATCGCCAAAGTTTTTCTTTAATAGCTGATAACCTTGACATCTTTTTTGAAATGATGAAAGCACCAAAAATTTCAAAATTCAAAAATCCAACTGCTGTTTTTTTTTCTGAAACTCAATCATTCTAATTGTATCCTAAAGTCAAATCGTTTTTTTCTTCCAAATAGACATTCCAATCAGACATTTTCTTTGAATGAAAGGGACAAAAATGGCACTTTGCTAGACGCTTTGCTAGGAAAGCTACAGGCCGAAGAAAACCCATATTTATGGCCAATTAGTGAACCAAATCAAGTGGCCAAATCGACCACCAATTAGTGGTCGATTTCTACAAATCTTTCTAGTTAATACTTTCTGAGAAAAACAATTTGATAATCAAATTGTTTTTCAAATCAAAAGGCCTTTGAAATCGGATAGCTCAAGCTGAATTCTGAGCTCGAAGTGAAGAAGGATCTTCTCCACTTTGCTCGGTCGGCCTAAATTGGTTTCGCAAGAAATACCAATTTCATAGATTTTAGCTTGTAACCTGCCCAATAGGCTCTTCGCGAGTACATCGTCGAGTAATCGATTTAGTTTGGTTCGCCTTTGAAATAGCTCGAAAAACTTTTGAACCATGGAGTCACGGTCCTGAAGATGAACCTTTATCAGCTTATAGTTTTATTTTAGACGACAGCAGCCCGGAAAGCCCGCATCATCCGAATTTGGCACCTGTCAAGCCGCCACCAAGTCGATTACCTTCGAAAAATGAGGTTACATCTATAATAGTTTAATTCTAATCTATCATAGTTTAATTCTAACTATATTAGATTTATAATCTAATCTATATTCGATCTAAAATATCTTTTCTAACAGATCAATCTTGCAGAAAGTTGCTGGAAAGCTTGCAACTTTCTCTGCACACTCGTGTAAAATCTATTCAACAAAATAAATAGATTTTATAGAAAGACATGTAATTTCTACTGTCGTAAAGATTACTGTAGCATCTTGGTGAAAGATAAACCTTAAAATCTACACCAGTTTACAGTAGCTGCTTTGTGTTATACCTGAATCATTGTTTAGAAAAGAAAAAGCCTAGAAAGGTCTCAAGCCTATAAAAAAATATGGTTACATTTCTAATCACAAATCACACTCGATATAAAATTGCGTTTATAAAAAGGTTTATAAAATTGCGCTTGACATAAATAAACAGTAATTCAAAGCTCAGACTCTAAATTCGAATGTAAAATGGGATTTTCGGGAATTGTTTATGTACCTGTTGGCTTTGTGCCTTTTTCTATCGTGACAAATAAATCAAAATTGAGATTATGCTTCTTTCGTTCTTTTCGCCAAATAAAACTTTTTTTCGAGTAAAAAGCAAAAGAATTAGCAGCAAGAGAAGTCGAACCCGCGACCTCTCTATTCCGTTCGTTTGACAGACGCGCGCGTTCACTCGACCATGCTCTGGCACAGTGCGAGCGGATTTGTCTCTAGCTCACACAACCCGAATTCGACTCCCGCCCGCGTCCAGATTTTTGGTTTTTTAAAAATTTAAAAACATGTTGATCAACCAGATGGAATTCTAAGTCAAACTAACTACAAGTCATTTGAAACGACCAACTGGGTGCAGAGGAGCACAGACAGACAAACAGACACAGCTCTTTTATGCAATAGATATACACTGCTCCACAAAATTATATGGACACTTACTTTTTTACCAATTTTATGCTCTTAAGAAACGATAGATAGTGAAAAAAGTTGTTTTATAGTATTTTCCTTATTAGATTTGCTATTGAAGCACGTTAGATATACTACCATAGTTTGGAATATGAATGTTTAAAAATCGAATCTTGTAAAAAATGCCCTTTGGCGCTTTCCACATAATGATATGGACACTACATAAAATTTTTTATTTAGTAACAAAAAAATGATTTAAAAAAAGAATAACAACATTTAATAATCAATAGGACCTCCATTCTTTTGAATCAATTCAAAAATTCGATTATTGATGCTGGCCACAAGTTTATCAATCAGATTTTGGTCTACTTTTCTCTAGGCATCAATTATTACAGATTTCAGAGAAGGCACGTCTTTATAAGTCTTGTTTCCTGCGTAAATGTGATGTACCATGAATCCCCATATACTTTCTTGCACATTCAAGTCGGGAGAATTGATAGGCCAGTCGAGAAGTCGAACTTGCTTCCGTTATAGCCATCTTTTAGTGCTTTGGCTTGCATGTATTGGAGAATTATCCTGGACGAAAATGTGATTTTGGCCTTGATTCCGACGCCAAAACAGAAGAAGTGATCGCCGCAAGATAAATTGATATTGGGCTGAATTCATACACTTTAGGACAAATGCCAGTTTTATTTGGCCAGATGAAGCAATTGCTGCCCATACGATCACACCACCTCCTTTGAAGTTTCTTCGCGAAAAGCTAATCTTTTCCTTTCTTAAATCATGCCAATAACTGCGGTTTCTATCAGGCCCATCACAGTTCAATTTCTTCTCATCCGACCACACGACCTAAACATAATAATAACTTTTCATCAGCCAAGTAATCACACCCACCTTACTCCAGTCAATTCTTCTGTTTTTGTCGGCGAATTCTAGTCTTTTCTTGCAATGATCTTGCGTCATAAACGGTGCTTTACGCATCTTCCTTCGCACAATAAAATCGCTTTTCTTTAGCACTCGACGGACTGTTTTGCTTGACACTTTGAGCTTGAGATTCGCCTTGATATCTGAGCAGGAAAGCGTAGAGTTGGATGCTTCTCCGCAAATGTGTCTCTTATCTCGCGCAGAAACGAAAGGTTTTCGAGCAGTCGACTTTTTTGTTGCGTATTGTAGAGGATCAGACAGATAGGATCCGGTTAACGTTGGTGTTCGGTTCAAAAATCGTCCTATTGCTCGATTTGAGTGTCCTTCGCGATTCATTGCCTCTATGATTCCAGTTTCCTTTTCAGAAAGCGGCGGTCCCCTTGGCATTTTTTCAGTGTACCTTAAAGAAATTATTTTTGAGCAAAAAGAGCTAAATTATCTGAAAAAAAAAAGAGAAAAAGGACGAAAAACAAAGTGTCCATATCATTATGTGGAAAAGCGCCAAAGGGCATTTTTTACAAGATTCGATTTTTAAACATTCATATTCCAAACTATGGTAGTATATCTAACGTGCTTCAATAGCAAATCTAATAAGGAAAATACTATAAAACAACTTTTTTCACTACCGTTTCTTAAGAGCATAAAATTGGTAAAAAAGTAAGTGTCCATATAATTTTGTGGAGCAGTGTATAAAAGAGCCTTGTCTATCTCTCTATACGGCAATTTTCTTCTGTTTTGACCAATAAAGCTAAAGCTTCTTGAGAAAGTCTTAGAATATATTGTAGAATATATTGTAGTTTTTTTTAACAAAAAAAGTAGTTAGATTGGACGATCCAAAGTTAGATTGGACCTCCGGATCGAACTCTGGATCGTGTGGGTTCTAGACAAGCGCGCTCTCGACTGAGCCACGGCAACACAAAATACGCTCGCAAATTTCATCTTAAAACTTCTAGCTAATCGCTCTCGTCGTCAGCGCCGGATTTCGGTGTCGGACGACTTCGAGACAACGGCCCAATTCATCGAAAACCTTCGTCAAGATTTAATGAAACAATTGTGATATCCAAAAAAATTTTTATATTTTCTATTCTCTGCAAATTTCATAGATTTTGTGAATAAAATGTGCAATTTATATAAGTAGAGAAATGTTCATTCCAAAAGTTCACGCTAAACTTCTCCCAATCGGTTTGATTGTAATTCTCGAATGGATCAATCTTTTCCTCACGCCAAGTATGCGAGAAAAAGATCAAGAGATTGCAGATGAGAGCGCTTTGGAGAAAAATGAATAAAGCAATCGAAAACCTGGAAGAGATCGAAAGTAAATAACATCATTTCCTAGCAACAAACCATTTAATAATCGCTCGTACGATGGCTCTTTTCCGTCCTCGTTTAATCTCCACAACTTGATCCCCTTTGAAAACCGTTGAAATCGCTTTCAAATCAATTTCTGGCTTCTTTGCCAATTGTTTAAACTTAGCAAATGTGATTCCGAAGAAAATCGCGATTACACAAATGGCAAGACATGAGAGAACGAACCAACCTGAAGTCATTGGAAAGAAGTAATCAAGAGTTTCAAATCTATTGGGTTGATGAATTGAAAACTGAAAAAATCCTCTTTCGTAGTAGGATGTGAGTTTGTGTGTGAGACAAGTGTGAGACTCAAAAATCGAGGACTGGAGATGTCCCAGTTTGAGCACTTTCTGCACTTTCTTCAAAAGAAACCCATTTTGGTGTCAATGGAAAAGTTGTAGAGAATCAAAAATTAGGCTTATAACCAAATTTCCAAAAAGATACACTTAGTAGTTTCGCTTAAAATGCAAGTTTTGTGAAAATTCGTAAATTTGGCATTTCTTGAAAACCAGTTTTTGAATCGTTCTGAAAATTTGGATATAAGCTTGATTTTTGATTCTCTACAACTTTTCCATTGACACCAAAATGGATTTCTTTTGAAGAAAGTGCTCAAACTGTCACATATGACAATAGCCAACAGTTTTCAATTCACCAACCCAATATAAAGCCTAGGCTAACAAAGGCTCTTTTTGTTAAAGAACTATTGTTTCTAGATTAGTTTAAAGCATTGCTTCTCTACTTGACCAACCAAGAAGAGGAACTTTGATCGTTCTTGGGAGATTATCGGCCACAACTGTCAGAGTGATCGACAGAGCCAAGAGAGAAGTCAAACCAATGTTCACCTAAGATTGTTTCAGGCTCAATTTCCTGTCTTTCTTGAATCGCTAAGTAATTAACTTTTAAAAGAAACCGGATCAAAGTCCCCATTCGGCGAAACGGGCAACAACACTCCGGTGACAGTCAATATGGTGACAAGTGTGGCCGGGATCACGACAACAATGATGAAATAAACCGGATTTCGTTGGAAAGTGATTAGCAGTTGGATCTCGTTGTCCATTGCTGGATCATTTGGTAGAGAGTACATGGCGGAGTAGTTCGTCGGGGTGAATTCCTCGTTTCCCTACATAAATGCATTGATTCTCGTATTAGCACAGTGTTCCGGATAATCCGGATTCGGATATCCGAAATGTTTGGATAATTTTGATTATCTGGACCGGATTATCCGGACCACTTGTAAAAGACTTCTAATGAATGAAAGTGTTCCTTTTCAAAGCTCAATTTCAAAAATTTCTTGACACTACACGTCAATTTCTGGAAAAGCTGTTTATTTTATGGAAGATCTTTAGCTTGGCATAGTTTTATTTCCTTCTCAATTAATCTTCATCAAGATTAGCTTCATCGGAAGGAGAAGTCATTTGAAATTTTGCATTTGAAAGTCATTTGAAGTCAAAAATTTGCCAAATTTTGACCTTAAACCTTTGCAAAAGATCAATTACGAAAAGAAAGGAATGTATTTTGCTATACTTTCAAAGATGAACTTGTATTTAAACCGAGTTTTTGCCATTAAATATTGAATTTAAGCAAATCCGTCTCCGGATTTTATCGAGAATTTTTTAAAATTCGGATTATCCGGAGATGAACCATCCGTGCAGCCTTGATCAGCACTAAAAGGCTTTGAGACAAACTTAATTCTCCGGGCAAAAGTGAGCCCCAAATCAGAGAAATTCAAGACTTGCCTTTGGGATGAAACGGCAAATACTCTAGCTCGTTTATTCACCACTTGCTTACCTATCCAATATATCGTCAGTATATCCACTACTTGAAACGATAATGAATTAGGTTCTGCCAATGAGTTGAAAGTGCCTAGTAGGTTGAGTACTAACTAGCGAATGTTGTTAACTTATTGTGGTTTTGACTCGGGAAATAGCCTATCTGATGCAGCTTTTCACGCTGCTTCCGAATCTGCAATCAGTTTTTTTCAAACGCTTCTCCATCGCAAGATATTTGGCATACAAGTTTTTGAGAAGAGAAATTTGGAAAGTTAATAAATACAAATGATATTTGACATTGAACTAAAAAATACACCTACCCTGACAGTCGTGAATGCTGCTCTCACAACGGTTAGTCGCATGACGCTCATGTTGATACTTGATGACATCACCAGACCACAACTCGTCTTGTCAAATGGAAAGCTGAAATAAAGTGTTTGCCACAAGTAGCGTATACTTTTCACTTTCAAATTCAACTCACTTCTGAATATGGTCGAAGCAAAGGACTTTCGAGAAGAAATACCCGCTTTGCTCGACTCTTCCATCGCTCTCGATTCTCACATCTGAATCTCTTCCCTTTGAGATCGCTCGAGTATTCATTCTGAACAAATTTCTTCATAAATTTTAGCCTTTTAACTATAAACAAACGCATTGTAAACACTGTAGCGAGGAGTCCAGATCTCCGATTCGGGAAGGTAGAGAGCTGTCAAGTTGCCATAATCGATCGGATCGAATCTCAGTCTTACATCCACCCAATTCTAGTACTCCGATTTAAAAAGATTTTCTAAAAAACCCAAACCAAAGTAAGTTTATAAACAAGAGTTGCTTGTGTTTCCTCGGTGAGAGCGATGCCGAGTGCAATGAAGGGGACAGAGACATTCACCAATACCGTCTTGTGGTTTCTGAAGAGAAAAGTGTTTAAAGATTTGGCTTTCAGAAATGATTTTGATTCTTTTAGAGTTTATTTGTTCGTAGAACATAGATAAGTCAATGAAAAATTAGACAAATAAGCCAAACCAGAAAGTGGCTTCTCCTAAAGCCCAAACCCAAATTCAGCTTTTGGCTGGATTCAGATCTTTTTGGATGAGTAGTCATGCTATCAAGATAAATAAAGCTAATATTACCTAATATTATTGCTATAATTGTTACAGAAAAGGACCCTCCAGTCTTTGGAATGATACCAAATAGAGGTTGATTGGAATAACAAACCTGAAAGATGCTAGTCCGGCACAAAGGGAACACCTATCTATTGCCGGCGTGTGTCAGATGAAGAGCGTTTATGCGCGATCGCAAAGAACACCTAGCAAAGAACTTTACACACTGGGACTTTACAAAACTTTACAGATTGACTTTCAGTGCTCTTCATTTTCAGCCAAGTTGACTTAGCAAAACGAGTCTATTCTCTTGGTTTTTCTTTCAGATTTGCTTAATCCAATCAAGTTCTATTTGACGTGATTCGAAAGGTTTAGTTTCATAAGTTAAACTTTTATAAACTACGTATAGAACGGGCTTTCCACTTTATCGTAGTCGGAAATCAATTGTCGAAGATTGCCAGAAGAGTTCACTAAATTCAAAAGGTCAGTGTTATTTTTGATTTCATTTTCATTCTCAAACCTTGGACTGAGAGAAATAAAATAAAGATTAAAAGCATTTATGAAAATTATTATAAATAGTGGAAAATTGTGATGAAATACAATTTGAACTCTGGAAATCCGACACTACTGAGCGCTCATTTTTGAAACCACTTGAACTTTATGGAAAGCTGATTCAAAGCTATATGGAATGCTGATAAAGAAACCATGTAAAAAATGATTTAATCAAGTTGAGGAGTTGGGGTTCCTTTTAAGTCAATCAAAAATCTTTCGAGGATTTGTTGAGTTGTTGGCAGTCTTTGGTGGGCCTCGTCTTTTACAATCTTCATTAGAACTCGTCTCTTTCAAACGCTTCTTAAAAATTAATTTTCGCGCAACATCGCATCCCAATTGACGTCGCCACCATTTGGAGGTAGTCGATGGGAGCGCCGCGTCGTCTTTTCTTTTTCGTTTTCAAATCATTTGTTTTCATCAGATTAATTTCAGTTTTCAGTTCCTCAAAGAATTCTGTTCGAAAAATGGTCAGTTGGGATTGAAAAAAGTTCGGTTCATCGAATTCTCAAAACTCAAAACAGTCGGAATAAAAGCCAGGACATTTTTTTGACAGATTCGATGAAAAGAAAACGTTTTGTAAACAAGGTCGATAGACTTTTGTTGATATTTTATTACCATAATTATGGGAAACTGTGTAAATTGAACTTGCGGTACATTGGGCAAAAAAAATAATTAGCTTAGCTTTGACTTAGTATAGTATGTGGAAGTCCTCTAAAGATCATCAAATCGACCAGCAACGACTTTTTGTGTTATTTCGATTCTTGGCAAGTGTAATTTTAAAACTCTTTCGCTCGTTTCGTCTGTAAAATGTCTGAAATTTTGACTTGCGAAAGGTAAACTCAAAATTTGAAAATTTAAAACTTGATTAAATCATTTTTTTACTTCTTTTAGTTTCTTCATCAGCATTCCATATAGCTTTGAACAAGCTTTCCATAAAGTTCAAGTGGTTTCAAAAATGAGCGCTCAGCAGTGTCGGATTTCCAGAGTTCAAATTATATTTCTTCACGATTTTCCACTATTTATAATAATTTTCATAAATGCTTTTAATCTTTATTTTATTTCTCTCAGTCCAAGGTTTGAGAATGAAAATGAAATCAAAAATAACACTGACCTTTTGAATTTAGTGAACTCTTCTGGCAATCTTCGACAATTGATTTCCGACTACGATAAAGTGGAAAGCCCGTTCTATACGTAGTTTATAAAAGTTTAACTTATGAAACTAAACCTTTCGAATCACGTCAAATAGAACTTGATTGGATTAAGCAAATCTGAAAGAAAAACCAAGAGAATAGACTCGTTTTGCTAAGTCAACTTGGCTGAAAATGAAGAGCACTGAAAGTCTTTACAGACTTTCAGTCTTTCGATCTGTAAAGTTCTGGAGATTAAAAGCATTTATGAAAATTATTATAAATAATGGAAAATCGTGAAGAAATATAATTTGAACTCTGGAAATCCGACACTGCTGAGCGCTCATTTTTGAAACCACTTGAACTTTATGGAAAGCTTGTTCAAAGCTATATGGAATGCTGATGAAGAAACTAAAAGAAGTAAAAAAATGATTTAATCAAGTTTTAAATTTTCAAATTTTGAGTTTACCTTTCGCAAGTCAAAATTTCAGACATTTTACAGACGAAACGAGCGAAAAAGTTTTAAAATTACACTTGCCAAGAATCGAAATAACACAAAAAGTCGTTGCTGGTCGATTTGATGATCTTTAGAGGACTTCCACATAATATACTAAGTCAAAGCTAAGCTAATTATTTTTTTTGCCCAATGTACCGCAAGTTCAATTTACACGGTTTCCCATAATTATGGTAATAAAATATCAACAAAAGTCTATCGACCTTGTTTACAAAACGTTTTCTTTTCATCGAATCTGTCAAAAAATGTCCTGGCTTTTATTCCGACTGTTTTGAGTTTTGAGAATTCGATGAACCGAACTTTTTTCAATCCCAACTGACCATTTTTCGAACAGAATTCTTTGAGGAACTGAAAACTGAAATTAATCTGATGAAAACAAATGATTTGAAAACGAAAAAGAAAAGACGACGCGGCGCTCCCATCGACTACCTCCAAATGGTGGCGACGTCAATTGGGATGCGATGTTGCGCGAAAATTAATTTTTAAGAAGCGTTTGAAAGAGACGAGTTCTAATGAAGATTGTAAAAGACGAGGCCCACCAAAGACTGCCAACAACTCAACAAATCCTCGAAAGATTTTTGATTGACTTAAAAGGAACCCCAACTCCTCAACTTGATTAAATCATTTTTTACATGGTTTCTTTATCAGCATTCCATATAGCTTTGAATCAGCTTTCCATAAAGTTCAAGTGGTTTCAAAAATGAGCGCTCAGTAGTGTCGGATTTCCAGAGTTCAAATTGTATTTCATCACAATTGGAATATTGGAAATATTTATAATAATTTTCATAAATGCTTTTAATCTTTATTTTATTTCTCTCAGTCCAAGGTTTGAGAATGAAAATGAAATCAAAAATAACACTGACCTTTTGAATTTAGTGAACTCTTCTGGCAATCTTCGACAATTGATTTCCGACTACGATAAAGTGGAAAGCCCGTTCTATACGTAGTTTATAAAAGTTTAACTTATGAAACTAAACCTTTCGAATCACGTCAAATAGAACTTGATTGGATTAAGCAAATCTGAAAGAAAAAACCAAGAGAATAGACTCGTTTTGCTAAGTCAACTTGGCTGAAAATGAAGAGCACTGAAAGTCTTTACAGACTTTCAGTCTTTCGATCTGTAAAGTTCTGGAAGTTCTGCAAAGTCCCAGTGTGTAAAGTTCTTTGCTAGGTGTTCTTTGCGATCGCTCTTCATCTGACACACGCCGGCAATAGATAGGTGTTCCCTTTCGTGCCGGACTAGCGATTCTTTCAGGATTTGTTATTCCAATCAACCTCTATTTGGTATCATTCCAAAGACTGGAGGGTCCTTTTCTGTAACAATTATAGCAATAATATTAGGTAATATTAGCTTTATTTATCTTGATAGCATGACTACTCATCCAAAAAAGATCTGAATCCAGCCAAAAGCTGAATTTGGGTTTGGGCTTTAGGAGAAGCCACTTTTTGGTTTGGCTTATTTGTATAATTTTTCATTGACTTATCTATGTTCTACGAACAAATAAACTCTAAAAGAATCAAAATCATTTCTGAAAGCCAAATCTTTAAACACTTTTCTCTTCAGAAACCACAAGACGGTATTGGTGAATGTCTCTGTCCCCTTCATTGCACTCGGCATCGCTCTCACCGAGGAAACACAAGCAACTCTTGTTTATAAACTTACTTTGGTTTGGGTTTTTTAGAAAATCTTTTTAAATCGGAGTACTAGAATTGGGTGGATGTAAGACTGAGATTCGATCCGATCGATTATGGCAACTTGACAGCTCTCTACCTTCCCGAATCGGAGATCTGGACTCCTCGCTACAGTGTTTATAATGCGTTTGTTTATTGTTAAAAGGCTAAAATTTATGAAGAAATTTGTTCAGAATGAATACTCGAGCCATCTCAAAGGGAAGAGATTCAGATGTGAGAATCGAGAGCGATGGAAGAGTCGAGCAAAGCGGGTATTTCTTCTCGAAAGTCCTTTGCTTCGACCATATTCAGAAGTGAGTTGAATTTGAAAGTGAAAAGTATACGCTACTTGTGGCAAACACTTTATTTCAGCTTTCCATTTGACAAGACAAGTTGTGGTCTGGTGATGTCATCAAGTATCAACATGAGCGTCATGCGACTAACCGTTGTGAGAGCAGCATTCACGACTGTCAGGGTAGGTGTATTTTTTAGTTCAATGTCAAATATCATTTGTATTTATTAACTTTCCAAAGTTTTCTAATTGAATAATTCTACCAAATGAAATTCGGTTCTTTTCATTTGGTAGCTCAAATGAAATACGGTTTTTTTTAATATTAAATAGCTCAATCATTTCTCTTACAAATGACGTTCGAAAGTTTTTTTAAAAGCTTTGTTTTGTTTTTTTTGAAGGTTTTTCATTAGCAAGATGTCGAGTGTTCAAAAAGGGGAAAGATCCAATGATGCGATTTTGACCGTTTCTTCTAAGGAAATCTATTTCGATGACAAAATAAAAAAGATAAATAAAATTCCATAAAATAAACAGCTTGTCGAGAAATTGACGTGTGGTATCAAGAAATTTTTGAAATTGGGCTTTGAAAATGAACACATTCATTTATTAGAATGAATGAATGAAACCTTAGAATGAATTCATTCATTCATTTACAAGTGGTCCGGATAATCCGGTCCAGATAATCAAAATTATCCAAACATTTCGGATATCCGAATCCGGATTCTCCGGAACACTGTGCTAATACGAGAATCAATGCATTTATGTAGGGAAACGAGGAATTCACCCCGACGAACTACTCCGCCATGTACTCTCTACCAAATGATCCAGCAATGGACAACGAGATCCAACTGCTAATCACTTTCCAACGAAATTCGGTTTATTTCATCATTGTTGTCGTGATCCCGGCCACACTTGTCACCATATTGACTGTCACCGGAGTCTTGTTGCCCGTTTCGCCGAATGGGGACTTTGATCCGGTTTCTTTTTAAAAGTTAATGACTTAGCGATTCAAGAAAGACAAGAAATTCAGCCTGAAACAATCTTAGGTGAACATTGGTTTGACTTCTCTCTTGGCTCTGTCGATCACTCTGACAGTTGTGGCCGATAATCTCCCAAGAACGATCAAAGTTCCTCTTCTTGGTTTGTCAAGTAGAGAAGCAATGCTTTAAACTAATCTAGAAACAATCGTTCTTTAACAAGAAGAACCTTTGTTAGCCTAGCCTTTATAGATTTGAAACTGTTGATTACTTCTTTCCAATGACTTCAGGTTCGTTCGTTCTTTCATGTCTTGCCATTTGTGTAATCGCGATTTTCTTCGGAATCACATTTGCTAAGTTTAAACAATTGGCAAAGAAGCCAAAAATTGATTTGAAAGCGATTTCAACGGTTTTCAAAGGGGATCAAGTTGTGGAGATTAAACGAGGACGGAAAAGAGCCATCGTACGAGCGATCATTAAATGGTTTGTTGCTAGGAAATGATGTTATTTACTTTCGATCTCTTCCAGGCTTTCGATTGCTTTATTCATTTTTCTCCAAAGCGCTCTCATCTGCAATCTCTTGATCTTTTTCTCGCATACTTGGCGTGAGGAAAAGATTGATCCATTCGAGAATTACAATCAAACCGATTGGGAGAAGTTTAGCGTGAACTTTTGGAATGAACATTTCTCTACTTATATAAATTGCACATTTTATTCACAAAATCTATGAAAATTTGCAGAGAATAGAAAATATAAAAATTTTTTGGATATCACAATTGTTTCATTAAATCTTGACGAAGGTTTTCGATGAATTGGGCCGTTGTCTCGAAGTCGTCCGACACCGAAATCCGGCGCTGACGACGAGAGCGATTAGCTAGAAGTTTTCAGATGAAATTTGCGAACGTATTTTGTGTTGCCGTGGCTCAGTCGAGAGCGCGCTTTTCTAGCACCCACACGATCCGGGTTCGATTCCCGGAGGTTCAATCTAACTTTGGATCATCCAATCTAACAAGTTCTTTTGTTAAAAACAAAACTACAATATATTCTAAGACTTTCAAAAGAAGCTTTAGCTTGATTGGCCAAACCAAAGAAAATTGCCGTATAGACAGATAGACAATGCTCTTTTAGATATCTACTATATAAAAAGAGCTGTGTCTGTTTGTCTGTCTGTGCGCACTATTCCTCTGCACCCAGTTGGTCGTTTCAAATGACTTGTAGTTAGTTTGACTTAGAATTCCATCTAGTTGATCAACATGTTTTTAAATTTTTAAAAAACCAAAAATCCCGACGTGAACGGGAGTCGAACTCGGGTTGTGTGAGCTAGAGACAAGTCCGCTCGCACTGTGCCAGAGCATGGTCGAGTGGTTAACGCGCGTGTCTCTCAAACGAACCGAAGAGAGAGGTCGCGGGTTCGACTTCTCTTGCTGCTAATTCTTCTGCTTTTTACTCGAAAAAAAGTTTTATTTGCTGCAAGCAGGGGGTTTATCATATGTAGCTTATAACCAGGATGTGGGCTTTGGACTTTAGGCTTTGGCTAACCAGGTACCTAATCAGAACAGGTGTACTGTGCTGGGATAATTTTTGGGATAAGCTTTATAGTTTTCAGCTCTGGCTAAGTCTGAACGAGTCTGGAAAACTTTCTATAACCATTTCTTATCTAACATTTTTGTATAGCATAACATTTTACAATCATTTTTCTCAACTCTTACCCAAAGGTGTGTCCTCAAAAAGGTGTGCGATCAGGGACGAGTTCCGTTGTCGATCGTTGTGCGTGTTATCGCTTGAGGTGGCTCGATTGCGACTCTGAAAATCGTTTTTGAAATTCAACTTTAATTGCATAATCTCGATTTTGATTTATTTGTCACGATAGAAAAAGGCACAAAGCCAGCAGGTACATAAACAATTCCCGAAAATCCCATTTTACATTCGAATTTAGAGTCTGAGCTTTGAATTACTGTTTATTTATGTCAAGCGCAATTTTATAAACCTTTTTATAAACGCAATTTTATATCGAGTGTGATTTGTGATTAGAAATGTAACCACATTTTTTATAGGCTTGAGACCTTTCTAGGCTTTTTCTTTTCTAAACAATGATTCAGGTATAACACAAAGCAGCTACTGTAAACTGGTGTAGATTTTAAGGTTTATCTTTCACCAAGATGTTACAGTAATCTTTACGACAGTAGAAATTACATGTCTTTCTATAAAATCTATTTATTTTGTTGAATAGATTTTACACGAGTGTGCAGAGAAAGTTGCAAGCTTTCCAGCAAATTTCTGCAAGATTGATCTGTTAGAAAAGATATTTTAGATCGAATATAGATTAGATTATAAATCTAATATAGTTAGAATTAAACTATGATAGATTAGAATTAAACTATTATAGATGTAACCTCATTTTTCGAAGGTAATCGACTTGGTGGCGGCTTGACAGGTGCCAAATTCGGATGATGCGGGCTTTCCGGGCTGCTGTCGTCTAAAATAAAACTATAAGCTGATAAAAAATGTGAAGAAATATTAAGTAAGTTTTCTAAATATTTACCTGACGTGGAGGCAGACCTAGACGAGTCATTGGATTTATCGGAGACGTTGAGTTTCTCGGGGAAATTCTCGAAAATGTCGGCACTACCTGGGAGTCGAATTGAGAGGGGATCAAGCTGGAAAAGAATCTTATTTATTGTGTGACTTTATTCGAGTTTTCTAAAGTAAAGATCAAACATCTTTGGCTTAAAGAATTTCCTTGAGGAAAACTTAAAGATGTTCAACTTGGCCTAAACTTTCGTAGACTTTATTTGTGGTCTAAAAATAGTTTTTTTCAAAAGTTACAAACTCTTCAAAACTCAATGGAAACAATTCTTTTTCTATTTCCAGGTAATTAATTTCCTTCTTTTTCTTGGGTGTTAATTAGAAAAGATTCGGCGTGAGAGTCATGAAAAGGAAAGAGAATTCTTTTAGAAGAGGTTTTTTTTCACAAAAAACACACTGACTATACGATTTTCAGCAGAAATCAGAATTTTTTTTTCGTGACTGGAGATTCTGAATCATTAGAGTAAAAGGATATACTGTAGAAAGCTTAAAAACTTAATTAAGAATAGCTTTTTTCCAAAATTAATCACAACTACGGTAAGAATTTGTGTACTTTTTGCTTAAAAATGGAAAGACACCATTTCTGGTGAGCTCAAAGTCTTAAATTCATCCCCCAGCAAGCATTTGATGAGTTTAAAAGTGAGAATTTGAATTCAAAGATGTGCAGTGCACCAGACAAGATGCGTTTACACTTCGCGGTAAGTAAGTACGTTTCTTCAAAGTTTAAAAGCTAATTTCCTTTCCGTTACAGCACTGATCTTGTGTAATTTGAAAGTTTAATTAAATGAAGAACGCATAAAGTATCGGTTTAAAAGTGGGAATTTAAATTCAAAGATGCACCAGTGCACGTGTGATGCATTCAAAGATGCACCAGTGCACGTGTGATGCATTCAAAGATGCACCAGTGCACGTGTGATGCATTCAAAGATGCACCAGTGCACGTGTGATGCATTCAAAGATGCACCAGTGCACGTGTGATGCATTCAAAGATGCACCAGTGCACGTGTGATGCATTCAAAGATGCACCAGTGCACGTGTGATGCATTCAAAAATGCACCAGTGCACCAGTTTCCCGTTTCTTGAAACGTTAAAAAGCTAATTTTCTTTTGTAAGCTGAAGATTTCCATAAAATTAAACTCATTTTAAAATCATTAAATCTTTGTTTTGTTTAAAAAGCTTTTTGATCAAACTCACATGAATCGAGGAGCGACGTCGCTCGAACGTTGCATTTGGAGGGATTCTCGTTAGACTCATAGCTTCGCTTTTTTTTTCTCTAAAATTTCTGATATTTTAAAGCAAAAGAATTAAATGTAAAAGGTCAAGTTTTGAAGTTCGAAAGAAATTTCCTTATTTCATTTTTTTTGGGCTTTACAGACTCCAAAGTAAACAGGTGAGAAAGCACAAAAAAAATGTGTAATTACAAATGAGATTTCGCAAAAAAAGCACAAACAAGATTTCCCGAGTTTTAACGAGAAACGTGAATCACAAGAAAAAGAAAAGAAAGAGAGCAAGAATTAAATACAGAAATTCGTTGGAAAGAATTTCGAGAAGTTTTTTTTGGTGTGAAGAGTCAAGGGAAAATGAGCAAAATAGGATTGTAGATGGTGATGTGAAGGGAATTTTTGAATAATAAATTATATAATACTTATTAATGGTAATAAATAGCAATAAATAGCAATAAATAGCAATAGCATTACTTATATCTCGTCAGATTGACCTATTGGTTGACTGAAGTTTGGCTTTAAACTTGAAAAAAATCTTTCTGGAGTAGAATGAGTGTGCTTTTTTTCACTGAAAATTTTTTTCTAAAGCCTTCCAATTTACAGGAGCTACAGTAGTACACAAACGAAACACAGGGCAGTAGGGAAAAAGTGGAAATTTCAGCTTCGAGAAGCTTCGGGATGGCAGAAAGCAATGAAACAAACATCAAAGCCTATTGGCGAAAAAGAAATAATAAATCCAAACTAATATAATAAGATTCATCTAGTAAGCCACTAATTCTACAAATTCAATTTCATATAATCGAAAGTTTTTTTGAAGTTTTTAAGACAATTCTGCCGTGCAAAAGTGCAAAGTTGTGAAATTTGAATAATTGTTGTTTATTAGCTTTTCTTGTGGTTTTTTTTGTAGTCGAGTGAGAGAGTTTTACAAAGTACATAGTGAATAAACAAGGAATTAACACAAATAATAATAATAATTAGAAAAGAAAGCTCAGGCAACTACATTGAGTTGGCAAATGAAAAGCTTACCTCTAAAATACTTAAAGAAATTGTATGGAAATCTAGAAAAAGAATGGAAATTCATACAAAATCTATAAAATAATAAAATAAATCGATTTATCAAGAATTTTTCGTGATTTTATTGGATCTTAAAGGATGAAACGGATTTTCACGGGATCAGTCTCAGCCTTCAATTTCTTTTAGCCAAATTTAAGATTTTATAAAAATTTGTAGTGAAAATGTAAACAAATTTAGTCGAGAAGGAACACCTATCTATCAGCGGCGTGTGCCAGATGGAGCGCGATTACGCCGGTGCACAAAGAACACGTCGAAGGAACAGGGGGTTTTCGAGGTCGGTGAATCTCGATTTTATTCATTTTATTGAGCCCGACTACTATTAATTCAACTTTAAAAGTCATTCAAAACGTGGTTTTAGCTAGAATCGATCTTAATTCGAATCCCTCCTTTAACAAAAATATATTTGTGAGAAATTTAGGTAAAAATTAGTGGCTTTTGAAATTGGCTCTTGAGTTCAGCCAAGCTTGTTCTTTGTGCTCTTGCAAAGGCACGCTTTCTGGCGTACTCATCTTTTTGACTCATAAAAGCAAAGGCTATGGAAAAAAAAAGAAAATATTGGCTTACAAGAGGTCAGTGAGGATCTAAAATAATAATAGAACAAAATAAGAAGAAGAGATAAAAAGCCAAATGGAATTATTTTGATCAGAAATGAAATATCTAGTGTCTTTTAATCTTTTGCCGGGCCTCTTTTCTATCCAAGGCGGGGCCATTATAAGCTTTTTTTTTCAATTCAACGATAATTACCTTGGCCGTGTTTTTTTCTAATGTTATTCAGCTCAAAAAGAGATGAGATATTGTGATTTGTACTTTCAAAGAGTGCATTTGGCTGGGAAAGTCTGGGAAAAGCTTTTTCCGAGACAAGTAAATACTAATATTTGGGTTGAGAAATGAATTTCGAAACAAAAACGGATAGATATTGAAAAAAGGATTATGGTAGAAGTCTAGGAGTTTTGGATACGATGGATTATCTTTTAGTTTCAATAGATGCTAAGAATAAAGAGCTAGCCAAAATCAAAGGATTACAGGGATATTCAAACTTAGCTAGAGTCTGTAAACTAAATCTGAGAAAGCAAAGAAAACAAGATTAGGACAGTTACAGGTCAAAAGACTAAATTTGCTAAATTTAGCACTTCCGAGAGCCACCAGCTCTGTCGAGAGCCACCAGCTCTGTCGAGAGCCACCAGCTCTGTCGAGAGCCACCAGCTCTGTCGAGAGCCACCAGCTCTGTCGAGAGCCACCAGCTCTGTCGAGAGCCACCAGCTCTGTCGAGAGCCACCAGCTCTGTCGAGAGCCACCAGCTCTGTCGAGAGCCACTAGCTCTGTCGAGAGCCACTAGCTCTGTCGAGAGCCACTAGCTCTGTCGAGAGCCACTAGCTCTGTCGAGAGCCACTAGCTCTGTCGAGAGCCACTAGCTCTGTCGAGAGCCACTAGCTCTGTCGAGAGCCACTAGCTCTGTCGAGAGCCACTAGCTCTGTCGAGAGCCACTAGCTCTGTCGAGAGCCACTAGCTCTGTCGAGAGCCACTAGCTCTGTCGAGAGCCACTAGCTCTGTCGAGAGCCACTAGCTCACTACCACTAGCTCACCAGCACACTTATAACTCTGCTCCGAACAAAGATATCAAAAAACTAATTACAGATTCAAACTCTGACTCTGGCTAAAAAACAAGTCAAAATTCACTAATTTTGAGCACATCAACTTATGTTAGCATTAGAATTTTCATTCTAAAAGAAACAAAGACTAAATTGGTCAATCGATTTTGCAAAAATGATGCAAAATTTGCTATTTGAAATGTTGAATATCTTGAGATAATGAAAAACTCTGAAAACTAGCCAGCTATGATATTTATAGTCTCACTATCGGTCGCTAGTAGCTTTCCAAAAATGGACCCAAGCAAAAGCCCTCCCTTTTGACGCATTGTAATCAAAAAGGATTTCACCATCCGCTGAAATTTCTGATCTGTGACGATGGAAAATTTTTTGAAGGGAGGAAATTGCGAAACACCTGTAATCATTTTTTTTTCTCAGAGCAGTTTTTAACGAGTAATTTTTGAACCCCCAAGAGAGAGCGTCAATTTTTGAAAAGAACGCAAATCATTACCCTTTTTCATTTCCAAAACCAACCACTTTACGCATGGGAATTGTTAATTTGGATTTTGAAAAGTTTTCGAACTAAAATTGACATTAAAAGTTTGTTTTATTTCGGAAAAGATTCCCTTTTTTTTTCAAAAGACGAGCGAATATAAAGCTAATGAAATAGATGAGCGCCATCACAGTTTGCCTTCAGCGCACTACAATCCTCCTTTGAAGAGCTAAATGACTGTGGTCAGGATGGTTTAGGTGTAGAAATGCTTCCCAGGATTTTCAGCTTCAACAATACTATATAGTAAGTCGAATTTCGAGCTGGTTTTTAGCTAAAAATGGAGCCTCTTTTGTGAAGTGTGCGGGAACTTTTTGATCACCCTGTACGTCTCTGATCCACTGTCAAATAGATGTCCAATGTCAACCACCGATCTTTGACTACTCGAAGCTTCAAGGATGCACCCAGCTCTGTCCGAAATTAGTTTACATTTATTTATATATATATAGAGATACTTTATTCAGGATCTGAAATAAAGTGCGCTAGATTTAAGATTAGTACACATCAATTCATACTCATAACACGAAAAGGGCCGATAAAAAGCAACATGATATAATGTAAATTAGTTTACAAAATTTCCGAAACTAGTTTACATTCATTTATAGAGGAAAATAAACCCATGGAAATCTCAATTCTTAATTCTAATTCTGCAAAACGTGTCTATAAAGGTTAAAAAGGTTGTCACTACCGTAATCTTTGACCACTAGAATCTTTGGTCACTAGAATGTTTGGTCACTAGAATCTTTGGTTACTAGAATCTTTGGTCACTAGAATCTTTGGTCACTAGAATCTTTGGTCACTAGAATCTTTGGTTACTAGAATCTTTGGTTACTAGAATCTTTGGCTACTAGAATCTTTGGCTACCAGAATCTTTGGTCACTAGAATCCTTGGCCACTAGAATCTTTGGCGACTTCTGGATATTTCTGAAAGTTGTGAAGAACTAGATGAATGGCTTTTGCTAAATCTTTTTCAGCTTTGTTCATTTTTAAATAAATATTTCTAGTTCTTTAAAGAAAATCTGTGATCTATTAAAGATCTATTTTGAATTTCTATCAAATCTTTCTCAAGCAATTTGATAAAAAAAAATAGAAGAAAGCTTTTCGCGCAAGAAAAAGTTGAGATGTTTTGTCTCGAATTTAATGGTCGAATTCTTTGAAGAAAAAGAGTGGATATTTTCTTTTGACATCCGACAAATCTCCATACAGTGATCACTATTCGAAAAGATTTCCCATTGAAAAACTTCCGGTTTTAAATCATTTTGAAAATGTTTTTTTGCCATTGTTTTTTAGGAAGTTTTTTTTTTAAATACACCGTTACTCCATGGTTCAAAAGTTTTTCGAGCTATTTAAAAGGCGAACCAAACTAAATCGATTACTCGACGATGCACTCGCGAAGAGCCTATTGGGCATGTTACAAGCTAAAATCTATGAAATTGGTAAAAATATATTCAATCTCGATACAGTATTTCAAAAAAAGCTTCCTAAAAACTCAAAAGAATGTGTCAACTTTTGAAAACTGTTGTAATCGTGTCTTTTCTCTTATCCAATTTCTCTATTTTCCTATTTTTTGATATTTCTTTTACCAAATCATCGAATCAAATGAAAATTCAATAAAATTTTGATCAAAATAAATTTAATAAAACTAAAAACAGAATTATTGTAGTTGAAAGTTGAAAGTTTATACTTTTTGAGAAGTTGATTATCAATTTATAAGAATATTTACAATATAAGCACGTGTGGCTGACTGGTTAAGTGTCTTTTATCTTAATCGGAAGGTCGAGGGTTCGAACCCCACATGCGACATGGTCACCCCCTTCGGAT